TGCCAAACCGTGTGTGGGGGAGGGAGGGAGAGGGGAGGGGGGGGGGGCTGCCACCTCCGTGTGTCCACCCCCCCCCCCCCCCTCACCCACCTCCTAACTCTCAGAATGCCCCGCCTGTTTGAATGCCAGGTCTTCCAGCTGAAGCGCTGCCAGACTCTTGGCTTTCCAAAACGCCGTGGAATCTTTTCATGTGTGTGAGTCCTTTGGTCATCTGCCTGCAAAGGGGCGGTGGGAAGGTGTGGGGGGGAGCATGGGGGGGAGGAGGGGGAGGAGGGGGAGGCTTTTGAGCTTTTAAGCGGTGTTGCAACATATTTTGGGGGGGTTTGTTGGATTTAATCCTAAAGCTGATCCTAAAATAAGGACTGATGGAACAAATTCAGTGTGTGATCTTGTCGATTTGAAGTAAAGGTTTTAGGAAGATGTGTTTCTCCTTTTTGGAAAACGAACTGTTATCTTTGCCAGAAAGGTTTTATTACACCAGCAGCTGAAACACCATTTTCTGCTCAAATTTCCAAGAGATGATTATTGTTTTCTGGCCATAACTACGTTACTAATGAAAATAAAGACCGGAGTCATTTGGAACCGACAGCTCAGACGTCTTGTGGCAGGAAGTTCATGATTTCTTTGGCATTAATAGTTTGAGTGTTTTAATTTAAGGTTTCTTTATTTCAGTGGATTCGAGGCCACGATGTCTCCATCACTCCGTTACATTCCAATAAAGGTCAAAGACTTCTTGATGTCATCAGAAGTCTTTTCCACCATGGAAGCGGCCTCCCCGTCCTCCTGCATCCCGCCGATACTTCATTTAACTTTTCACACCCGGCGCTCCCTCCGTTTCAAAGCGACCGCTCAGAGACGTCGTCTCGTCTTTCGCCCGTCGTCGTCGCCGAAGTCGAACACATGAATCACACATTTGTTTTCCATTTGAAGAAAGATGGAAATATCCTCTTGGCAGCGAGACATTGCGCTCTTCCTCTGTCAAGACGTCCTTTTTAGCTGTTCGCATCCCCCCCAATTCCACCCCAGCCCTCCCACAGCAGAGCTCCCACCACATCTGTACTGTGGTTTGGTTTGGAAAGGAGGGAGGGAGGGAGTGTGGTGTAAGAGAGTCAACCTCCAGATCTGGCTCCATCAAATGTCCCCCGGTGACGTCTTCAAGCGGCTCTGCAGCGGCATGGACGTCCGGCACGTTTCCACTTTGAAGCTTAATTTCTTTCCGACCCGCAGAGAGACGCGAGGACTCGAGGCTCGTTGCGGCTGCAAAGACGCGACCCGACAGACCCGAGAGGACACGGGGAAGAAGACGGCCCTTCAGACGGGATGCGTTCAGGGAACTGCCGCCCCGTTGCTCCGTTCGGCCGGTGTTCTCCTGGATACGGTTTGAAAACCTCTAATTGCGTAAGTGGTCGATAGTTAAAGGACACATTGACAGGTTGGAGTTCAGCGCGAGGTCATTTTCCCAAAGCGGCGATCTGGGTCATTATTTTAATCGAGAACAGACTTTCACCGGCAAAGTGTTCAAACATTCGCGTTCAAAGGCAAGTTTATGAAAGAAAATATAGAACATCAGCAAATACCGAAACTACGGCCAACTGGCGCCAACGTTCTGCACCTGCTGCACCTTCACCTCCTGTGTGGCTGCTACCGTTAGCTTCCTTAAATATTCACACAACCAAACATCGCACGACCTGGAAGCTGCTTTGGAGCCGGCGTGGTGAGCATGATGGTGTTCAGAGGGACGCTCGCCACCTGGGGAGGCTGGATGGTGGACGCAGCTTCTGAAACGTTCTAGACGACGTCAGCAGATCACCTGCTAGCATTAGCACTTCAGCGCTACGCTAGCTGCTGGGGGGGTGTACTGAATGGGCCCCTCCGGCAGTGGAAGAATGGGTTCAGGACGAGAATTCTTTTTAACTATTTATACTAGACGGGTGAGTGAGGTTCTGCGCCGCGGTGTGAATTATTATAATGCTGACGATGGTCCTTAAAAGCCGTCAGTGAGAGAGCTGCCAATTAGGGGGGAGATGGTGATTAAACGGGAACAATGAAGCTTTATGTGCTACGTGCACACACACACACACACACATGCATATGACAGGTACACATTCAGAGTTATACACACACCGTTATGACATTGCACACATTTACAGACACACAACCAGATGTTTGAGCCACCGGTGAGGCCCCATAATGAAGGCTCATCTTTGAATACCGTGTCTCTTCTTTCTTCTTTTTCTTTTTCTTCTTTTAATGACTTTCGGATGTTAATCCACAGCTTTGGTCCCGACTGGAACCTCTTAGCATCCGCTGGACGGGTCGAGATTTGTGTTCGGACATTCAGAGATATCAGAGATATCAGAGACGTCTTCGGGTGCAACCTGTGAACATCCTGCTGTGTTGAAGAAGACTTGGAACTAGAGACTGAGACCATAAACTGGTGTTTACAATGTTTACTGAGGGAATAAATCAAGAGAGAAGTAGAGTCATTTCCTCATAGACGTCTATGGGAGCAGAGGAGTCGCCCCCTGCTGGTCACTACAGAGAAGTAGAGTCATTTCCTCATAGACGTCTATGGGAGCAGAGGAGTCGCCCCCTGCTGGTCACTACAGAGAAGTAGAGTCATTTCCTCATAGACGTCTATGGGAGCAGAGGAGTCGCCCCCTGCTGGTCACTACAGAGAAGTAGAGTCATTTCCTCATAGACGTCTATGGGAGCAGAGGAGTCGCCCCCTGCTGGTCACTACAGAGAAGTAGAGTCATTTCCTCATAGACGTCTATGGGAGCAGAGGAGTCGCCCCCTGCTGGTCACTACAGAGAAGTAGAGTCATTTCCTCCTAGACGTCTATGGGAGCAGAGGAGTCGCCCCCTGCTGGTCACTACAGAGAAGTAGAGTCATTTCCTCATAGACGTCTATGGGAGCAGAGGAGTCGCCCCCTGCTGGTCACTACACAGAATGCAGCTTTGATGGTCCCACTACGTCTCACCCAGGTCCCGTTGAAAAATAGATTTTTAATCTCAGTGGGACTTACCCGGTTAAATAAAGGTTTAAATTAATAATACTGGATATAACACTCAGATACATACCCCCCCCCCCCCCCCCGTCTGTCAAACACAGCGGCCTTCCTGCAGTCGTAGGTCGCGCTTCTTGTTTTCTCTGAACTCAGCGAAGCCACCAGACATCAGCAGCCGACGCTTAACGAGTCCCTGAGGAGCGAGCGGCTGTGCAGCGGCCAGGAAACAACCCGGTTTTAAAGCTATCGCCCCCCCCCCCCCTCCCCCCCCCCTCGCCCCCTCCCCCCTAGACATCCGAGCGCCGCATCCGACCCAACCATCGGCCAGACAAGGCCTCCGTCCCTCCGCACCGAACTGTGAACCAGCACAGCTCCCCGAAACGCCGCTAGGAAGCATCATCCGCATTTCAATGAGAAAGCGTCTTTGGTGACTCGTTGGCACTGCGGGGGTCCGGGGGTGTTTCATTAAGGGGATTTGCATGCAGGAGAGTCCGACGTGAGCGAGGTGCAGTTAGTGGCCTTCTCTCTGTGGGGGGGTGACACGTTTATTCCACTAGTATGTTACTGTAGACGCATGATAAGAGCGTGTAGGCTCATGTACAATGACAAGAATCAAACTAAATCTAAATAGATCAGATTGATTGATCTGTGCATGTATTTGCTCCTATAAGCTATTTATCTGATCCTGCACGGCCGTTTCTGTTCACTGGTCACTGGTTGTATTTTGAAGATGGCTTCAAAATACAATATTGTTGAAAGATGAAACCATCGATTTCTTTATTTATGTTGATTTATGTACTTTTTCTCATTAACAAAGTGACGTCACAGCGTTTATATCTACAACATGAATATGAAGTGATGAAATAGACCTTTTTGCAATTTACTGATTTTCTTTTCTATCTGACATTGTTGTTCAAGTTTTATTTCTGTGGTTCAAAAACACCATGATACAATCATACGGTCGCTGCAATGTAAGTGAATATAGTTTCAACCTTCGGCTGTATGTTTTTACCCGGATACAAATATAGACTGTGATCGATGGGGACGCTTGGCAGGAGGTTCTAAATGTAATAAAAGGACAAAGTTCATGAGTAATAACTAATGACAACGTCAAACATAAAATGCTTTTCTTTTAGACGGCGAGTAAAAATCTTCTCCAAAATGTCACAGGAGACGTTTCAGAGCGCGCTGACCCGCCATCGTTCATTAGAACGACATTTTGCACATCTTGTATTCTACTTCCTTGCAAAATAACGTTTTTACTTCCACGAAGAAGCACTTTTCTTATGGATCCCTTACGAGGACACAATGAGCAGAGATCCCAACTAGAAGCCAATCAGCTGTTCTTCTGTTATTACACGACGCGGCCTCCAAACGCGGGACACAAGCTTCGTTTCAGGTGTGGCTGACTTTCTTTAACCTGGACTGTCACACACAGACACACACACAGACACACACAGTCACACACTGTCACCTAGTGGCCACAATGCAAACACCACTCAAATGGTCGACGTAGACGGAGCTTTTCGCGGTTGACAACTGATTTTTTGTCGCTGAAGTTGCTTTAATCTGGGTTATTAGGGACCCGGCACTTAAAATAAGTAGTCTATCGTTTTTTATGTCCTGATGAAAACTCAGAGGTTTGATTTATTCCCTCAGTAAACAAAGAGTTTATGGTCTTGATCTCTAGTTTTCAAGTCAATACAGATTATGGTGCATGTAGTCAAACAGACCATAAAGGGCGGGGCTTGCTGTGATTGACAGGGTGTCTCTACTTCACTCCACATTTCAAATTTGGTCACTTCCCTTCATCGGTTAGAAAAATGGGAGCCGCGCGACCAGAGAACGAATACAAGGAGACGACGAAATACTTTGAACTACTTGGAACCTCTGAGGTATTTGTATGACAACACAAGCGCATTAATAAATGACTTAATGAATATACTAAATAGGGATATAAGAGCTTCCAGGAGGCCTCAACAGTCAACACTCAAAGCTGTTGAGAGATTTATTGCAGTTTCAAGCGACATGAATAAGAGCGAGATGACAGCAGCGTGTGGACGATCCAGACGTCTCCAGTGGTTCTACATCTTCACACCAGTGAGACGTTTGTGCAGCTCTACTTCAATCACATCCAGTGTCTCCGTGTGAAACCAGTTAGCACATTCTCAGTCCCCTAAAGTCCCCTGAAGTCCTCCCGGTCCTCTCCCGGCTTCCTGTCATGTGACGCGTCACTCAGGATTACACAAATCTTGGACATGAACAAACCCCTGAACGGATGAAGCCCGAAGCACCAAAACAACAGAATCGTGTAGAGAAAGTCTACACGTGAACAATACATCATGTCGTTAGCGTGTGATGGAAATGAGGACACATTCCTTAACACGTCCAGCTGCTTTTACATTATTGCGTCATTGCAAAGCCCTTCAGATGTAGTCGCTGACTGGCCGTGTGATGGAGTTTGGGAACATCGTGAAGTCTCTTCGCTTGGCAAACATCAGATTTCATGGTGAAAAATGCCTTCAGGAAATAGAAACTAATCAAATGAAATACTTCACACACGAAAGCATCAGGCTGCTCTGGAAGAAATGAGGGAAGAATAAAGTTTGTTGAAAGCATAAGTTAAAAAATAAAAATGCTAAAATGAATGTTTACAAAAACAAAATGAACAATTTGTTTAAAAGATCAGAAATTGGGAAACAGAATTAAAATTGATCTCCAGGCACTTTTCCGAAAACCACAGAAGAGGAAAGAAGGAGCAACGGTTCCAGCGGCGAGCTTGAAGCCGCTGTGGTGAGATGATGTTCCAGCTGAGAGGCCAAACAAGTCCCGCCTCCTTCTTCCTCTTGAGTTTTAACAGGCGGCGTCAGGACAACCCCCCCCCCCCCCCCCAAGTGGGACTATTCACAGCATCGCACACGGATACAACATCTGGACCGTGAACATGCATCCATGTAAACGGACGTCCCTTTGCTTATTATGCAGCAGGTAGGAGACCTAAATGTGCACGTGAGTTCTATCCACACAAACATCTCACCTTCTAAGAGGTGAACCTTAATGCTCGAAGATCCAAACAGAGGTATTATTTATTGGATCTTTACAACGTTCCGTCCGTGCAAAAAAGCTAAAGGACTCGTTTAGTTTAAGGGAGATAATTAATACGTGAAATAAATCACTTGGACTTCCTGTCTGGGACAAAAGTCCCTTCAGACTCACCAGCTGAGCGTCCTAAAGCTCCACGCAGAAGGTCAACACTTCCTTCTTCCTCGTGTATCCAACAACACCTCGTTTATATTTGTATTTACAGGATGTCTGGTGTGCAAACACTACACATACAGGAGATCCACTGTGCTAGAGGAGGAGCGTGGTGAGAACTGATGAAGGGTGAAGATGAGGAACGACAGAAAACGGCACACACACGAGAAGAAGAGATGTAAAACAGGATGCAGGATCGTGTAGAATTTATTCAACACTCATGATTTCATTTTGTAAATTATGTTTGTTTACATGAACGTGTTATTAAAAAAAAAAAAAAAAAAAACTAATTCTCTTCATACATTCAAGAGTCAAACTAAACTAGAATCAAGTTCAGGTAATTTGTTTAAGATTTTAAGATCTTAAGAAAAAAAGAAAGAAAAAGAATTGGGGGGAAAAATGTAATTAAATAAACTGTTGCAACAAAATCTGCAGTAAGCTACATCTTATATTAATTCACCGACTAATATAATTTTTTGGTATTTCCAAAAACATAACTTATTAAACTGAGATGTATCCGTGTTTTGTCTCTTTTAAAAGATGAATCTCCACCGTGTTCGGACAGAAAGGGAAGTTTGTCTTTGCTTTAATTCTCCTGTCGTTTGGTGTTTTTAATCAATCGGAGTGATGCAGGAGAAGAAAATGAAAAAGATTCTGCCCGGACATCGTTTTTTCCTGGTGGCTGCACTTTTCTACACCCGTTTCACTTGAATCGGTTTGGACCTGAAGGAGGTCTGAGCTGCTCCTCTTTCTGCAGAACAATAGACTCCTTTCAACCTGAAAAACAACCTGAAAAAAACACCGATCCTGCTTTCCATCTCCAGCTGCCATTTTCCTCTCCAACCAAACAACTCGTACGTTTATACATCCTACAGAAATAAGTAGCATTCTTCTGGTGATTAGTGCAAAAAGAGTGAAATAGGTGAGCACGTGGATCCTAAAAGTGTCCGTTAACATAATCAAATACAAATGAATCTGAGACGTCTGCTTATTGATCCCTTTCTTCCTGTCTGGCAGCACGAGGACGTCGCTCTTCTACCCTACGCCTCAAAAAAGGGACAAACCGCTCGCTGCCTGAAGGCTTCTGCTGCTGCCTCCTTCCCTCCTCCTCATTGTTGTTGAAGAGGCGATCAGAAACGTTTGGGGTTTTCATTCAGTGAGTAAGTTGAATGTTTTCTTTTAGTTTTAAGTCTGTATCCAGTGATTGTATAGTTATCTCAAAAGCTTTAAAGCCCTGAGCTCCTCTCTGGTTGCCGTGGAGACGGGACAGGTGGAACGTGTCGTCACCTGAAGACGCCTCCCAGCATCAGTGTTTAACAACGCTGCAGGAACTGAAGGACGACTTCATCACATTACTTTAACGTTACAAATGTCGACAATTACTCATAAACACCAGGAAATTACATTATCGGAGTTAACGATAAAAAGCTGTTTAAGTCGCTCTAATGGAAATGAAAAAGAAAGTCTAGTTTTAAAGGAAAAACAAGAAATATCATGTAAGATAATGTGGCTATTTAAAAAAATAGTATTTACGTTTAGAAGCTTATGATTTTTGGATGGTTATTTTTTTCAGGATGAATCTCTTTTTTTCCTCGTTTTTCCATCGTTTTTTTTTTCTCTATATCAAATAATAAAACAAATCAAACATAATCAAAATATACATTGGTTGCCGCCCTAACTGGAATATGTGTGCCGTCAGAACCCAGTAGAATAGTGAACGTAACGTAACGCTCAGTTTATTCTAAACCTCCACTCCGTCTTTGTTTACATACAAGTTCATCGCTACCAAAAACAAACATCCATCAGCTGATCCACACCTGAGTTCATCCAACACTAAATAATATCAGCTCCACCATCTATGTAGAATACTCAAAAATAAATACACGACAGTTTAGTCCATAATATCTCATGAAAAGGCAACTTTGCATTCAAAACTATGGAGGTCCAGAGTAAAAATTAAAAAAAACAGTTGTGCAAAAAAACTACTAAACGGTTCCAAAGAGGCTCCGACCCTCGATGCAGAAACCCTCAAATACTTTCTGAAGCAGGGACTCGTAAAAAAAGATCTAACCAACAACTTGCCACGACCCCGCTCGGATTATGACCCTCGGTCATCAAACGCACCACAGTGCAACTTTGGCATTTTACAGAGATCTGTGGGACACTAAAGGATATTCATCTGAAGATATGAGCTACGAGGACGTTATAAGAATAAAGTGAAAACACAGGACAGCCGTTACTTTTAGTATTGATATAAATGTCATTACCTTCAGTGCTCGGCTTCAACCCTCCGTTTACTGCACTGTGTTTGTGTGCCATTAATTAATAAAACGATAAATAGTTTTTTTTTCTCGTTAGAATAAACTCACATTATTAGATGTTCTCTGAAGAACATGTAATTGTATATTTGGTTGCAGCCAACGTTCGATCCTCCGCAATGAGCTACCACATCAAAGCACAATTCAAAGAAACGACAAGTTACTTTACAATGTAGGAGGACGATGGAAAAACACAATCAAAAAAAGGAAATAAACTGAGCGAGCTGATGGTAATGACGATGATTTTACTGTGCAAAGTCCAGAAATGATCTCTCATTTCTCTGAGATGATGACATGAATGAAATGAAAAGGCAAGACGGTCCACCTCGAGCTTTAAACAAGCGTTCTCCTAGAATATATTATTCTCCTGTGTGATTGATCTGCCTCCTCTTTAGGTTGGGAGAACAACCAAAGCTTCAAGTCATTTTGATCCCTCTGTCAATAAATTGAGTAAAATTACACAAAAACCAGATACCAGCATATAATACAGACGAGTAACATAACGGTAATGTGAGTTGCTTTTTGATTTTGTGCCTTTTTACATTAGATAGCCGTTTTTTTAAAAGCTTAAATTGATGGTGAAACGGTGTTTTGAGAGGGCAGCTGTTACCTCTCGCTCTCTGTGTGTCCAGAATGAGCACCAAACCTCTCAGCTGTTGTTGTGGTTGTTGTTGTTTACAAATGCTAAGAGTCCTGATGGGAAACCAGTCAGCGGTTGCGTGTGGCTGCCTGCTCCTTCTCTGCCTTCTCCTTGGCCTTCTCCTTCTCGATCAGCTTCTCCTCCTTCTGCAGCATCACCATGATGTCGGCCACCTGCGTGGTGGAGATGTCGATGTCCTCCTTGTCGATCAGTTCCACCACCTGGGAGAAGAATTTATCGGCGCCTTAAAACGGGGCTTCACATGCTAAATCTTTCTATCCGCTGTGCATATTTTACATTACAACTCAAGCGCTCATTTTGATCAAACTAAGTATAAAATGAAGCCTGTTAAATGAACTTATTGCCAATCATTGGCTAATTAGCACATGTAAAAACCTGATCCTTTACTGCAAATATTCTAACAAATTGTACCGGTCATCATTGAAGTGATCCTTTGGCTGTTTGACATTAGTTCCATTCTATCGCCACATTAACCGAACCCTCAGATGAAAAAGCGGCTTCCTTTCGGACGCACCTTGATGACGTCGTCGATGTCGATCTTGCCGTCCTTGTTGTCGTCCAGCGCCTCGGCGATGCTCTGCAGCTTGTGCTCCGGGATGTTCTGGATCTGCCGCATGACGGCGATGAGCTCTGCGATGCTGATGAGGTTCTCCCTGAAGGTGTAGAACAGACTGCATACAGGAAACGGTGTGTAACCAAAGGCGATGAGGAGGAGGAGGAGGAAGAGGAGACTCGAGGACAACATGCCGCACGTCAAAGGTCGCCCCCCGATCACACCAATCAGACACTTCTTATTTTAATCATTGAAGGACTCCATCTGGGGTCAAAGGTGCCTCAGAGGGGAATCATGCTGAAGATGCTCCTTCAAACTATTAGTGTGGATGCACCGATACAGATGTTGGGCGGTGCTGGTGACAACGGGGCCGATGGATTCAATTCAATGTGTCTTTAATATAATAACTAGATACGACAACCTCGTTTTACAAAGAAATACAGTTAATTAAAAGGTACGTATGAACTTTTTTGTCACAATCCTTTTTTTTTTTTTTATCGAAGCAAGTCAGACCCGCGTTGCATTACACAAGGAAGGACCCTCATCTTTTCCACACTGGGGGGGTCACAGCTCATCCATTGATTACTGGTGTTTAAATGTCGGCCAATTCCCAAAATCAGCCCAGTGCATCCTTGATTATTAGATGGTTTTAAATGATTTGTTTTAAAGTTGTTAAATTCTGAATAAATGCCCACAAAGAGAATCGATTGAACCAATTATTGTTTCTTCTACGTTACTGAATCAGACATCTAATATTTCTAAATACTCATTTGAAGTCACACATCCCCAAATAAACTTTTTGACTTTCTTAAAATGTTTAAATCAAGCAGTTGGAATGTCTTTTCATTTATTAGGGAAAATTACGTTTTATTAAAGTTGATCTTTTACAGAAAAATGTTGAGCAGCTGACGCTTCAAAGCACCAAAGCAATGTTAGCATGTAGCGAGCACATTAGCACAGTTCTGCTTACCTTTTGGCATCGCGCGGTTTAGTAAAGAATAATCTGTGAAATTTTAAATGAATTAGGGTTGTTTTTATCATTTTTATCTGGACACTGTGCGTGAAAACTGACAAGTTTAATGTCCGGTTTCTTTTTTAAATCTGGGAAACCTGTTTTATCTGCACCATCATTTCACAATGGGAGTGATGACGATGATGATGAAGGTGACAGTTGTGATCAATCCACTAAATGTTGATTAATCCGCAGCTTAAAATAGTCCCAAACGGTCCCGTTTGATAAATATATTCGTGACCCGTTTCCAGTAGAAACTCAGTTGCTTCTGGCTGAGAGACGGACTTGATCACATCGTTTGTTTTAAATCTTTTAAAAACTTTTGTGCCAAAACAGACGTCCGTTAGCAGCTCTGAATCCACCATTTTCTCTTCTGCACCTCTACGTACGGCGGCGCGTCAATGCGGCTCTTACCCGACGGGAGGCGTGGACCCGCTGTCCATCTGGCCGTCCAGGATGACCTTGTCCTTCTCCAGTTCCACGATGATCTTGTCGATGCGACCGATCATGCGGTTGACTCTCTTTGACAGGCGCTGGCTGGCCTTCGACTCCTCCAGCGCCTTTTCTTGACCCGTCTTGGAGAGCTCCATCTTTATCTCTTCCAGATCCTGGAACGACAAACCCGATGAGAAACGCAGCGCAGGAAACGCAAAAGGACGGATGTCCCCGGGGATTACTCCAGTCGGGCACCTCGTTGTATTCCTGGACGTCGTCCTTCAGCTCCTCCAGCTCCTCCTTCTCCAAGGTCAACAGCTTCTTCTGCTCCTTCAGCTTTGAGCACGCGTCGCTCAACAGGTCAATCTCGTCCTTGGTGATCTCCTCGCCCTGGAACGCAGACGTACGGTTACAGCTCCCAAATGTCAGAAAACGGCCTGGAATAAAACCCGTCCAACGGATTATTAGATGGGGACTAAATGGAAAAAACCCAATGATAAACAGATCAGCTCGTGGTGAAAGGGTCCCTCCACCTAACAATGTGCACTCAGCACAAACCCCAATAAGTGACTAAGAAACACAGAAGGGGCAGAGGAGGAGAAGCTCTAGAGGAAAACACACGACGGAGAGCTGTGAGTCACACAGACGAACGGCTCCACTGGGTCTGTGGCATCGCCAAGAAGGATGGAAAAGGAAGAGGAGGAGGAGAAGTCCTGATGTGCGCGGCCCAAACAGGATTTGCAAATCATATTTAGCATTTCTTCATCCTATCCAGAGCAGCGGATGAGGCGGATTTTATTCAATAAGCGAAGACGTGGCGGTAAATGTTGACCATGAATGATTAACACCAAAAAAAACTAATCCTTAGATGTGTTATTTGTCCGGACTCTCTGCTCTAATTGAGCTCGTCTGCTTTTCATCCACAAAGCTGAATTTGTGGTTTGATCTCACTTCTGTCAACATTTCATCAAGCCAATAAAACCTCCTTTTAAGAGCCACTCGCGTAGTTCAGAGCACGTTCTCACTCATTCTGAAGCTTTCTTGAAATGCCAGGATTAAATGCAAGTGCTGTTTCACCCTCACTGGGGCTCAGAGAGACCAGATGGGGTGCGTGCAGGGAAGCACTGGTAGAAATGTGAGGGTCATTTGGGAGGAGGGGCATCTTTTAAAGCTGACCTGGAGGCGCAGGAACTTCTGCCACCGCTCAAACTGCGTCACGCGCCATTGATCAAATGAACAAGTGGCAACAAGTGAGCAAAAATAAAGCCATTATTGAAGAAACAGAACATGTGCACAGACAGAATGGTGGACGTCGAGGGTTTGAGGTTCCATTACGGAAAAGAGCTGCATTAAAATACTGTTACAAAAGTTGCAGTTTCCTTTAAATACATTATTTGGTAGTTAAACTGTTTGGTAGCTTATGACTTCTTAAACACATGACATTGTATGAAACATGGTTAATTCCTTTGATATGTATGAAATAAAAAACGCATCCTTGACGCTTAGTGCATCTGTAGCAAACTGCAACACAATGTGGATTACATTTTAATCGGCTTTTAAAAAAGGCTCAACGAGGAGGATGTTCCTTCCAATCGGTGTCTTGATAAAAGCTGCTTGATCGTAAACACTCGTCCAGGAACACAGCGAGTACAGGGAGGCAACAAGCCAGGAGGACAAAGCTCCTTACAAAACATTAAAGGCCGTCTAAGGTGTTGCCTCCGATGGCGAGCGCAACCCTCCTCGTTGAGACTTTAACCCGAACCCAGATCTCAGAGTGCACGCGTGGAGACGTCACCTTGATCCCTTCGATGACCGGCGCCGCGTCCCTCAGCGTCTCCGACTGAGCAGCGACGTCCGCTTTCACCTTCTCCGCTTCAAACTCCATCTCGCCCTCCTGCAGGGGGGGGCAGCGACCAGGCGGGCTGATTAAAACAGAGTCACGGAGGAGGAGGAGGAAGTCCTCTCACACTCCGTAGGATAATAACGACCCGGCGCTTTAAGTCTCCACGTGTAAAAGCTGGGAATCGTTCCAAAGCTGCTTTCAACAGAACTCCGCGTGTAAGGAAAGCGGTTAGCTCAGTATCGCTGAACCGTCACCTTGGCAGCCTTCTCTGCGGCGTCCGCCAACCTCTCCATCGCCCTGTCCTGGTTGTCCTGGCGTATGGCCGCCTCCTCCCGCAGCGTGGTCTCCACCTTGGCCTTATTGTCCACTTTGGAGAGCTCCATCTCCGCCACCATCATCTGGGCCTCCTTTGTCTGGGGAGAGAGGAGGAACCCTGAGATGTATGTTCTTATTTAAAACACAAGCACTAACCTCGGGTTTCCTGCAGCTGAGACACACGGCCTGGCTAGAAGCCGTGATCTATTCTCTCCCTTCTCCTTCTGCCTCCATCAGTTAGTTTGTTTGTGTCATTGGGAAACTTTGGTGTTAGTTCAGATTCCCCGACGAAGACACATGACGGATGCATGTTTCAGTTCAGCGTCGCGGTTTAAAGCACTGAAGTGTAGTAAACATAGCGTTCACGTTTCCTACAGGGGTCTGAAATACGTCCACAGCTTTGCTCCCGAGTACCTCATACAACCCACGCTGTCCCTGTAACGTACCACCATCTCGGGCAGAGTCTGCAGCGTGGTCTTCAGCTGGTCGGCGGGGGAAAGGGTGTCGGGGAGGAACATGGCTCGAGACAGCAGCAGCAGGGAGGTGGGGATCTGCTGGTTCAGATGGAGCTCCAGCCACTGAAGAAGCAGAATACGAGAAGAAGACCGTTTGATATCTCCTCCTCCTCCTCGGGTGATGAACGCGGTTTCATCCGGACAGCATCCTGCGGTTACCTGGATGAGCTGCTCCCTCAGTCGGTCCTCTGTGACTCCGAGTGACCTCATCCCTCTGGCGCGACAGGCCGTCTGCACCTCGTTCACGCTCATGCTCTCCACGCCTTCCTCTGCGATCAGCTGGAGCCGGCGAGAGCGCACACGTTTCAAGAAACCGAGACGTTTTGAGAATTTAAAAAAACGGAATCGGCGTTTGAGGCTCGTACCTTGTCGTCCGCGCGGATGGTCCTGAGCTTCATGATGAGCTGGAAGCGGAGGAAGTTGTTGGTCCCGATGGACTGGAGCTCCAGGAGGCGGCAGAGGGCCACCAGCTGGGGCCGGGTCAGGTTGTCCAGCGTCAGCTCGTCCTCGAACAGTTTGGAGAATCTGATGATCTGCTCATTGCTGGGACGTTCCCCCGAGTCCCGGATCTACAGACATGATGAAGTTATGACTTGTAACATTTATGTAAATTTGACTTTTCCAAGCTTGTAATGTAACAGCTGTGTCTCTTTATGAATCCTGACAACAATGCCAAATAGAAAATCAAAAGTAAATTTAATAAATCGGTTAATTAGACAAAAATAATCTTATCATGCAGCTTTTCTTCTAAAGGTTTAAAATACAAAATGAATGCTGAGCTGTCATTTATGCCTTAGAATAAACCCTTCCTTGTTTCAACCGGCAGGGGGCAGCACTGAGCCGCCTGGTTACACCCACCTTCTGGAAGAAGGTGGAGAACTCCTCCGTCACGGTGCCCTGAGCCGCCTTGTTGCGCAGAGCGATCTCCTCGATGGTGTCCTGCAAGAACTTGGCCATCTCCAGTTTGACTCTCAGCTCCGTTTTCAACCTCTCCTCCTAGAAACAAAAGCACGGCACGGACTCAGCGATCAACTCTCATCTTACTGGTTACAAAAGACATTTTGCATTCCGTTTAAATGTTGTGGTTGATAAAAAAATATTATTTTCATTCTTCTATTCACAGTATTAGTTTAGTTTTATATTTTATGTGAGGTCAAATAATACAATTATGTATTCTAAAATGTTTGGGATTTAAGTGACAACAGGACAGAATTTACAGAATAAAGTAAACTTTAAACATTACATTAAAACAGACATTAACATTACATGAGCATATATGAACTAACTCATTTTCATTTTTAACGACAAACCTTCTTGGACTGCGTCTCGAAGGTGGACGGCAGCATGTTGGGGAAAAGTTTCAGCGCTACGGGAAGCAGGAACTCCATGAAGGGGACGATGATGAACACCAGGAAGGGCAGAAGCCGGAAGACGTCGGCGCACGTCCGGAGGAACTGGGGAGAACGTTTTGGGGGAAAAAAGTCATTAGAGGGAACTGGGGACGCCGTCCACGGGTCGGTGAAGGTTGAAGGAGTCTCGTCCGGCTGAGCTTCGTCCCGGCCTCCAGCAGAGAGCGGCAGCGAGCAGCAGAAAGTCTTTACCTTCTTCCTCCGTTGTCCCACTGCCTCCAACAGTCAGCACTTTTGACCCCCGTCCCCGCGCATCTCCATGGCAACACAAGTCTCCCAATTCAAAAGGCGCTTTTTTTTTTGTGTGCATGGAGCCGCAGACCAAAGTGAACATTCCGCCTCACAGGGGCTCAGAAGCTGTCCTCCTTTTAAAAAGGGCCAACAGGAAGCACATTTGTTCCACCCAAAAAACCTGAACAATTGTCAGGAGCGTAGCGGCACCAGGCAAACGGTAGGAGGGGATGGGGGGGCACGACGCGAGTCGCCTCTTTCTCGACTCGTTTGTCCACCTGCATGTCCCCGGAGCAGTCGGGTGAGGGATTGAGGGCGGCCCGAGTGAAAAGGCCTTTTGTCCGCAGCCCCATTGACATGTATATCATAGGGGGGGTAGAAGGAGCTTTAAGCCGAGGTCTAAGTATCGTGGGTGAATATAAAGAGGAGGAGTCGGTTGCATTTGAAAAGGTGCAGATGGGTCGTGTTGTGGGTTTAATGAGTGGGGGGGGATTACTGTTGTCATCAGCACTGACCAGCAGCTATTGACACCTCAGTAAGGCTTTATTTTCCACTGTGACTTAAAGTCACACAGAGCAGGAATGTGAAGAAGCAAACACGTGGGGGTCCTTAAGAGTTCAACTTATGGAACGCTGATTGATTACTTTAAGGGATTTTGCATATATTTCCATATATATTAGAATTCAACTGAGATCAATGTTGTTATTGCATCTGTCCGATAAAGGGGATTCATAGTCTCAATCTAAAAATAGGTTATTCTTACATGTTGCTTTCAGATTCATAATTATTACCAATAATAAATGTCCATCTGATCCCCTAAAAGTCCTTTAGCAGAGGCTGAGAGGCCTGATCACAGTAAGACAACTAACGTTCCTCTGCACTGGTATCTGAAAGGGTCGCCACCTTTTGCCATTTTGAGCACCTGCGTTTATGTTGAAGAAAATGCCAATTGAGGCTGTATGTAATTAGTAAAATACAAATACCAATGTGGATCTAAAACACCACAACTGTGACGAGTTACAGCAGAATACACTCATTGTAAATAGTTGGGTGTGAGTTTTACATTGTTTTCAAATAGGTGTTTATTTTGTTTTAACTGGAGCTGCAGCGTTGCTAATGATTCCCACCAAGTCTGTAACATCCTGTACTATCGACCGGCCCGCTCATCTTCCCTGCAATGACACCAGCACCTGCATCACACTACCGCAGAGTCCACTGCGCCTCAAAGCCAACCGGCTGAGCATCGAACTGCAGCCCAACCAGCAACGAGCCAAATTCCACGTCTGCTTTAGAATTAGTTATTCTGAAACCATGTTTGTATTGAATTAGGTCAGCGTCATTAATGCAAATAAGTAAATAGTGATCAAAAGACCAATGAAATCATATCACATTTGATTATTTTACGTTATCATTTCATTTTCTACACAACATTGAGTAAGTTAGTGGTAACGTTGGCTGGGCCGAGACCTTCTGCTCTGCACGCAGATGCAATGTGCAGGATCTTCTGACCTCTTTATGAGGCCTTCCTGCTCCCAGCGACTCCCATCACCACGGATTGGACATCAACATGGCAAACTTCCCCGTAAGCTGAGGAGTTATCCAATCAACGACTTCACCTGAAGTGTCTCGCTGAAGAGCTTTAATCAGGCAGCACAATCTGCTGAGCGCCTGGCTAACTTCTACAATTGATCCCATTAGGTGTCTGAAGCGGTGGATTGAACCTTGTGGAACAAGATGTCAGGCCGGTCAGCCTTAAACCGTGCGCAGTCATCTCTGATGTCTAAACTCGGTAAACTCTGAGTCAGAGGGGAGGGAGGGACGCTTCCTTTCACTTCAGTTTGTGCTCGGATATAATTTTCATTTAATTGTACATACAGGATTGTTTCTGCAAAAAGAAGAATACTATGTATTCTTACCAGATGTGGTCCAATGTAACAGTAATCTAACTAAACGCTATGCCACAACCCCCAGGGTTACCGTGGCTGCACCTGTCAAGCTTTCCAATCCCACACCTCACACATAAGGCTGTTAGCAACAGTAACCATGACAACTTCCCCTCTGGAAATCCTGCAAACCTCACCTGTCTCCTCTCGCGGCGGGACAGCGGGTGTCCGTTCAACACCCTCCAAAGCATCCGCCCGGCGATGGTGGTGTCGATCCACAGCAGCCTGAAGCCGTGGTAGTAGTGCTTGACCTCATCTACCACCCACTGGCGGAGCGTCCTTTTCACGGGGGCCGCGTCCAGCGTGGGGCTGTACACCGGCCCCCCTTCCTCCAGCTTCTTCTTCTTGTCCTTTAAGGAGCGCAGGGACTTCTCCACCTTGGAGTCGTCCCACCTGCTCCTCGAGGTGTGTATCCACCGGACACACGGCACGTGCCGCGGCCGTGCTACCGTCCAGCGGGTCCCTGTCGCGGCGTACCCTGAAGAAGAGGCCCCCAGCGCAAAACCACAGTAGAGGCGCTGTAGGTCCAGGCTCTGGGGGGGGCCCACGCATCCATCTGTTGAGGGGACGGAGGGGCCCAGAGACGACACCTGGGCCAAGCTGCAAAGTCGTCTTTGAGGGGGAAATGAAACATTTGATTTGAATCGATTTATACGCAACACCAGCCATAGAAATACTCTAAATAACAGACATTGGTCCTTTTTCCAGGGAAAAGAGAGAGTGTCAATTGGCAGAAATCACAAAGCTTTAAAGACGTTGTCTTAAAAAAGATAATTAGAAAAGGAAAAGGTTCAGTGGGAATTGCATGCAATAGTGGCCAAGCATGTGAAATCCCAGTTGGAATTATCCAAAGACCACGTTGTCATAAAAACCACCTCGAGGTTTGATTTGAGGTGAGACAAACGGACAGAAAATCTAAAAGAAAGCAGCACAAGAAAAAGGCTTTAAAAGAATTAAAACCTGATCAAAGTCATTAAAAGTTCAATTGTGCCACAAGCTTTTAAAAGTGTTTTTCCTTTACTTGTTTTGAGGAAATAGAGACGCTGAAGAGGCGCCGCATTTGATTGGCTTACGTTTGACTGGAAAGTCGGAGGGCTGTGCAGTTGAAACACGCTCCATCTTGTACTTTCCCTGAAAAGGAGGAGAAATGAAAAACAAAAGAAACATGAGCCGCAGTGTTGTGATAGTCACACATGAGAAAGCTCTCCACACGTTCTGACAGGTCCGACAACTTTATTCCTCAATTATGTGACCCTGATGTGACCCGAGCAAAACCACAGTCGCCATATCTGCTCATGCATTAATATGACAGGAAGTAAAGCCTCAGACTTCAGACCTCCGGTGTGTTATTCCCCTGCTAACTCGCTTAGCCGCTTGGGATATTCACTACCGCGAGGCTCCCAAACCCCAGAGGCCCCGGCTGTCAGCGCGACACAAGCACACCGACGAGCCCGGGCTCAGTGGTGAGACACTTCCGACCAATCACGTCGCCGCACATGGCCTGGCCACGCCTCCCCTCCGGCTCTCACGTGGCCGGCGGGAGCAGCTCCAGCGGGGCCTGGTGGAACATGGCCGGCTGTGGCTGGTGGGCCAGAGGACACCGACGTTACTGGAACAGTGTCCCCTTTTGTGGCTGAACAGGCAGCCTACTGTAGCGCAGAGAAAACCCTGGAAGTACAGTAGAACGGCGCTCACCTGTAGAGCCGTGTGGCCACGTTTGTCACCTTGCGTTGATCATTTGTGTGTCAACTGTTAGAGATACTTTTTCTTCAGCTACATTTAAAAACATGAATAGCTTTGAATCTAAAAGAAAATGTATTCAATCCAGAACCACACACACGCATATATATATATATATATATCATATCTTAACCATTAAGAAATGTTGGTAAATGATTAAGTGGCCCTTGCGTCAGATAAGAAAACAATAAAAAAAGTAAAAACCCCATGAGGCGAAACAGAGCTCGACTCACAGGCCACATAGAAATATACACAGTATTAAAATCTCTCTTCCTAGGATTTTCTTTAAGCTGTATTAGAAAGCCCAAGTACGTATATTAAAAAATGCACAGGAGCAACGTTGTATCTGATACGTCTCAACCAGAATACGTGTCCTCTGGGTCACTGGAGATCAATTGTTTCTGGTATTTCGTGAAGTATTGTCTACTGAACTTGTTGATCCAAACATATTATATAAAACTATCCACAAATCCTGATGAACTTTTTAAGCATCACTGTTGCATTTGTAAAGTAATCTGTGTTCATTGGTCTCAAGATCCTGACTCAAACTACCGTAGATCCTTGAAAAGGTCTAATCGTTAAATATTGTGCTCTCAATCCAACTATAGGGAGCTTCTTCTACATTATTTATAGATTAGTTTACTTTCCCATTGGCTGCTTCAATACTGAAGAGACATGGACACTAATCAAGCATGTTTATTGGACAGCATGTTGCCGCAGACTGCGGTTTGTGACTTGTTGGGTATGTAGCTTTAATGGCTCTCGTATTTAAAGGATCTTCTTTCAGAGTTGAAGTATCATGTCTCTGGGTCATGTCCCCGTGGTCAACACTCTCAGTCATACGAATGGTTAGTGTGCTCAAAGGAGAATATTATCTACAGGCATGAGAGGTCAGCGTCGACGTGGAGGCCGAATCGGTTAAGATTATCCCGTCTCAGGTAGTTATAAGAGGAGCCGACCTTTTGTCTGAGAGTCTGGGCCTGAAGCCAAGAGCTCAGTGACAAACTTCCTTTATGACCCTCGCGCCTATTAATAAGCACAGCTTTAATGGACCACTACTATTTAAAACTATTTATTCTGACCTCTAAAATATTCACGTCCATTCAATGGCTCAATGTGATACACAGGTATATTGTACGCAAGAAAATAACTTGCATGGAGACGTATCACCATAATATATATGGCAGTTACACGATAACAGGCAACATATCTACAAATATTACAAAAATGTCTCAATATTCATCTTCATTTCAAATGATTATTTGTCAGACAAATGGAATATTTGTGTGACACTTTGAGGGCGAACAACACTACAAAAGGTAACACAAAAACCTTCTGTCACTCACCAGATACGGTAAAAAGTCTCTATACTCAGAGATCAATGTTTATCGAGTTGTGACCCCGATATAGGAGTGTAATAATAAAACAAATACAAATAACCTTTGGCGTTCTAAAATAATAGTAAGTTATCATTTAAAAACGTGAAATTCATCATAAACCGTTCACATAAGCTTGGGAACAACAACAACAACAACAACAACATCCCCCCCCGACGCACGGGGGTCTGTCGACACCGCAATAATAAACACCAAAAATAAAACACAATACGGAGCCATAAGAACGCCTTCTTGCTGTGGGCATCTCGTGTGTACGGCGGCTACAGCGGGCGGGGGGAGACTTGGGGGGGGTGAGGGGCTCCACAGACGCCGTCCTCGAATAACCCGAGTCCCGAATCATGCTTCCCCTGCTCCTCTTTTCGGGAATTTCACCAGAAAAGGTGCGCTGCGTCGAGCCGCTACACCCCCCCCCCCCCCCCCCACCATCATGAAACCATGCGTGGGTTACTGACGATGAGGGACTTAAACATGCGATGCTCTGTCACCTTGAGTCAGCCACCATCTTCCTGAAACCCCAAACAAGGCCAACGCGCCTCGCCGCTGCGCGTTAAGTTACACGACTCCTCGTCTGGCGAATGTCGTCCCGTTAATTGTTCGCTGTATCTCGTCCGGGCTCTCTGGGCGTAGTAAACAGCTAGCTAACGTTAAGCTAACAAGAAACAAGCAGAAGCCTTACCTTTGCCTTTCTTGAACTCGTTCTTTAGGGACCTGGAGGTTTTCATTAAAGGTGCCCGGGACCTCGTAAACAGGATTAACGCCATGAGGCTTTCAGTTTGAACTAACGTTATCTTTAACGGTTAACAGTAGGTTACACGCTAAGCTAGCCTGTTAGCTAGCTACTGTTTGCTCAAGATGTCAAAACAAAACGAGCCGTTGTACATAAAAATATCGACGCCCGGGGGGAAACAAATCCTAGTGTACTTTTAAGAAGCAACGACGCATGAACAACTGTATAAATGTAGCTCCATGTCATGCCCTTCCCCTCTACGTAGCTGACAGCTAACCGGACCAGGCTCCCGAGTGACGTCGTACCGGTGTTGCGTTTTGTTAGGCTGTTTGCGATCGTGTGATGACAGACAGCTTCCGGTGTGTTTATAAAATAAAAGCCCGCATTTCCGAGTCGATGGGTGCTGCAATGAGGTTGTTTAACGTGTTGGTCTGTCGTTTAAGGGGCTTAGCCACACTCAAAACCTTATTTTCATCACTGCAATTCATAGATGATTATTGAAAAAGAGTATAGAAATAGTTTTTTGTTTGCCTGATAGAGCATTTACCATATTTCATAAAGTAGGGAACTCTATTGAGTAAAAACAAATGCAGCGTTACTATAAAAACTTCGTATCTTGACTAATATTGCAAGAAAAAACATGCCAATGCTTATTTTCTAAATGAGCACAAAAGGGTGGTGCTTGTATGCATCCACTGTATTATGTCATGAAATGAAACTAATATTGCAAGAAAAAACATGGCAATGCAAATGTCATGAAATGAAACTATTATTGCAAGAAAAAACATGCCAATGCTTATTTTCAAAATGAGCACAAAAGGGTGGTGCTTGTATGCATCCACTGTATTATGTCATGAAATATATACATTATGTGTATTTTGAATACACTTACACAAAATAATGGCTTCTACATTGTCTAAAAATGAGCCCACCATTTTACATACTGCGCATATGTGAAAGTATGTTGTGCGTAACAACAGTTAGTACCATGGGTCTAAATCCGATCAAAGTATACAACTTTACTTTGAAAATGTATTGTTCATTACAAGTAACACATCATGAGTTTATCCTCAATACACAAGTCAATAAAAAAGGTGACCTTTTTATTATCACAAAAACAATTAGCGTGTAACTATGTTTGTGGACATACAGATTTAACGAAAACACTGTGATTGCGTAAAGAGACTTAACAATGGTACAGTATGTGCAAACTAAATCAATCACTGTGATCTCATTACCACAACTAAAGGCCTTTAAGCCCAACTGAGAGCTGTTCAGCGGCCATCAGCAACAGAAGACTGCCTGCACTAAAACTATTGTGATCACAAGAGGCAGCTTCCGATTAGGATTTTGTTGTAAACAGGTAGATAAAGGAATTGTAAATAAAAATGAGTCTCCAACACTTTTCAGTCATTTTGTACAATTTCTGCCAGCTTTTATTTTGAAATACAAACGCTTGCAGGAAGTGGTTTGTTTCTGATCTGCAGCTCGAATGTTCTGTACTTCAGTGTAATATGCATCACATTTATTACCTCGGATCAATGCTGATACAAATCTTCAGATTAAAAAAGTATGGATCCTCAACACACGTTCGGCCTCTGGTTGATTATGACTAGCGGATGTTACATCATCGAGGCGTCACTATTTCACCAGCTCAACAGTAAAAACCTTATAACTTCCCTAAAATAAACATGATAAATGACACTGGTTGGACCGACTTATAGTTTAGGCTATAGTTGGACTTGTTTCATGTAATTATACTATGCATTCACTCTACTGTACCCAATTCCATTCGAAGATCAACTTATTCTAAGGGAAATATAAAACGTTATTAGTTTGATGACATTAGAAGTCACAGCTCGTTTAAACTGTTGTTTTCATAAACAAATACAATGTCTGCGGGGTGTGAATGATTCAACGTGGAACGACGTGAAGGCCGACGGGCTCGCCGGGGTCACGGGGGTCAGACGCTTCCTACGTTGGGTTGGCGTGTTTTTTTTGAAAGGACCGCTTGGAGCCTCGCGCAGCTCCCGACCAATCGGAAGTGAGCATTTTTCGCGCTGGTCGGCCGCAGAGTTTGAGTTTCCCGCAAGCTTTTGATTCGGCTTGAATGAAATCCTCCGCTTTTGCAGGATGAATGCGGACTTATTCCCCCTTTGACGACCGAGAGGAGACCCAACAGGTAACTACGGAGAAACGCTCGTTCATGTTATTGTCATCCTCGCGGATATTTGCTGGCGCGAGTTTTTTTTATGCGGTTGCAAATACACTTGTTCGCCCCGACCGACCATTTTAGCGAGAGACGACCTGCTAGCTAGCAAGAGAGGTCGTGCTAACGCAAGCTAGCTAGCGAGCTAGCAGCCTGTGCTAACGGCAGATCTTTTTGACTTGGCCTCACCGAGCTTTGGCTAGCGCGGTTAGCTTTTCTTAAAACAAGCTGTCACGGCTCCTGCAAATTCAGCGAAACAACAGCACAACCATTTTAACACCCCAACTCCAACGCCCAATTTATTTATTTTGTGTAGTTATTTGTTCTCGCCGGGTAGCGTATAATATCTGCGGTTAGCTAGCTTTTGCGTGGCGGCCCGGGCTACTTGCTGGAGTGCGGTTAATGGCTGACTGTATGACAGAGAGCGAATGCACGCTGTAGGACGATGCCGGTCGGTCGATCCACGACAGGGATCTGCGAGGTTCCCACGTCGTGGCTCCCGCCTCAGACATTAGTCGGAGCCCGTTCTGAGCAGTTATGGCCCCGTTTTTTCGACCCTCGGGCTCGAGCTGCTGTTACTCCACAGCTAACGTGGACGACAATCACAAAGTAGCGCCCCCGTTACTCCAGAGCCGCCGGGAGGCTGATCAGCGTCACCCTGTGACCGGCACCGCAATGCGACCCGTTGCGCTTTTAACTCGAGTGGGACGCGTCCGGTTCCGTGAATTCATCGCGCTGCGGGGATCGTTCCTCCCGACGCGTCAGCTGCTTCCATTTCCGCGGCTTTTCCAGCCGGGTGATGTGATCGCGGCATGCGGTGCAGCTCGCAGACGGACCTCCTGCATCCCACACTCCGCTTTGCCCACAGTCTGCAGCCAGTCCTCCTTTCTCTGGTTTTCCCCGGGAGAAGGAGAACTTCCAAACCGTCTCGGTGAGAGGTCTTCGTTGCGCGATGCTCTCGTTCGCGTTAGTTGTGATGGACTTGTGGGGGTCTGCGTTTCACTGCCGCGTGTGTATTGTTTTAGTGTGCAGAGGCATCGCTGCTTCCGACTACCGGTCGGTTGAGTCTCCAGACCTTTCTTGTTCGAAGCATGGAAGCTGGGTGGGGGGCAACACATTGCGTGACAGGTGCAGTTTTCTCTGTCTGCCTCCGAGCTCTCTGTCCACTGGGGCAAGTGAGTGAGAGCCATTTTGTAGAATGTGTAATGTTGTGTCTGTGTCCAATCACGTCCCACACATGTACTGCATTGAACTGTTGACTGGTGGAACCTGTGGAATGAGAAGTCTCTGTCCTGTCGCTCAGTGCGCCTGGAGGGGGGTTAAATGGGATGGAAAGCAAAGGTAGCTCCCTGCCTACGATGCCCGAGCCAGCCAACCCCATCAGCATGAAGCAGCCCCCGGAGTCCCTCGGCGTGCGCCAGGCCGGGGGGGACATGAGCGGTGACCCCGCGCTGCTCATGATGGACAAAGCTGCTGCCCAGCTGGCCGCCACGCTGCAAGACGGCGTCCTTCAGAAGATGGCTGGCCACAGTCACAACAACCACGGCCACGAGAGGCTCAAGGACCTCACCTCCCGGGTGCTGAACGGGGACCAGGACGCGCTGCCCAAGCTCTGCGCTCCGGAGCCGCCCATGTTCAAGGGCGCCGAAGCCCCGGCCACTAACGGCACGCATCAGCACACCTGCAGTCCTCACGCCGACCACGAACACAAAGCCACGATACCCCAGGTGGTCCAGCAGCCCGCGTTCGAGCCACGCTGCGCCAACGGGACCAGTCTGTCCACGGCCACCGAGGACGCCGTGTCCGCACCAGAGGAGGAGGAGGAGGAGAAGAAGAAGAGGAGGAAGAAGAGGAGGGCGCCGCCACCTCACAAACCAAACGTCGGCTCTCCTGCCGTTCCCGTGCAGCCTCTTGACCCCTCCGATGCTGTAGATGGAACCAGAGCGGCTGATGAGGTTTTTCTTTTATTCCTACTTTAAAGAAACAAAGGTTCTGTATTTTATAGTGAGATCTTCAGTGTGTTTGTGTCACATGTAGATTCTGCAATTATTCCATCTGGTACTGGATTAGAGACTAACAGCAACCTAATAGTGTGCTGAAGTTATGCTGAGACGTGGTCTTAAGACCAAAGGACCAGCTACTAATAGCTGCGTTAAACTTAAATGCTGCAGTCTCAATCGATCGTAATCGATTTATTGTTTACGAATACTTGCCGGTGTAAAATACTGGTCGGGCAGCATGTGTGTGTGTCTGAAATAGCGCGTGGGAACATAATCGATTTTTCAGGAAGGAAACGTTGTTGATCCTTGATGAGTTTCTATTTTTAGCCATTGATTTCCTCTCTCCTCCAGCCGGATTTCCCCCCACCGTTGAAAGGGGTGGATCCGCGTGAAGAATCTGCTGCGGTGGTCGGTTTTTCTGTTGGTGATCTGGTTTGGACCAAGGTGGCCGGATACCCCTGGTGGCCCTGCATGGTGACCACCGACCCCGAATTTAACAATCACGTCAAACAGAAACAGAAAGGTGATCAGCTGTTTCTACCACCTCAACACATTTGCATTAAGTGATGCATTGAACTGTTTTAGTGAGTCACTTCTTTATTCAGTGTTTTTATCCCTTTTATTATTTATGCTTTTTTCCCCCCCAGCAGCCAACAGCAGGATGGGCCCGCTTTACCATGTGCAGTATTTTGGAGACGCCCCAGAGAGGGGCTACATCTTTGAGAAGAACATGGTGACCTTCACCGGGGAGGATCAGTACCAGGAGCTTCGCCAGGGCCGACAGCAGCCAGCCTCTCGCGTCGTCCTCAAAAGGGTAACTCGCCGCCTTCTGTGTTCTCGTGTTACGTGGCGCCTGCGGAGGATGTGGTTTATCGACGCACTATTGGTCACGCACGAATGCACTTCCTTAAAATGATTCGCGCAGAGTCCTCTCGCAGAAAGTTGAAGTGCATCCCAATTGGAAAGTCAGGAATAACTGCAGACTTTCTCATCACACATTTAGCCTGTTCAACAAAGGAAGTGTATAACTTTAAAAGGTAAATCTGTGTAATTACTTTGTCCTCTCCCACACACAACGCTCACATGCTGCTCATCAAGAGCGTGAATCTGTTTTGAATCATCGTTACGTGTTTGTCACTGGCGCTCTCTTGGTAGTGTGTTGAAAACAACGCTGAAACCTTCCGACTGAGTTGTTTTCTTCTGTAACTTGTAGTAAAACGTTGCTGTTTTCTGGCCCCACCATGCAGACGGCTCCCTCGGTGCCCCGAAAGCTGCAGGCTCAGTGGAACATGGGCGTGATTCAGGCCAAGGAGGCGTGCGGCATGTCGCTGGACGAGCGCATGGGGAACTTTGCCTTTCTGTATGACGACGACGGGCCGCACCTGAACCCCTGCATCCTGGAGAAGCTGAGGCCCAAAGGGAGCAACGAGGCGGCCCAGGGCACCGAGTCCAGGCTCCGCCCAGACCCGCCCCCTCTGCCGGGGGGCGCCGCCGAGGACCCCGCCGCGGCCGCCTCTCAGTCCCAAGAAGGCACTTCGACGGGGAAAAAGACACAAGGACGCAGAACAAAACTCTGCTCGGGAGAATATCGGAGAAAGGGCAAAGGCCATCGAAGTAACCTCCTGTCCAATAAAACAGCGAAAGACAACGTGTCCTCCAACGAAACGGTCCATCCACAGGAAGCCTCGCAGGTTTGGACAAATGACGTTCCATCAGATCGCGTTTTGTGTGCTGCGGAGGAGAGCGGGGAATTGAATGAAATTATATAATTGATGACGTTGGACTTGAAAGTTCTAAAATGAGACTTATAATAATGTAACACTTGCTTGTGTTCTTCATAGGATCCCACCACTTCTGCTCCTCTGCAAGCTGAAACAGTCGTACCTGAGAAGAAAAAGAGGAGGCCGCGACAGGCCGCGTCTCCCGCAAAGACCGTTGGGAGGAGGAACAACACCTCTGAACCTGTGAAGAAAAGGAAACCAAAAGTGGCGTCTCTGACAGCCGATGTAACGGAACCCGTCCCACTTCCACTTTCAGGTTGGTTTCCAGTCAAATCCCGCTGTGTGTGTGTGTGTGTGTGTGCTGCTTTAAATGGCCACATGTGGCTGGTAAAACGGCAACGTGGTTTCATAGTTGTGGAGCAGCTTTATGTGAGCGGTATATTTTATATTTAAGAATTCCTGGGGTTTTCATCCAAGTGAATCCAAAGCAGAGGAATAAGTCTTGTTGTATCTCAGTTGGGTGCTTGGCACATTTTTGGATTCTCTGAAACCATTCTGTGCTTTTAACTATTAAAAGCAAATCATGGAGTTTAACCTTTTTGTTAACGTTGGTTTTTAGTCAAGAGGCAGCGAAAGAAGACGTCTTCAGCGGACAAAGCTGAGCAGCCTAAAAAGAGACGTAAAACAAGCAAAGAAGCTGAAACACAGGTGAGGTTCCCCTCCAGTGAACGTTGTTTCAGGGTCCAAATCCCCAAATGAATCGCTGACATTGAGCGAAGTTTGGAATGGTGTTAAATATCAGCACCAAATGGACAATAAGCACATTGTTATAAGGTCTTGATTTCCTCGCCCACCTCCTCAGGACTCTTCAGAGGGAACCGACAAAAAGCAAAGAAGGCAGAAACCCGACGGAGACTCCAAGGAACCCAAGAAGAAGAAGAAGACGACAGCGAAACTCAAAGCTCTCCTCCCCGGTAAACCACGTGGTTGGTCCATGTCGATGGGGGGCACTGGGCTTCTAAGCCCCCGTCTGAAGCCCCCACTTCATCTTCCAAACTCTTTGTCTTCACAGAGAACCAAGACGCAGAGAAGCCAGAGCGCAGTAGGAAAAGGAAGCAGGACGGGGGGAACGCGAGCGCCCCCTCCACGGCCAAGAGAAGGCGGCTCACGCCGTGTCCTGAACCCGAGGTGAGACCCAAAACACCAACGGCCACATTGAACTCTAGATTTAAATGTAGCGACGTTTCTCAGGAGCCACAGATCTCAATCCGGTTCAACGGCGCACACTGATGATCCTGAACGGTTATTTAAAAAAGCAAAGCGTTAATATCACTTCCTGCTTTACCAGAGTTTTCTCCCAGCGGGATCCTGAACCGTTTGCAAACACAAAGTGACTCTCTGCTTGGTGTGGCTCATTGAAAACAGGGTTCTGGGAGTGAAGGGCGTCCGGATTCTCCCAGCGACAGCCTGGACGGGACGAAGAAGGGCGACCGGAAGAAAGAGTTTGTGTGCCAGGTTCGTCCACCTTGTTTGGATCTCACAGTTCTGCATCTGTGGTCTGTAGACATATTGTCCGCTTTAATTTAAATGGGAAGTATGGTTTAAATTTCAGTATCTCCCTTTTTGTATTTTGCCCGCATGCACCTGAATGTCTCGCGTGTCCCTTCCTCCCTGCAGACGTGCGAGCAGGCCGGGGACGACCTGGTGCCCTGTGAAGGTCAATGCTGCGGCATGTTCCACCTGCGGTGTCTGGGCCTGTCACTCAAACCTGACGAGAAGCTGCTGTGTCAGGAGTGCAGCAGCGGTGAGGCGCCGCCCCCTTTCTCTCCGACCAATAGCGGAGCCTCATCGTTGTTTGTGGTTTAATCTGAAATGTTTTTCCTCTGTCTTAAAAGTAATTGTTCATTCCTGCCACTCAACATTTCTCCCCATGTTCTCCTCTCAGGAGTTCACTCGTGTTTCACCTGCAAGCAGTCGGAGGGCGCCGTGCGCCGCTGCCACGTGCCGCACTGCGGCCGCTTCTACCACGAGGCGTGCATCCGCCTCAGCCCGCTCACCGTGTTCGACAACAAGGGCTTCCGCTGCCCGCTCCACGCCTGCCTGAGCTGCCACTACGGCTGCCGCAGCAAGCAGCGGTCCACCAAGGGTCGGCTGACGCGCTGCCTGCGCTGCCCCGTCGCCTACCACGCCGGAGACCCATGCGTGGCGGCGGGCAGCGAGATGGTCACCAGCACCGCCATCATCTGCACCAACCACTTCAACGCCAAGAAGGGCTACAGCCACCACAGCCACGTCAACGTCAGCTGGTGCTTCGTCTGCTCCAAAGGTTCGCCACCTCCACCTCACTGCAGCAGGGCAGTTACAAGAAGGTTTTACACAAACCTTCCTTTTTAACCCTGGGGGAGGGGCCACCTGCCCCCCCCCCCCAAGCATCCCCTGCTTTATGGTCACTAGAGACTGAAACTAGAGATTGAGAATTGTTTACTGAGGGAATAAATGAAGTCATTTTTCTCATCGTCGCCCCCTGCTGGTCACTACAGAGAATGTTTTTAAAATGCATATAATGTTGAACGTGTGCACCAAGTGACCACGATCCAAACATTTCGCTGTGTCTGGTGTTGCAGGCGGGCAGCTGCTGTGCTGCGAGTCCTGTCCTGCAGCTTTTCACCCCGACTGCTTGAACATCGCGATGCCCGACGGGAGCTGGTTCTGCAACGACTGCCGGGCCGGAAAGAAACCCAAATACAGAGACATCATCTGGGTCAAGCTGGGAAAATACAGGTTAGAGAAACCGATCCCTGGTTCGGCACTGCGTCCTTCTATGAACTAGACTCATTCCTCTCTGTCCGCCCCCCCCCCCGGTCCAGGTGGTGGCCTGCAGAGATCCACCACCCCAGAAACATCCCCACCAACATCCAGCACCTTCGCCACGAGATCGGAGAGTTCCCCGTCTTCTTCTTCGGCTCCAAGGACTACTTCTGGACCCACCAGGGCCGAGTGTTTCCCTACATGGAGGGGGACCGGGGCAGCAAGCACCAGAAGACCGGCATCGGCAAAGTCTTCAAGAACGGTGAAGCTCTAGATGGCTCTTAGATGTCAAGACGTTTCGTGGTCTGTTGAGCTGAAGTTAATGAGCGTCGTCTCGTCTCGTCCCCTCAGCTCTGCTGGAGGCCGAAGCTCGATTCAAGCAGATCAAACTGAAACGAGAGGCCAAGGAAGCACAAGAGAACAGCCGCAAGCCACCGGCATACAAGTTCATCAAGGTGGGGATAGAGAAGTGTCCCTGTTGGCTTTTGACCTCTTTATGCTGCTTTTTTTTGTACCCGACACGTCATCCCGTTTCTCCTCCCAGGTGAACAAACCCGTCGGTAAAGTCCACGTCTACACCGCTGACGTCTCCGAGATCCCAAAGTGCAACTGCAAGCCGGCGGACGAGAGGCCCTGCGGGTTCGAGTCCGAGTGCCTGAACCGCATGCTGCAGTACGAGTGCCACCCCCAGGTGTGTCCCAGCGGGGCGCGCTGCTGCAACCGCGACTTCACCAAGCGCCTCTACCCGGAGACCAAGATCATCAAGACGCCGGGCAAAGGCTGGGGCCTGATCTCTCTCCGGGACGTCAAGAAGGTGAGATCGATTTGGGATTCAAGGCTGAATCTTTACTTTCATATCGAACCGTGTGACTGACGACGATGATGATGATGATCATGATGACGACGTTGATGCCCGCAGGGCGAGTTTGTGAACGAGTACATCGGCGAGCTGGTCGACGAGGAGGAGTGCCGGGCGAGGATCAAGTACGCCCACGAGAACAACATCAGCGACTTCTACATGCTCACCATCGACAAGGTGAGGCCCCGCCCCCCTCGCCGGTGGGGGGACGCGGGGGAACCTGGGGGTACGCGGGGGGGGGCGGCTCCCTGTGTGTCGGGGTGCTGTTTGCTCGTCAGCAGTGCCGTTTCCACGGGAGCCAGAGCAACGCGCTGGTATTGCATTGGGAGCGTTACACGGGAGGCGCGTGTGGCGTCACAGGAGTCAATACTACAAACCCGGAGCGTCCTGTTGTCCTGTTGCATCATCACGTGGTTATTCTCGCCGTTAACGCGGAGGCTCCTCTGCTTTTGTTTTTCGTTTCGCTCGACCCGGTCGGAAGGACCGGATCATCGACGCGGGTCCGAAGGGGAACTACTCTCGCTTCATGAACCACAGCTGTCAGCCCAACTGCGAGACGCAGAAGTGGACGGTGAACGGGGACACGCGGGTCGGCCTGTTCGCCGTCCGCGACATCCCGGCAGGTGAGGGGGGGAGGAGGAGGGGGCGGGGCGGCAGGTGAGAGGCTGCGCACTCTGACGAGGAGGAAGAACGCGGTTCTGACCGAATGGCGGCTGTTTGGTGTTTGATTTCAGGGACGGAGTTGACCTTTAATTACAACCTGGACTGCCTCGGCAACGAGAAGACGGTCTGCCGCTGCGGCGCCCCCAACTGCAGCGGCTTCCTGGGCGACCGGCCCAAGGTGAGCGGGGGCGGGGCGAGAGTAGGGGGGGTGTGGCTACGTTTACAGATGTTAACACATTAACATTCTCACCGCTGCGCTCGTAAACTCACCGCTTCTTGAACGTCTCGTCCGCAGAACTCGAGCAGCCAAACGGCCGAGGCCAAAGCCAAGAGGTCGAAGAGGAAGTACAGGAGGAGGAAGGCCGAGGGGCAGAAGAAGTCCGACGACGACTGTTTCCGCTGCGGCGACGGCGGCCAGCTGGTGCTCTGCGGCAAGAAGACGTGCAGCAAAGCGTATCACCTGTACTGCCTGAACCTCAACAAGAGGCCCTTCGGTAAGAGCGCCTCCTACTCGCTGCCGTCCTTTGCTTATGATGTCATCTAAACACGCCCCCCCCACGTCTCGCAGGCCGCTGGGACTGCCCCTGGCACCACTGTGACGTCTGCGGGAAGAACTCCGAGGCTTTCTGCCAGCTCTGCCCCAACTCCTTCTGCAAGGCTCACCAGGAGGGGGCGCTGCGCTCCTGGCCCCCCACGGGGCAGCTGTGCTGTCTGGAGCACGAGGAGCAGCCGGAGGGGCCCGGCGCCCCGGATCCAGGCGCCGTCATCGCCGCGCTGCAGGCCACGCCCCCCGCCCCAGACGCCGGCAGCCGTCCGGCCAAAAGCTCCAGGAAGGCCGGAGGAGTCGAGGGGAAAACAAAACGCTCCAAGAGGAAAGCGGCAGAGGCCTGAAAGTGACCTTTAACCCCCCCCACACACACCCACACACGCACACACACACGCACACAGAGCCAAAGGAGCGAACTAGACTTTGACACACGAACAAGTAAAAGCACCACTCAAGGCCCCGTACCTCCATCAGGTTTCACTTCCTGCACCAACCGAACGGCCGGTTTTTATTTCCGTTTCACTTCATAGTTCTAGCTTGATAAACTTGATTCCCCCCCGACACAAACTATACACCAGTGTATCACAGACCAAGTCCATGTTTACTGCAACAGTGTGAAGCATCAAACCGGTTGTTTTTATTTCTACGTATTCTGAGTGGATATGAAGCACTATGAGAGGCCCCCGGGGGCCGTAGCTTAGCTTTAACGGTAGACTTTTGTTTTAGCGCAGTCCCGCTGTTTAGGTTAAAGTGATGTTTTCTTTGGCGTGAGGAGTTCATCGAGCAGCGCGTCCAGAGAACGAGCGCTTTAAAAACACTACTGGGGGGGCCGGAGCTCTTGGGTTCTCTCTGGAAGCGATCAATGAAGGAAAAAGGGCCCTTTTTTTATTAAGTTGAATCCGGGTCCTTGCCTCTTTTTTCTTTTCTTTTTTTTCTTTTTCTTTTTAAGATCCGAGGGACAAAGATTTATGGACACGACATCCTCCAGATTCACGCCGTGACTGTTTTCTATTCACGTAAAATCACTGAGGCTCTCAGTGCGAAGACGACCGCCTCTCATCTGCTGTCCCCCTGCATCCTTTTGTTTGTTTAGGACCCAAACAAGATGTTTGGCCCAGATGTTTGCCACACTGGCAAACATCTGGAACGAGGGGGGTGGACGTTACTCCCACGTGACCCCCTCACCCCGCGGTGACCTGTGACCTCCGGCTGCACTTGTGAAACTCAAAAGTGCTGGGGCTGCTCCTGTGTCCACCTGGAGTAACCGACCGAATAGCGCCGTCCGGTTTGTCCTCTGACGGCCACCGTAGTCGTGCCTCTCAGGCGGTTCGGCTGAATTTCATTTCTAAAATTCACAAAAACAGGTGTTGATTTTTGCGACCTGAATCACCCCACAGAGGCCGCGTTTTCGTTTGCTAGACTTCCTCCCCCAGAAAAGTCGAGTCTACGGTGCACATTTCCGTTTTTAGTGCGGCCGTCACAGTTCGCAGGGCGCGCGAGTGTTTTTCGGCTTTGTGTATTCTAACCTCGAGTGAATGTAGTCCAGCCAGTTGTCGTTGTGCGCACTGTAAAGCCCCGTAGAGCTTAACGTGTGAGTAGAGGTTTGATTCTGTAACTACTGTCATAGTAAAACCAGACTAATATGTACATACTGTATAAGTGCCAATAGTGATGCATCTATTGTAAATAACATGCAGTGTTTTTTTGACGCAGTTCTGAAACACTTTTCTGCAGGATCTTACCTCTGAATCATGCAATAAAAAGTGAACAAACACGTCGAATGTTTTCTGCACTTCTCTCGTCCCACAAGTCTTTAAGTTCAATCCGGCGCAATTTCACACAGAACCAGGACCTCCTGAATGGAACCGGTCCCGAGACAAAAGTAATCACTAACTTTTCCTCTGGCTTGTTGGCACCCAGATGAACAGAACATACAAAGAATTCTGACATGGATTAATACATTTTTACCTGACTAACCATTTCAACTTTTCTCTAAATGTCGTACTGTGACATTAAAAGAATCCATGGACTTCCAAAAATATATTTTCAACTTGTTTTTATTATCGGATTAGTTTCTGTACTTAATTTTGCACATTAACGTCACAATTTCCCGAGCTTAGTTTTCTGGCCAACGATCCAAAAACACTGAAGCGGATAAGCAGTAAACAGTCACTTTGAAAAGATATTTCAAACTAATCAATTAACCAAAATAACTGGAGGATAACTGTATTACACCCACATTCGGCTCAAATGTATTTTGTTGTCGAGCTTTATTTCATTTCATTCTTAAGTTCCTGAAACAACATCAAGTACAGATCCCAGACCGACGCCGTCCAGTTTTATTCCTCTAAGACGACAAAAACACGGTTCATTTTGCATAACAGTAGTACAGCAGCGGCCGAGGGTACAAAATGCTTTTTTCCATTTTTCAGTGTAAAAATAACTCTCCTCGTACCTCACACCTGTGCCGTCCTCTCGTAGTGCAAACGCTTCAAAATAAAAGTTAGGCACATGATGGAAACGATACGATCGCTGTTCAATTACACTTAAGTGCTGATGACGTCATTCTGAACTCTTTTTTTCGGTTTCCTCCAGTTCGAAGAGTTCAACGAAGGACGACAGCTGGAGTTTAAATAGCGATAAAAAAGGGGCAGTTTGACCGTCAGATGAAGCTTGATTTTAAAAAGAGACCTAAAAAAAAAAAAAAGTCCTATTTCGCTGACGTGGCGATTATCCGCGTCAGCTTTCTTTGTCTAAGTGCAACTATGTAAAAATAAAAAATACAAACTCCATTGCAAGCTTATGGTCCCGAGCAACATTCACAACTTCTCTGCATTGATGCTTCTGCGCGTAAACATCTGCGCGAGCGTTTCAGTGGCAACTTGACATCATTCTACTTTTTAAGAGGAAAAGAAAAGAAAAAAAAAATAGCTCAAAATAAAGTCAATTATTTCCCAGATTTACATATGTTACAAGTAAAAAATAAATATCAGCTCTGTTTTTGAATGTAGGCATTTTATGATTCGTCTGCGACTGAGCAGCTCATCAGGAGGCCAGCACGCCGCGGCGGATGATGTCGGAGCCGTAGCGCCGGCCCAGCGGCGCGGCGCCCCTCAGCTGGCAGCGCTTCAGGCGGGGCTCGTCCTCGCCCGCCTGGGAGTCGGAGGCGTAGCGGTCGCTCGCCGGCCCCGCGCGGAGGCGGGTCTTCGGGTACGACGGCTCAGGCGCCTTGGTCAGGGGCCTCAGCTGGGCCTCCTTCTCCTCCACTTCTTCGTGTTCCTCCTCCTCCTCCTCCTCCTCGTCATCCTCCTCCGCCGTCCGCGGCCGCTCGCTCCTCTTCGGGATCCTGAACTTCCCCCAGCCTCTGAGATGTCTGCCGGTCGCGTGCGAGCCGCTCGGAGCTTTGCGAGGCCAACTGTCTGAACTGTGGTTTCCCCGCTGGGGTTTAGTCTTGGCCGACGCCTCCAGGGAGGCGGGGCTTCTTCTGGTCGCCGCCTCGCCCAGGAAGAAGTCGTCGTGGTCGGAGTTCCTGATGTCGACCAGCCGGATGGACACGGTTTTCTCCAGGTGCTTCAAGCCGAAGCGGTTCTTCACCTGGCTGGGGAAGCTCTCCGCCGCGTCGCTCCTCCTCTTCCTCTTCCTCTCCTCTGGCTCGGGCCCCGGGGCCTCCCTCCTGGGGCCCTTCCTGCAGTCGGCCCTGTGCAGCTTGACCGTGATCGTCTCCTGCACGGCGTCCGGCCTGTGAGGCTTCAGCGGCTGGACGTGCCGGCCGGTCTGGGCCTCGGCGGGCTCTTTGGCTCGGGCGCTTTTACAATCACGCGTCTGCGGCGGTTTGCTGCCATTCTCCTTCCTGTGAGTGTGCGCCGAGTCAGCGAGGCCCTTCCTGTCGCCGCCCTTCATCTTCTCCTGGCCGGAGGACGGTGGTCTGGTCTTCAGTCCGCAGCGACTCTGGGAGCCCTGAGAGGACAAGCGGCCCAGCGAGAAGAGCTCCTCCAAATCCTCCTCGGGGGGGTCGCCTGCAACAGACATTCGGGGGAACCATGTCATGACCTCATAACGACGTTGTTTCACGCACAACACATTTGGTTGAAGTTTTGATCGGAGAAGAAGAACATCGTTGCATGTGATCATTCACGCGTCGGTTACTGAAGACGTCCTCTCAACCATCTCACAAAATGAGTCACCTGAGAGCAGCTGGTGGTCGAGCAGTCGGACCTGGTGCTGGAAGATCTGCTCCTGGACTCTCCACGACGAGCGCTTCATCTTCTCCCTCCGAGTCACCATGTAGGTCAGGTTACGGACCTGAGGAGCCAAGTCAAGTCAACAACCTCCGACCCCAAATTACACCCAACACGGGACAATATCCTAAAGACCCACCGGGACCTTCAACTCGGATCGAATGAAACTAAATCCTTATGCAGCCCTATTTTAGATGGATCTTCTAGTATGTGTTGCAGTGATTAGACATACGTATATACTCTGTACTGGAGTAGAACCAGGTCGCTAAAAGGACGAGTGCTGCCGACTAACTACAGATACAGAATGGATTCGGTTTCTCTCGCCTGCATCATTTGCGGCTTTTATTTTCACATTTAGTGACCTGAACTAAACAAAGTGCCTCTCTAACCCTAAAAGAAGGGAAGTAAAATGAACACAGAACGTCTGTGAGGCCGTAGCCATGGAGACGCCACCCAATGGCTTCTAGAGGTTTTGGAGTACGGATAACTGACTATGTTCTATAAATGGACCATAATCTAAATGAACATCACACTGTGTTGAAACTAGAGACAGACCATAAACTCATGTTTACTGAGGGGACGAATCAATAGAGAAGTAGTCTCATTTTCTCAGACGTCTATGGACCAGAGGATTTTAACGTGACTCGCACGGGTCACATTGTAAAATAGTTTCTAAACGTATTATATTCTCTTTTATTGGGATTAAATGTAATCTATAAAAGCAAACTTCCTCATATTATAGTCAAATTTATTTTAACTTCTCCCGAGTCTCCCCTGTCCACTCGGGTGGGGTGGGGTGGACACCTACCCTCTCCAGGTCCTGGCGCAGGTGCGTGAAGAGCTGCAGGCGGCGCAGCAGCACCTCGTGCTCGCGGCGCGCCAGGCTCTCCTCCTCGTCCTTCTTGGGCGTGAGGAGCGGCTGGTTGAAGTTGGCTTTGCGCTTCAGCTTCCAGTACTGGAACAGGAAGTCCACCGCCTCCGCCGGCAGCTTCAGGTGGGCGGCCACCTCCTCCGCCCGCACAAACTGGTAGAACTCCTCCTCCATCTCCTGCAGCTTCAGCTTGCGGAGGCTGACCCTCTTCTCCTGCTGGCGGCTGGCGAGCAGCTCCCGCTCGCTTGGCGCCTTGTCGGCGCGCCGGGGAGCCGCGTGGGACAGGGGGCGGGGGGAGGCGGCCTCCTCCTCCTCCTCCTCCTCCTCCTCCCCACCGCCTCTCACCCTGCCTCTCCTCCGGCCCTTCTTGTCTCTGGCGCTCTCCTTGTCCTCCTCGCCTCCCGAGTCCCGCTCCCTGGACTCGGCGCCCTCCAGCCCGGAGTGCTTGGGGCAGTAGGACTTGAACTTGACCTCGTCCTCCTCCGTGAGGATGGTGTTCATCTCCAGGCTGGCGTGGAGGCCGCACGTGACGTGGAAGGCGGTGCGGCAGTTGTTCGCCGAGCACTGCAGCAGCAAACACAACGTTGATGAACATCGGAGGCACCGAGCGTCAGCTGACTCGTTTCACGGACATTAAAGGTGGTCAAACTAAATGTTTTCACTGATTGGATAGATTCATGCATCGCTAGCAAAGTCATTAGAACTGAAAGAATTCCCTTTATAACAAAACATGCAACTGGCAGGAGTGCTTGTAGTCATGTCATTAGATCACTTTTATCTCCATGTGAGACTGCACCTGGATGCACGCGCCGGCCTTCTCTTTACACAGGCAGCAGATCAGCGCCCAGCGGTTGCCGGGGATGTGCGACACGTTGGTGATCGGCTCCATCTTCTCTGGATTCCCGATGCTCACCTGCAGAGAGACGTGCCATCAGTCGCCTGTAGAGATCGGGGTGGTGACTCGCCCGTCCCGCGGATACATTGAACTAACCGGAGGACACTTTCTATGTGTTTCAGCACCCGATGCCTGAATATTGGCTTTTCAGTCACAGTTATGGATCCTCGGTTTCAGCTACATTACAAGTTACCAATCAGAAATTAAGTTTAGATGTCAATTTCGGTTTTTTTAATGGAGAATAAAGGCTGGAAACATATTTCCATTTGCCGAGTTGCTGTTGAAGCGTAAATAATAATACAAATACGAATGAAGGAGTCGCACAGTACTGGAGTACCGCACCAAAGGGGCGAGCGTGACCTGCGCATAAAACACGTGCCATAAGTAAGAAGGTACTAGAAACTGGTGGATTTGAGCTTCACCTCTGGGATCCACAAGGCGCAGCTGACGTGCACCCACTTGGTTCCGCTCCGCGTGGGCTTCATGGCCCCCCCCTTCTTCGGACACAGCTGGCACTTTGGCAGGATGCCCAGGGCACAGATGCGACACAGCCAGCTGCCCTTTGGGACCTTCTGGATGCCGTAGCACGCCTGGCGAGGAACGCGGAGGGAGGACAGCTCAGCTCCAGCAAGCGGAAATCAATACAGCGCCGACAGGAGAAAGTGTGTGTGTGTTGACCTCTGACCTGGTGAACACAGATGTTGCACTTGTCGCAGAACACCATCTCGTTGTTGTCCTCCCCGTCGGGGGACCGGCAGACGTCACACACCACGTCCTCGTCGTACTCGATGCCGAGCCCCTCCTCCGTCTCCATGGCGTGCGTCATGTTTTCGTGGCAGCGCCGCTCAAACTCCTCCATCACGCGCTCCATGGTGATCTCGTCAAGCGGCGGCATGGCTGGAAAGAAGGGAGTGAAAAGTTGACCATTTTGAAAACATTAAACCACTTATTTAATTTCCACATTTCTGTGCCAATTGAAGTATTGTGTCTGTGTCGCAGGTTCCCGGTTGGCTGGAGGTTGTTAACCAGATTGGGGGCCGCCGGCATTAAGAGACGCCCAACCGCAGCAGTACCAAACATAAAAAATGTTAATCTCTCTCCGAATAACCAGCTCACCCATCTCCGCAAACTCCTTGTTGGCGGCTTGCAGCCAGGCGGCGTCCTCCTCGTTCAGGTCGTAGCGGCACATTCCTTCCGCCAGCGTCCGGATGTCCACGTAGCCCAGGGCCTCGGCGCCCGACGTCCGGATGAGCTTCTTCGGCTTCACGAACATGACCTCCTTTCCTTTCTCAACCAGCACCCTGCCAGGCGCCGCCAGAAAGGTTCTCTTTTAGAAACTTTTCTGAGACATATTTTCTGTCATAACATTAAAAGACTGAGCAAAGAGCAAACGGGACCAAAAGAACATGTTAATATTTGGCTACATCAAAGTGAAAAAATATCACCTGAAATGGCATCAAGAATATTGCTCTGCTAAACATATTTTAATGATTTGTCCACATCCACGTGTTGTTTTCAGTCGCTCTCTAACTTTGTTTGCCGGATCTCAAACTTTCTGAGAGTGAACCCTGTTGGTAGAAACTGAAAGGAGACAATGGCTCTCTAAAGAAGCCTTTTAAGTTGGTGTCCACACAAACACTCCTGCATTCTCCCTCGGGGACAATACGAGACTGAACAGGCTGCGTCCTGTCCTACCTGGTGACGGGCTGCGGGATGGACTGGGGGCTGACAGGAACCTGGACGCCCTTCTCCCACTCCTGCCGCCACTGGTCGGCGAGGACGTAGTAGTCCTCGGGGGTCAGCTGGTACGAGTCGTGCACCTTCATGGCGGTGATCAGGTCGGTCCTGAAGACCTGCATGAGAACTAGAGTCAGTGCGGTTTAGGGAATAACCTTACTGTTGTTTCAGACACAAGTTATCAAACTCTTTAGTGCAAATATTCACACGTGAAATACGTTGGGCCTCTGAAAATATCAGTGAGGAAAAAATATACAAATACAGTGAAACCATCAGATAGGATCTTCAGGCACCATTAAGCCACACAAGTCAATGATTTCATCGGGAAGACTCGAAGCTCACATGAGTCTAAAAAAAGGACTTGTGACGTGTACATAATGTTTCTAACCACAAAGATGTTGCTTCGCAGGGTTTACACAGGCTAAAGAAACAACCACGTTATCAAAACACAGCAGGCAGGAACCAGCCAATCAGCATCCTGCTCTGGCCTGAGTCATGGCCTTGCTTTGATTTGATTGGTTCTTGGTGTGAGGGCGTGAACGGTGGCCTGCAGCGACCAAGTCCACAGTCTGCACAGCAGATAAGCTTCACAGCGTGGAAGATTAAATCAATGAAGGTTACAAATAAAGATTTGGGTTACAAACATCTTGTCACTATCAATCAAAATCAACCCTGTGTTCATTAAATCATCTTTTTTTTCCTCTATCCAAACACTGCTTTTTTTCAAAACGAAACAAATAAATAAAACATGATGGCAGAAAGTGCGAATGAAAGCAGAAGGGCTGTACGCATGTTGATCATAATCTGATCACGAGTTCAGACGGGCGCACCTCGGAGGGCTTCTGACCCGTCCCCCTCCTGGGCTGTGACGAATGCTGCGACCAGCAGGTGGAATTACCTGGAGGAGAAACACAAAAGAGTGGTAGAGTCTTCTTAGTCCTTTTCTGCTTTGATGAGCGACCTCACATCCTTAAACACGTGTGGATTTCCCCCAACTCGAAGCGGGGAAACTCAGCAACTGACATTTTCCTTTTTCAATTTCACTTCTTCACGTCTCACTGATTTCACTTTGGGCTTGTTGTACAATTACTGACAGCGGCAGCAGTCACTTATGACCAGATGAGACCGAAGCCATTATTTTCACTACTCAGAAACCCGAATGAGCATCTCATTAAAGCGTTGAACTGTTTGTGTAGCTTAACGCTCAATCGGACCTTGGCTGAAAGCCCTTTACAGCTCCGGGTCACACCAGAAGCATTGGATTAATAAGTGTTTCTGAAAGTGTTCGCTGATGACAAACGTGCCCCCGTCTGCCTGACCTGACCTGGAAGGATGTCTTTAAAGGCCCGCGGGCCTCTACTCTGTCGCCTGTCTCTCAGATTGTAGGCCTTCTTTTTTTGTTCCTTAATCTTTGTCCATCTGCTGCCTTTCTTTCCCTTCCTCGCTCTCGGTTTGCTTCCTGAACATGAAGTACACATTTACTGACCCTGACAGCAAAAGGTTTGGGAGTCATGTTCAGCAAACGACAACTTCCCTGTTAAAAGCCATTACTCTGGCGCTTTTCACTTTTGCAGAGTTGAGCTTGACCTGATTCGGCTCTATATTTGGACCCAATGAGTCAGCGGGGACGATATCTTTTGCTTACTTCCATTGTCGGAGTCGTCGCTGCTGCTGCTGGGGTGCCTGCTTCTCTTCATCATCGTGAGGGACACTTCTGGGACACTTCACACAAACCAGACAGGAGGACAAGTTACAGACGGGATTGGGGACAGTCTAAAAGAGACAGAGCTGTTATTAAGAACGTTCTAGAACATTTGGAAGAGGACTTTTAAAATTCTGACTCAAAAACAAACATGACGTCATCGCACATAAAGAGTGAGTTAGAACAGCAACAACTTTAGAAGACGCGGACATGATGAACAATTAAACCACTGCACATAATTTCCCCCCCATAAATAAAAGCTCACGCATGAACATGATCGACACGTTGAAGCGCTCACGGTGCTGCTGGAAAACTGTGTGCGGATTTAAGAACCGAGGCAAACAGACGGGTTACTATCCCCGAAGATACACTCAATATTCACACATTGGGTTATTTTTATATATAAACCGGGTGGATGTCGAAGCCGAACAGCAGCAGTGACTTGTCACTATTCCTCCCGTTTCCTGCTGATCCGACAGCTATCGGGCTCTGTATCTAATGCCGATGTGTATACATACCGGTCACTGCTCAGCGAGGACAACAACAAGGCAACACAAGCCACAGGCACCAAACAGCGCCTTGTACGGGTTCCGCTTACGACGTGTAAAAAGCCCTCCAATAGTCCCGACATGTGGCCATATTTTAGTACGGGGAAAGGTGCTAACCCCGAGGTAGCTCGTTAGGCTAACAGCGGGCTAGCCACACGGTTTGTGTGACGCCCCTTCTTCCAGCAAACACGCAAACGAAAGTATCGGCTAACTAGCGAGCGGCTAACTGTAGCCAGCAGGTTAAAGGGTCGGAAAGCCGGCCTTGTTGTTCCCCTGACAACACGTTAATGAATACGGGTCAATGTGCGTGTGGGGTTTACAACGTGCCCGCTAATTAGCGCAATCAGACCACATAGCGCCGAGCGTTTTGAATCACGATACAAATGCTAGCTAACTAACATTAGCCAAAGCTAACCCCCCCCCCCCTCCCCCGGGCCACCACCACAACCGTTATGCAACAAGAGGGCCCACCCACACCCGGCGGCCGCACGTCGACATGTTTTTCTGTGATAAGAAAGTTGCTACGCCCGTTAACTTAAAACAAGCCGCTCAGCCAAAGCTGCGGTTAACACCCCGGGGGTTATACGTTACGCGAGCCTTTCTTACATGTTTGTCTACACGTTAAATATAGCGGTTATGGGGAGGCTGGTTGTTAGCCACATCGGCTAGCCCGTTAGCTAGTCAGCTTTTAGCATTAGCCATCGGCTGCTGACGTAACGTTAGCTTCTACGGGGCTAACGTTATTTAACGCTAGCTAACGGTCCCTGGTCAGTTATTTGTCAAGGGTTAAGGGTCAACAATTGGATTCAAACAAACCACCCGAAACGTGAACACGCTCGTGAATTAACTAGCTTAACTAACGTTAACTAGTACAGCCATGTTGTTGTGCTATCTGGACGTTGCTAGCCAGCAGGGTACAGTATGGAACATTTACCAGCAGCGGTCCACGGGCTGAGGTTAATCTTTGGCGCCATTTTAAATGACGATGTCGCGTTTTTCCGTGCGACCATTAATACAAAAACACATCGACTTCAAATCAGCCCGTTAAAAAAACATCCACACGACTTGAAACCTGCGTGTAGTTTGTAGGGGGGGGAAAAGAGTGGACGGTACATACAGAGAACTTCGGGCCCGACGAAAGCCGGTGTTTTGAGTTTGATGCGTGAAGCGCAGGTTTCGGCCGTGAGTTCCGCTTGACCCGCATTCCCCATACACACAAGCGGGGAGCGGGGAGGCGGTTACCCGCGGCGCGCTGCGGGGGCGCCGGTTCGACGCTGGAGGGCAGCAGAGTCCGACGAAACCGGAATCCAACAAACGGCTACCGGTGCGTCACATCTGAGTAAGAACGTTTAAATACGCCCGTCGTTTCCCGCTGCGCGCGCCCGCTTTCAAATGTCAACACGCGGAACGTGCGACCTTCTACCATCGCGTCGTTCCACCGTCTCCTGTTTGCAGAGTACACACAGGTAATTAGAACGAAGCACAATCAATGGAACCTTAAAGAATGATATTAACTTGTTTTTGTTACCGGGTCAATTAAGTACATTTGAGGAAATTGTCATTGAAACCGTCTCTTGAATTGTTTTATTATAAGATAAGTCATTTTCAGCTATATATTTGAGTGTATGCACTATTGATCATTTTTGTATTGGGTTTCTGTTCGGTTTATTTTATTTGTAATGATTCGTATACGTGATTATAATAAACACATTTTTGTTACTTATTATTAAGAACATGACTGTTTATGAAACTAGGATCATAGTACAGAAGACGACAAGCGGTAAGATTTGAGCATCGTCTTTGATTTAATGTAAACATGAAAACAAGTGAACAAAACCATGTGGGGATTTAAAAAGGAGTTTTTAGAAGCTTCCATTAAACATGTTGATATATATTTTACATTCACACCTAATCTACGACACAAGTAAATCACTTACACGGGCATGTAGCATGTATTCGGTGTGTGACTTACATATTTACACCTGACATTATGTAAATCACACAACGAAATGCAACAAACAAAGAAAATATATATATATTTTTAATAACACTACGATGATTTCCTTCAACCAGAATCTCCCACAACAGCTTAAAAATATGAAAAAGATAAATCGTGGGAGAATGACAACAACAATGAGGTTTGTCTTGCACGCCGCTTGAGAGGGAACCTGAACGCATCGCGGTGAGCAGGGAGGACACAGTCAAACATCGCAACAACAGTTTTATGCTAAATTCAGCGCTTTTTAAAATGTTTTTTCACTGAAGGTTTGTAATGCTTCTTTGTCTACTGAATCCTCAAAAACATTAATAAAAGACGGGATCATTACAATGAGAAACTTTCTGAAAATAAAAAAAATGATCAAACACTGAATCAATGCTGTAACTCAAAATAATTCTCGTCGTTGCAAAATAATGAGAATCATTTGATCTCCACAAATATGCACAAGTATGCGACTTATAAACAAAAATAAACCACAGCAGCAACTTCAATCCAGAGAAGGTTTTCATTTGTAGGACAAGATTACCTGTAACATCGGAAAACATCACGGGGGACGACCAGGACACACACGGTGAATCTACCACACTCAAACCCACAGAGCTCAAACGCTGATGTCCGACCTCAAACCTTTTCACGGCCTCAAAACGCCCGACGTGGCCGCCGCCCCCCGACGGCTCATCTGACGGCCAGGATGGCGTCGTAGGACTTGCCGGTCCGGCACACCTGCACGTCGTGGAAGCCGGTCCTGTTGAGGAGGCCGGTGTACCCGGAGGGCGGGCGCTCCCGACCCTCCATCTGCACCAGCATGTTGAGGGAGAAGATCTGAGCCGTGACGGGACCCCGTCTGTTCTCAAAGAGCAGGGCCTCCACCCAGCAGGGACGCCTCCGCCTAGCAGCGGGGACAAAGGAGACCGGAGAGCTGAACGAGTCCGTCCAGAGGAGTGAACAACATGGTCGTGTTGTTCGACCAGTGAACAGAAGCTTAGTACACGCGCTCCATGAGTCTACGGAGGGATGTATGTAGAAATAACGGAGGGTAAAAGCGTGTTTTGGGATCTTTCGGGGTGAACGGTGCCTTCAAACTCACCTGGCTTGCAGGCGTCGTAGAGCTTCTTCAGCAGCGCGAGGCACTTCTCCTCGGGCCAGTCGTGAATGATTCGGGCCAGAACGTAAAGGTCAGCAGGAGGAAGTTCACCGCTGAAGAAATCTCCTGCGAGAGAAACGGGAAGAAACACTTCAGATGAATCCCGAAAATACAACGTCGGCGTTTAAAAGCACCGCGCAAACGACCGAGATTGAAGCACACGAGATGTTGAATGTGGAGGCTCACCGCCGAGGAACCGCACGGCGCCGGCGTCCTCCTGGGGGAAATGTTTCAGCGCCGTCTCCACCACCTGCGGGAGGTCGAACACGGTGACGGAGGAGGACGGGTACGCCTTCGCCATCTCCCGGGCCAGAGCCCCAGTGCATCCTGGGAGTTATTCAGACGGAACCGTGTCAGTGTGCAGAGCTGGAATGTGACCAGTACATTCGCCCAATTAATGTACAAATGTGAGGTACTTCTTTGTTTTGAGTGATTTTAAATATTTAGATCAATTAATCAATTTAAATGTATAATTAATTACAAAAAAAAATTGTTACAAAAATAATTTAATTCAAATGGAAAATAAGCCTCAGATTAATACAAATAATAGTTAATAATTAAAACAACTTTACAGGACTGTTTGAGTAACATAATGTAATTTTATAATTTCTAATAGTAGAACAGTCTCAAATCTAATACTTAAAGTAACATTTAGCAGGAGTTTTACTTGTAATGGAGTAATTTGTGTTGTATTAGTACTGAATAAATGTCACATTAAATAATATAGTGTGGATAATAACGTAATAATAATGTATTGTATCAATTGTTTCTTTACATATTGATCTAACAATCATGTTTCATTTCAAATTAAGACAAAAAAACACGCTGATTTATTTCATATATTTTGGGTCAAAATGCAAAAACGAAATAAAACGCTCTCACCTCCGAGGTCCACTATCTTCTGGAAGCCGGAGAGGTCGAAGGCCGTCGCGATGTCGTGTCCGTCCAGAACCCACGAGGAGTTCATCAGACCCATGAACCTCAGCATCTCCTCCTCGGATCTGTGCGGGGATCACAAAGCCCGCAGGGTTGAGTCACCCAGCAAACGAGGTCAAAGGTTACGGCGTGCGGAGCGGTAAGGCCGACGCCCACCTGTACACGGCCTGGAAGATGTCCTCCGGGGGGAGGCCGAAGGCCTTTTCGTTCTGGTTCCTTCCCTCCCTGCGTGGCGGGAAGAGGAGAGGATGACGACGGAGAACGATGGCTCTGTATAAGGGTCAATATAAAGGAACACGAGAAGACACAGGAAAAACAGGTAAAGAACCCCGGGTCACCTGACGGCGTCGGCCAGGTGGTTCCACAGCGGGTACACGGTCTGGGACTGGTACGCGATCATGTCGTGGAGGGACTTGCTGCTGCCTCTGGCCAGGTACAGGTTGGCCACGTCGGTGCTGCTGTACACAGCTGTGGCAAAGGACGACAAGTTCAAACTGTCAACGTTCTCCACATCTGCAGACTTGACGCTCTTCTTCCTCGTCTCACACGAGAGGGAAGTTAGTGTTTTTCTGCTTGTTGCGGGGTTCCTCAGGGCTTCCTCCTCCTCCTCCTCACCTGCCCCGTCTGAGGTCTCCACCTCCAGGATCTCCATGCCCACCAGCGCGTCCAGCAGCCGCTCCGTCCCGTCCACACTGGTGCTCAGCTCCCGGGCGACATGCTGCGCACTCATCGGCTCCGGTGACCTCAGCAGGAGGTCAAACACCCCCAGCTCACAGGCCGAGAAAATCACCTGCAGGGGTCCACATAGTAGATTTATAGCAGATATATAGAATGCATGTCAGTGTGTAGTACATATATATCCACATACGTGCACACACACACACACACACACAAACACATAAATGTATCAGATTAAAACAAATAATCCTGAAGTCATAAAACATTTAATATATATTATAAATGCACAGAATAGTATAGTTCCAGCTGAAATACATTTCAGTCCTGTTTTTTATACTAGGAGATGGAAGTGTGAAACGTGCTCCCTGCAGGGAACCTGCTAAATGAACCATGACGTCACCTTCGACACCCTGAAGCCGTTGAAATACTCCAGAAGTTTGAAGGGGTAGTCCAGCTCGCTGCGGGACAGATGCTCGGCCATCATCCCGGCAGACAGTCCGCGCTCAGCCGTTCGCCACCGAGGGATCCGCGCCGGTCCGCGTGCGAGGGGACAAAACCACAGCGGAGTTTGTGAAATGAGCCCAAAAAAAGCAAAAGCCCAGCCAAGATGTCGGTGGTGCGTTCAGGGACGATCGGTTAAAATGGTCGAGGGATCGTCAGAAAATGCGTCCCTGGTCCGGATCTTTAGAGGATCCTCTTCGACCGGAGAGACACAGCAGCGACTAGTTTCACTGAAATACACGCGCACACGGACACGCGCGCACACACACACACTAGCGCGAGACGGTGCAGTTCTTGGATCATCCGCAGCGCGAGTGGTGGCGCTGCTGAGCTGTTTATTGTAAAGATAATGTACACTTGGACAAAGCGTGGTTACGTGCATCCAATTCTGTTAAGAAATAAACATTTATGATATATAAATTATTTCTAATAGAATATTTACTTATTTCCTTTTTTGTCCTGTATTTTTTTTATAGTGTTCATTATTTAACCCAATTTACTTATTTTTCCTGTTTATTCAATTCAATTCGCCTTAGAGGGTTTACAGTCTGTACACATGCGACATACTCCAGGAATGTTATAAAAATTGAATGTATTATACATCTTTTATGTACAACATCCTACACATTCACGTTTGTTATGAAAGTCCATCATTCTTAAAATCTTGCTTTCTACATCATGAAACATTCCTCTTTTTCTTCTGTCAGCTAGTTGGTGTCTGGCCTGAAGTGCTTATTTTTAGTTTGTGCTCAACATCTGGAGTTAATAACTTGTTCACGGAGCATCAGCCTGTTTTTGTTCCTGGTTTTTCTGCACACGTTCACATTCCTTAGATGAACATTATCAAACTAACTCCGTTCAACAATGTCTCTGTGGTAAGAATTAAATAAAAGTCATTACTGACGGTTCAAACGCTCCATTAAAAATTAAAACACACAAAAGAAATGTCAGGATAATCGATCAGGTGATGACTTCACATTTGAGTCTCCTCAGATATTAAACCGAAATGAAAAAGTTTTTCCCCTCGTTCGGAACTGAGCAACACTTAAAGAATCTCAACAATAAAAAAAAAATCCTGCGAATAAACTCCAGACACCTTCAATTATTAACCAAATCGATTTATTATGCATGAACAAATCCCTTCCTGCCTGTCACGCAGACAGACACACACACACAAAAGCGCACACACGCACACACCCACACACCCAACATTTAAATACATGACGTGGTGGGGAATTCGGCATAGCTCACTTTGTTGTTGCACATGCTTTAATAAAATGATAGATATATTTACAGGATAAGCAACGTCTCTGAACAAAACACGCGAGGAACAGCTCCCGGTCCGGCCCAGCAGCATTTCGCAACACTTTTTGTCGTCGTTGTTGTTTGTTTTGGAAGGGGGGGGGGGGTTACCCACATTTTTAAAAAAAGTTCTGAACCGAAAAAAGAAAAACCATGGGGGGTTTTGGCCGATAGGACAAAGCATTATGCACATCTGGAGTTCATCACCTACATACATATGGCAGTAACACTGAGCAATTCATACGGTCTATTTACAGTTTGTGAAGTGGGGAAATATTAAGTCTGACAGAACGTACATGCCTTTCTCTAAAGTCAGGGGACGCCTCCGTTTCTTCGCCCGCCTCCACCTCCTTCGGAGCGGTCAGGACTGACGCAACAAACAAAATAAGGCACGATTAATACTTGGACCATTTTTTGGGGGGGAGCTACAGACTTGCAGCTCGGCTCGTGAGGCCGTGTAAACAATGGAGTCGATTGATTAGGACCGCCGTCATCACATTTCCTTTGGTGTTTCCTGATCCGGGATTCTTTGGTTTTAAGGCCCTAACCCCCCCCCTTTCTTCCTCCAGATCCCCCCCCCCCCCCCCCCCCCCACACACTATGCTACTCAACAAATACAATCACATGGTGACAAACAGAAAACTAGTAGTGCATTCACTACAAACACAACAGGAAAATGCAACGGCCCCATCGCCTCCACAGAGCTGATTCTCAGGTCGCAGCGCCGCCCTCGACAGCGGGGACAACTACCCAAAAACAAAATAACAACATGTTGATTGACAAGCCGTCCAAAGCTGAAGCAGAAGTTTCAGATGCGATGTGACTAAACCGAAGATAAAAAAAAAGAGAACTCCGGACCCACCGATCGACCTTGACCGATGTGTTCCTCTACGTCGGACCACCTCCACCCGGGGCTCAGTGGCGACCCCACCCCCCCCGCCTTTTGGAGAAATGACTAAAATATTATGTGTTTTGTTTCAAATACATCTAACTGCACAAACAATCCCTTCTGCCACCCCCGAGTTTGTCTTTAAAAGAAGAAAAAAGCCCCCATCCAAGATGTTTTGACCCGCTTCCTGGTGGTGGTCATCTCTGCAGGATGAAGAGGGAGGTGGGTGGTGGTGAAGGTTGGTTGGGGGGGTTGGGAAGAGGTCCGGGCCTCCAAACTTAAGTCTGGCCCCCTCTCCGCGGAGAACAGCCGCGGCACCAGACAGATTGAGGGGGAGAAGCGTTTTTTGGGAGTTCGAGGCAGGGAGAGAGGAGGCGGGGAGGTGGAGGGGTGGGGGTGGGGGAGGTGGGGGTGTCTGTCGCAGCTGTCTGCCGGCTCCTGGCTTTGGTCGGTGTGAAGGAACCGCTCAGTCGTGCTTCAGGTGGTCTTTGACGTCCTCCTCGTCCGTGTACTCCGACGGCTCGTCTCCGGGCTTCAGCAACCGCCCGACGTAGTCGTACTTCTCTGCAACGACGGCGGGAAAATGATAAATGTGTTGAACGCGAAGTGAAGCATTATTATTGGATTCATGCTTGTGAATCAGAAAAGGTAAATAATATTGACTTCTTTTTAATGCAATTACTCAATTAATCCGTTGCGGCTGTTTTTCTTTTAGAAAAGAATCAATTCTTTCAGATACAAAAACAAACACGGGCCAAAATAAAAAAAAAGGGCCTGCGAGAAATTTCTAGTAATTTTTTCAAATGCAATATCAGAAGATATTTTGCCCACCATCAAGGAAAAGAAGAGACTTCTAATTGACAAGGGTGATCAGCTGAATTTTTGATTTAAAAATACATTTAAAAAAAATCAAACAACTACACCAAAATGTAAATGTTTCTACTTTGCGATGATATAAAAGCAGAAAAAAAAGAACATCTGAGAAGCAAATTGTGATCCTGAAACAGGTGACAAATCTAAATTCTAAAAAAGACTGAATTTGAAGGAGAGTTCTGGTCTCACATCAGTCGTAGAAGTAAACAAGCTTTGAGCAATTTACTGTCATCTTCTTACGCGAGTTAATCAGACATCGTTCGGGGACGCCAACTTCTAAATCTGCCCTTTCCAGCTTTAAACGTCTTATCTCTCTGCTGCATCCAGAGGCGTGCTCTCCGCGGGCAAAGCGTAACACCCCGCATTTAACCCGAGGGCCTCTTGATGTGAAGTAAAACATGAGCCGTGACTCTTGTATACGTTCGAGGCGTGTTTAAGATAAGGGGATCTAAAAGTGTTACATCTGAACAATCCACACATTACCAAGTGTAAAAGTACAAGAATGACAGCGATGAACGCGGAGCTGTGGAGGAAGCGTACCCATGAACTGCATCTCCCACTCCCTCACGCTCTCCATCTGCACGGCGCTGAGGTCCGACAGGTCGTCGTACTCGTCCCGCAGGGCGTCTTTCTCCAGGCAGAAGGTGGCCAAGCCCCTCGAAGCGTCCCGGGCCGCGAAGATGCCGTAAGGACCGTCTGAGGGAGGAGAAGCAGTCAGCATGAACTACGACAAAGCGGCCTCGTTCTGTGCCTGGTGGGTATCGATCTATTTCCATCTCACTCGAGTGACGGAGCGAAGTGTAAAGGTAACCGGTTCTATTCCAGCAACGAGTTCCACCTCTGCGATTAACCCAGAACGGGTCACGTGACCACCGCTGCTTCACGTTAAAGGCCTTTAGGACTGCGGGTGAGTGAAGCCCTTGAAGACAGAAAAAATAAAAACACTGCTTCTTCTTTGAGGCTGAAGACAGCAGACCGTCTCAAACACTCTGAGATGAAATACATGTCGTTATTGTGGTTTTCCTGTCTGGTAACTTCTACCAACATTTTCAGCCTCAGCTGTAGCAAAACATAAAGCAAACATCTACACATGCTTTTCTCAAAGAGCATCACGAGGCCCCTCTGACGCTGTGTTTTAAACTGTCCCTCCAGAAGAACATCATCTGATCAGCATGTGAAACTCTGCAGGCCCGTCGGCTTTCTGCTAATATTTGCACAACAAATTAGAAAAAGAAAAAGGCCCCCGAGTCCAAACCGCCGCCTTATCGCCTCAGAGATTAGATCCTCGTGTCATAAGGAGCATTTTACAGATTAAAAATGGCAACCTTAAGTGACACCACAGCAACATTCCGCTGTTATTAAAATGTCTATTATTAGAATATTTTAGAGGAGTGTCAAGACTCACAACAACAAAAATGTGTCACAAGTCATGGGAAAGGCGTGACTCTTCTAACAAGAAGAGCAACCATTTCATTTTGTAACTACTTTAAAAATCTCTGAGTGTAAAACGTTCAAAATATGAACAAACAGGCAAACTGTCACTTTCTAGAAAATAGACCAAACTACAGCTGAACACAAATATTTGTTTGTTTGTTGGGGCTCCGGCCCGGTGACACGTGAGACGGGAGGGGGGGAGGGGGGTGTTAGCTGTAATAATTATAGTTCATTACACGCTGGACGGGGGCTAACGTTGAGCTAACGTTGAGCTAACGCTAGCTATGCAGATTTAAGAACAACACGTGTGCAGACTGAATCCTTTGTGCACGTTAATCATTGTGTGTTTTTCAGATCGTCCTCCCGGAGCGGCATTTAACTTCCGCTCTGCACAGCGTAACAGGACAGCTGCTACGTTGGGAGGAGAAAGGGGGAGGAAAAGGGAGGTTGCATCGCCTGCCTCAGGTTCAGACACGGGGGCAGAGAGCCCGGTGTGCAGGCGGGGTGACTCCCCGCAGCGTGAACAACAGGCGGCTCGGGACCAAACACCCAGACGGGGCAACGTGTCTCCACGTCAACAAGCTAGCAGGCTAACGTTTAGCAGGCCAGTCGGTTAAAAGACGCGCTTCACTCAACTTTAACTAAAAAGTTCCGCAGGTTCGGGGTCAATACAAGTAAAGTTAACGCGTGTTCAAGCGTCATCACAACAGTCGAGACCCCCTCCCCCCCGCCCCTTACAAATACAGCGGTGCCAGTTAGCCACCAGCTAGCATCCCATTCAATAACACGGACAAAGCCAAAAGGAGCTAAGCTAGCTAACCACAACCGTTTGCGCCCCAACATTTTTTTTGCTTTGTTTTGTTTGGGACAAACTCCCTACGAGCGGGGACGTGTCAGCTCAACCCGCCCGCCGGGTCGCTCGTTCTGCACACCGGCACCTCTCACCTTTCCCGTAAAACTTTTTGCCGCTGGTCACGTCGAAAACTTTCATGTTGACCGCCATGAGGATGCGGGGGCTCTGGAGCCCGTCGTACTCCCGCAGCTGCTCCAGAGTGAAGTCCCGTCTCCTCATCTTGGGGAGCGCCGAGGCCTGGTCGCCCTGGGCCGCGTTGGCCACCAGCCGCCTGCCCCACCGCCGGTACGCCGCCACGCAGGCCGCCGCCACCACCACCAAGATACCGATATTCAACAGCATCGCGCCGAGGCCGAACCCGTCCGACTCATCCGCGGCCCCCTGCCCGCCGCTCGCGTCAACTGGTCCGCTCGAACTGTCTCCATCGTCCGCCATACTGCACGGTTAGCGCCTACCCGCCCCTGGCCAGATGCTGCGTTCAGGTGCTGTCGGGGAATGGCGGAACCACCAGTTGCGTGAGTTGTTACATTGCGTTCTTGTGTGGTGTAACGTAACGCGGTTGTTTTAAATAACCACGCCTTTCACAGTCGAGTCAGTTATTATTTTTTTTATATTAAATCAAATCTGACTTGAGGGTTTTTTGTCAAGTGTGTTTTAAATGTTTATTAAACGCGTCTGAATAAAACATGACATCAAAAAATATGTTGGTTTATGGCATACTTTAATGCACCGGATGTCATTGGTAATGTAAAATATATCCCACCAAAGGCATACACATGCAGTTTCGGTGTTATGATTTCCTTACAGGTACATTATTTTGTCTTTATTTGCAAATGCTCATTGCTTGAGTTAAGTGTTGCATTAATGTTTACATTAATCTATGAATCCCCTCCCATTTGCCATCAAAGATGTCTATGAAAACCAGAAAATATACAGTTTAGAAAAGCTGGAACCAATGAGGATTTACTAAACACATATTTTTTTGTAAACACACTAGTTTGGCGGCCCTGGGATCTGCTGCTCAGCAGCCGAAGACAGTACCGCTCAGAGCCACTTCTTAGAGCTGAGGATTCACAGACGGGTACGTGAAGGCATCGAACCACACGCCTTCCTTGGTTTTAATTCGAATCACGGGGGTTTTTGGTCCCTCGCGCGGGACCCGTGGTGTCCAAAACAGTCACCAACTCGTGATGAATCCAGAAGTAAACTGTATATTATATGTTATTTAACTTCTATACAAATATCCTGGTATGATTACATAAGTTTCTAAGGGGGGGGGGGGGGGTATGATCACGTGAGAAGTGAGTATTTTCAGACAAAAATATAACTTCTAATACTTACTAATATACCAGCAAATGCCAAGTTCCCCATTTTAATCACAAAATGTTTTACTCAACATAATTTTACTAGTTGCGTTTGGTTCAGCTCACACCTCGTCCCCCCCCCCCAGGAGTGTTTCCCTTTTATTTGTCTGTTATCGGACTGCCGTTTATACATCGAAACACTTTCCCCTCCGAACTGCTGGAAGTGATAACGGGTGAAACGCACTTGGTCGGAAAACAAAATCCCTCTTATGATTGACATCTGATATATTTCACCCTCTGGTGAATAACAAAAACCTGCTCATCAGGCAAGACAACATCGAGAAAACAGTGCGAGAGCAGAAAGCAGGACAGATCACAACATACAATCAACTGTTTTATATTTTTTTGCATTTTACAATTCAAGACTGTGGCATTAACATGCATTGCATTATCCTAAAATACACACTCAAAACCACACTACCGATAAAACAAAATCAATTCTTAAAATCAAAAAGAATAATTGAATAGCAAATGATTTTTTATAGTATTTACATTTTTTTTTCTTTAAACTCTAAAAACCTCTTAAGTCCATTGATCAAGTAAAGGAAAGTTAATGATTTAAGCGCTCTAGAGCACAAAGCCTCAAACATAATATGAAGTAAGCTAAAATATACCGTGGTTTTATGATGTGAGCGTCACACACACAATTCCAGCAGAAATGTTTCAAATCAAGTAAAAATAAAAACAAGAATAACACAATAAATTATACCACCCACGGGTGTAAAAACGGGAGTTGAAGAAAAGCGACTTTCCCACTTAAAATTTGTCATTATTCCTGCAGTTAATTGAAAACCAACGTGGTAACTTTGGCCGCGACGTCCGTCGGCGTGAACATCGGGACACATCTGTATATGAGCAGCAGCCTCGGGGCGAAGTCCTTCACAAATTTATGACTGCAGCCGTCAGATTGATTGTCATGATAAAAAAAATTAAGATATTTACGTCTCGAGAAGAGATTTAAAAAACAAACAAAAAGAACTTAAGTGGTGTCAGTTTTAAATGCGTTCAAACCCGACGTAACGGAATATGGACTCTTTGCCCCCCCCCCCCCTCTACTGCTGAATCAGATTAAGGCACTCAAGACAATCTGAAGGCATCTCTTATCTCACCGAACCAGAATCCCAGTTCAACAGGCGCAGAGCTCCGTACAGAACCAGAGCTCTTTACAGATTGTGCTCAACAAAAGAGACGTTGAAGACTTTTGGCATCTGAGAAGGAAAAAAAAAAAGGCAAAATGCAGGGAATGCATTTTTTTGTTGTTTTTTGTTTTGTAAACGTTATACGAGCTGGCGCACAGATTCGGGCTCACTGCCGACGCTTGCTTGCTTTGCAAATGAAATGCACAGATAGAAAACCAAAAAAAAGAAACAATCAGACGAAGTGGACCGCGCTCAGTCTCTCTTCATTCCCAAACGGATTTGACCGCTGAAAAGAGCGAAGCGCTGATCTCAGAGCTGCTGCTTGCTGGTGCGGCCGCCTCGCTCCACACGTCTCCTTTGCAAAGCCACACCCGACACGAGGGAGCCTCATTTGTTTGGTGCGACACTCTCCTTCTTTGCGGCCCCGGGCTCGGCCTTCTTCCCCTTGCTGGCGGCGGCTGTTTTGTGGGCGTGGTCTTTGGGCGCGGCATGTGCGCCGCCGGCAGCGCAGGGTTTGGAGGTAGTGTTGGAAGGATGTCGCCGACGCCGGCCTTCATCCCCAGCCGAGGACGAGTGACGTCTCCTCCTGCCTCCCTCCTCTCCCATGGGGGGCTGCAGACACAAAAACCGGTCAATACGGCGCGAAGGCGGGCCAAGAGAAGTAGAGTCATTTCCTCATAGACGTCTATGGGAGCAGAGGAGTCGCCCCCTGCTGGTCACTACAGAGAAGTAGAGTCATTTCCTCATAGACGTCTATGGGAGCAGAGGAGTCGCCCCCTGCTGGTCACTACAGAGAAGTAGAGTCATTTCCTCATAGACGTCTATGGGAGCAGAGGAGTCGCCCCCTGCTGGTCACTACAGAGAAGTAGAGTCATTTCCTCATAGACGTCTATGGGAGCAGAGGAGTCGCCCCCTGCTGGTCACTGCAGATGACGGGTTTAACACGTTAAGCTCGGACTTTACTCAGCAGAAATGGAGATCTTCCCTCGTTAAGACTGGGCATTTTCAAATAAGCCACGAGACACTTAATGGAAGTTCATGTGAAAAAAAAAAAAAAAAGAGACTCACCACCACCCTGAAGTCCTCCAGGTTCTTGAACTGGGAGAGGTGTTCCTGCAGCTTCGGGTCGATCGGCTGCTTCTTCATCTTTGAGTATTTCAAGAAGGCCCAGAACTTCTCAAGTCCATACAGCTGACCTGCAGGAATAATTTATCAAGAGAAAAGCATCGAGATGTTTAACCAGTGCGTCAGTGAGCCGGTTCGTCCGCGGATCCCTTCGGCGTTCACTTCATCGCGCTGACGGATCGCGTTTGAATCGGAAAACTAAACGCCGAAATAACTCGGCTGGAAAGAAGCGATCCTCCGTTCTGCTTCAGTCGCTCGGAGAAACCGTTTGAGAAATAGACTTTAATCCTATTTAGTTTTCTTGCGCCTTTCGGCTAGAGGGGGGCCGGGAGTCGGCGGGGGGTCAATTAGATTTACAGGACAAATTGACACATTTTAGCGTTCATAGGCTACATTTGTGTTAAGAAGTTGCATGTGAATAGTTTAAATTATATATGACAGTTTTGATGTAATACATTCCTTGTTGGTTGGATTTAGGATCTGTATTAATATTACAATAATAAATACTTCATAACGTACTATACAAGTGTTCGTATCATTAGCTGTAAGCACAAATAATAACCCTGTTCTGATTGTCTTTGGGGAGGAATGTTGAGGTTTAACTAAATTGTGGATTATTTAGATTTAAATCTTCTGTATATTTAATTTTCTACATCACGTCTTGTGTTTTTTACTCCCTTGAAAAATGATTAAAATTGTGTTACTCCTTTGTAAAAATAAAAATAAATCAAATCGTGTTTCTATATCGTCACAATGATGGGTTCTTTTCTTCTGAAAGTGGCGGATGGAGTTGCTCGGTTACGTTCTGGTGCTCGTTACCTCTCTCAAAGTCCTTGAGCGTCTCCTCTTGAAAGTCCTTGAACAGATCCAACCTGAACCGCTTCTCCAAACCGTAACTGTAGTATCTGAAGAGACATTCCAGTCCGTACCTGCAGGGCAGAGAAGACACCTGTAAAGAGTCTGAATGAGACGACTAAAAGCCATCACTACAACACGAGTGCCGCTTTGGCGTCGCCGTGGAGACGTGAGGTCATGTGACCCCGGTGGAGCCCTTCTTACTCCTGACGATTCAAAAATCACCAAAATCGGGAAGAATATCAAGCTGATCAAAAGCTTAAAATGTCATTAACTTTGTTCGCCTTATACTTTATTCTCTGCAATAATCTACAACGGAGGAACCCTGAGAAACTGTAAAACGCAAAGAAACCGATCGCAGAGACGGTAAGAAGACGCGTGCAAACAGGCTGCGTGAACAGTTGTTACCACGACAACATCATCATCATCATCATCATCACCATCACCACCACAACGGTGCGTTTGCCTGTGAAGGAACCAGACCGACGGGGTTCGGCGGATCGCTTGAAGCGGGAGTTTCCAGGAAAGCGCTTGAGGCAGAAACCGAGCGTCACAGCGGAGCCGCTCCAGAGGGACGGACAGCGGCGCCCTGAAGCAGCAGCGTGGCATCATGGGATACTTCTCACTACAGTTTCATTCCATTTGTAAATCACTCCATTGTCTGTCTTCACTTTCTCTCTTTGTCGCGATTAACAGAACTATTACGAACAATTGGCCCTCAGTCACATCAAGCGCCTCACCTGTAGTTTTCTTTGGCGTCTTCCAGCGCCCGCAGTTTGAACTCCTCGTACATCTTCCTGTTGAAGTTGTCCCTCAGGAAGAAGGACCAGAACCTGAATAGAGTGTTCATCTCCTGCGACTGACCGATGCCCGACCGCTTCCTCTCTGGGGGGGGGGGGGAAACACAGCACACGGACGTGGTCACCGGGGGAGGAGGGAGGGCGATCGAACGAGGCGATCGGGAGGAGAAACGCGAGCGAGCGCCGCCGTCCTGCTCACCGTTGAGGCAGCGCCGCAGGTACTTGTGGTACCCCTGCTGGGTGAAGCCGTTGTCCCTCAGCAGGTCGTGGGAGGGGTGCCAGAATTTGGGCAGCGAGTGGGGGGTGCAGCCGTAACTCCCCGACAGCGGAGCTCCTTCTGAGGGGGAGGCGTTGGAGCTGCTGCTCGTCGTGAAGAGGAGAAGAAGCGGTTTTATTTTCATTAGGATAAGATATTGATAATACGGCGCCGGGTTAGAGCTCTTAAGATAAAATATGCTCTGAATAATATAAAATATATATAATAACTGAAAGAAAAATGAGACCTGATGGACGAGGAGCGCGGCCGGTGCTCTCGGGAGTCCATCACCCAGCCGATGTGGGCCTCCTGCGGAGGGTTAGAACTGTGGCGCGTCTTCTTCTTCCTCGGCGTCTGCGTCAGGAATCAACAACGACAACGACGGGTTCACGTTAGAGAGACGTTTCACCTTTCAGAGACACGCCGCTGGCCTTATGGCATTCATATGTAGGTCGGTTTGCGCTCTCCGCTTGTGAGTGGAGGCAAAGAGACGCCGGTGAAAACAGGATTTGCAACAGTTGTCGGTCTTTTACAACCGCGCGAGCTGCAACATGCAAAACAGAAAACAGCAGCAGCCAGCAGTAAAAATGCAAAGATAACTTTTCCAGTCAGAACATTTGAATTAGAGGGTGAAATGTCACCAGGCCAGAAACTGTGAATTGCTGTTTGTTGTCACTTTATGACGTCGTAGCTTATAGCTCGAACAAAGCCTCTTATTCTTCCAGTTTGTTTCGCTTGTGATCCCTTAAAGAGAAGCAACGCCGCCTTGTGACACGTTACGATCTGTTGCGATCAATTAACCAAAAGGTCATTTTGAATTCCTGTTAAAATGCCTAGAGGTTTAATTATGAGGCAACTCCTCCTCCAACCTCTTTCAAACCCTTGTGGGAGTGAAGAGTTTAAAGCTACACGGAACGTTCACGTCGCGGTGATTCCGGCGCCCCCTGTGGACTAAGGTGGTAGTGTCTGCCAGCGCCGGCGTCCCTTTAGAAAACCTCCCATGTGACCAGAATCAGCCCCATTAAGAAGAACTGCGTAGGAACTCTGCTCGACTCGTCTACTGATGGGGGTCTATGGAGGATCAGCGTCCGTCCCCCGAACTCACCTGTCCGTCGATGGTGCCGCTCTCCTTCATGACGGGGTAGAAGCGCGGCGTCTTGCTGGGGTCCTGGCGTCCGGGGGTGCGCGGCGTCCGGGGGGTCCGGGGCGTCTGTGAGACGGGCGACTCCGGGACCGTAGCGGGCAGCGAGCGAGCCAACTCTGCGCCGCCGTCGACTGAGAGAACACCTGGATTATTATTAGGGTTGTCGCACGGCGTGCGGGTTCAAGAAAGACTCGTGGGTTTGAGCGGAAATTAAAAATACATTAAATGCGCATTTCCTTTAGAAAGGCGTGAAACACACAAACCCACCTGGCGTGAGAGGAGGCGTGGCTTCCTGTTTCGGGTCATTGGGCACTTTGGGGGTCAAAGTTTCAAACTCGTCTTGACTGATGACGTTTATCTTCTTAAAGTTCTCCACTTCCTGCTGGGGTCACAGTTGAAATGCTGGTAAATATAACAATTTATTGTAATACATATACCGAAGAATATTTAACTACAAAAAAAATTACCTGTAACAGTTTAAGACATTAACCAGTTTCCAATAAACTACAATTTAATTCTAATGAATGATAGTTAAATAAAATGCTTTAAAAGCACCTCATGTGGCATATTCTTGTAAAGAATTATTCTTTAGCACCGTTAAAAGAAAAATATTTCAAATCCTGTCAAATAGTTTTCCAGTATTCTTTTTTTGTGTATTTTATTGATTTTCTGCTTACATTGGCTCAATATCTCATTAACTATTTTATCATAAACATTTATTTCGGTTTAAGTAAATGTCCATTGAATAAATAAGTATTAATTTAATTAATTTAGCAGCATTACTGCCATGAAAAGCTTGTGTAACACACAGCAGATGTGTTTGAACTTTACACGTCAGCGCTAGAAAATAAAAATCCAGCTGACCTTCATGTAACTGTGTGTGTGTGTGTGTGTGTGTGTGTGTGTGTGTGTGTGTGTGTGTGTGTGTGTGTTCAGGTGTGACATTTCCCACATGTGGCGAACATCACTGACGACCTTTGAGAGGAAGAATGAGCTGACAACTACAAGAACTCGACAACCCAAAACAAACATTGGAATGATTTCACTCTCTGAACGGGTCGGGTTTCAGATGATTCGTTTACTGAATCATTCTTCAGGCTGTAGTTGTAATAGAAGTTCTGGATCGATCATCAAACCGTTCGGGCCGTCCGTGTTTCTGCTCACCTTGGTGACCTCCACAGTCTCCTCCCCCTTCCACAGGTCCTGCTCGTAGTAGAACAGCCCGTCGTTGATGGCTTTGGCGAGGTCGGTGGTCAGCTTGGCCCGCGACTCGTGGTTCCCGGTCCGGTCGCCTCCGGGGTGCTTGCGCAGAGAGGGCGGGGTCTGCGTGACGATGAGGATCTTGTTGACGTCCTGGTCGTCCAGCTCGTAGTCCGAGTCGTCGTCTTCCGACCAGTCGGTGAACCGGTTCTTCCTGGGCGCCATCTGCTCCATCTCCTCGTCGAACAGGAAGTCCAGCTCCTCCTGATCCGGGAGGGCCGGGTGAGGCGCCGGGGGGCCGCTCGCCGAAGCGTCGCCGCGCTCCTAAACGATGCAGGTGAGGGACACAGCAGGTAACCACAGGCCAAAAAAATACATACAAAATAACTCGTTTGAAGGGCAGGAAAGGGGCGAATGTTTGTCCTGTCGACTCAAACAGTGTAAATAAACCTCATGATGGGAACTGGATTCTACAGAAAGGAAAAAGCAAAAGGGAGATAAAAAAAAAGGAACGGGGGAAAAGGTGAATGTGAGGAGACGAGAGAGGGAAGTGAAGACGACATAAAGCGCCAGGAGGAAGGAGGCGGGAGCACGGGGGACGATGGACGGGACGGCCTCGGTACCTTCGCGGCGGGCTGTCGGTGGCGTTTCTCCACCTGGATCCAGACGTCGGCGTCGGGCGGAGGGGGGGCGTCCTTGGCCGGCGGGGAGTCCTGGCTGGAGGAGCTGGGCCCGGCAGAGTCCTCGTGCTCATCGGACTCGGGGGGGGTCTTCTTCTCGGGGGACGAAGCTTGAAAGGGACGCGTCACTGGATTAGACGGCATGCAGGAAGCGATGAAGCACTTTCAACGATAAAAAGGTCGAACAACAGCCGCTGTACTCTCCTAAAACGGCTCCTCGCTGTTGGATAACATGCATCATTTTGGGGACTATTTTCAGCGGCGGAGGGATCTGTTGGGGCTCACCGGAGTTTGAGGAGCTGAGAGTCTGTCGAGGGACAAACTCGGGACAGTTGATGAGCTGGGAGAAGTCGGTCCGGGGGGAGCCCACGGCGTGCGGGGCGGGGATGGGCCAGCGCTCCGGGTCGGTTTTACAGCGCACCTTGTTGTCCACCACCTCCACCTCTTTGCTGCTCTTCAGCGCCTGCAGGAGGAGTTGGTTTACCAGATTCATTACACGGGTTCCCGTTTGTGTGGCCGGATCCAAAAGACCTTTTATCTTAAACTATTCCCATTGTCATCAAAAGAAAACTATAACTACTCAAATGTGCCTTTATTTCAAAGAGAGGGTTTGAATAACACCTCCAGGATGAGGCTGACGTCCATGGTGAGGGCCTGGACCCGGTGGAAGCTGGCGATGAGGGAGACGGGGAGGAAGCCCTGGACGTCCATCTTCCTCCTGAGGAAGAAGTCTCTCTCCAGGTTGTGGAGGCTGAAGTAGTATTCTCTGCGAGAGGAGATGCTTGTGAGTCCACTTCAGCTTCAAATGAGCCTCCACGCTTACTTTGTTTCTTAAACACCATGAAGAGAACTTAACGGTCTCAAATCAAAAAAGGTTTATCATCGGAGAAGTAAACGCAAGGTAAGACGGCAGAAATCAGTTAAATAGATGAATAGAGGAGGTGAAAGAAAACGTAGTGTCGTGTGATTAGTGAAAAATATTGTGAATATGAAAGATGATGTATGTGAACTGGAGTAAAACAGTATATAATATATGCAGTGAAGAACAGAACTATGCACCAAAATGTTGACATCCGTCAACTTCATAATTCTTCTAAATGTTCTTGTAGAGACGCAATAAATGTAAAATGTTCTGACTGGGAAAGAGCTCGCTGTCCCTCCCGGTTACACCACTTAATGTCACACACACACACACACACACACACACCGAGTGACGCCGCCTGAGTGAGCAGTCTGAATAACGCTGAGAGACGAGAAGACAAGAATGTCCTCTCCCGCTCCTCCCCCCCTTTCCCCCCCCTTCCAAACACTTCCTCGCTCAGGCCTGCATATAATTCATCCCCTGTCCCCTCCAGGCTATATTTAGGAGTGTGAAATGAGGCCAGTGCTGTCAGTCAGAGACACAGCGCCCCCTGCAGGGCCCCACTAACAGACCCCCCCCCCCACGGTGCCTTCACTGCACGTCAGTCATTCTGACTCTCGCCGCTGCTCTGCTTAACAGACGTTACCTTAAAGGTGGAAATAACTTAGTATTAAAGCAGACGGTCGCGTACAAAAACAGTATTGCAGAGATTTGAATAAATACAATATGACCTTTTCATAATCTTTTGTTACAATCACTGAATATGTTTCTGTACCTGCAGCATTAAACGCATTTTATTATAAGACAGAAATAAACAGTATGAAAATGTCTCGTCAAATGTACTGCTTGGTTTGAGCGCCTCGTCCCGCGGTCCTCAGAAATACTCACATTTGCCGTTTGATGTATTCCTTCAGCAGCTTTTCGTCCACCGAGTACATCTGCACCTTGCTGCCGTCGTCGTAGTAGTAAACCATGTTGGAGCCGAACTCCGAGGCGCCCTGAGCCGAGCCGTCGGACGACTGGAAGTCCCGGAAGCCCTGAGGGTTCTCGTAGCGGCCTGGAGGAGCAGGGAAGAAGGGTGAGCAACGCTTTGTGAAAGAAGGACCGGCACCTTCTGCTGGAGGGAAAACGCTAAATAATTTTTTTTTTAAAAGGGCTAAATTTCAAAGATTTCTCGTGTCGTGAAACAAGCTGCCAGAATAAAATCCAGACACAGAACACCAACATGTTAAAAACTACCTCGTCCGCGACCTCTCCCGCGGCCGCGACCTTTCCCTCGGCCTCGCGCTCCTCCGCGGAGGCTCCCGCCGTCGTCCCCAAAGTCCCGCGGCTCTCGTCTCCAACCTGACAACGAAGACGACGTTAAGAAAAAGAAGCTCTCAGATCCGGATTCCCTCACACGTAGAAAACAATAGCCGTCCCTTAGAAGTGAAGCCTCGTAAAGCTAATTTACTGCACCTTTAATCTTCTGCGTATTCTCTAGAGTTCCTCTACGGTCGGTTGGAACAATGAGATTTCTACACAATAGGCCGGATACGAGAGTCCGGTAACATTCCTTTAACCATCAGATCAGCAGATGATTCTATCGTCACCTTCATGAATACACTCATTTTCGGCTGAGAACATTATTTTTCGCCTCAAATAAAGGGTTGAAATCTCTGAACTGCCACTGTTTTTTTTTTTTATTATATTATTTCAAGCATCGCTTGTAGAAAAGAGGAGAACAGAAGCATGAGACCAAAACACCCGGAATCAGACCCCCGACTGGGACCACTTACTCCTGCTGCCGTCATGCGCCCGGCTGTTATGGAGCGCGTGATTGGGCGACGCGGGGTCGGCCGTGTCGCTGGTGGGCGCCGCGTCCGGAGGACCCACGCCGGGCGCCTTCTCGCCGTCGTCCCGGGACGCCTCCTCCATCGGCAGGGAAACCCACTTACGTTTGTTACCTAGCGATGAGCGCACACCCGGGGGAAGAAAAGAGAGATTAGTGCCTGGAGACGCGTGATCGGCGGCGTCCGGACGCGCCCCCGCTACGCTGCATAATGATTACAACGAGGGAGACGGACGGTCCTCACCTTCGCCCCCCCTCTTCTTCAGGCCGGCGCTCTTGGCGTCCTGTCCCGCCTTGGACTCCCCCCCGTCTTTGGGCGTCTCCCCCGGCGGGTCGGGCGAAGCCTCCTGGTTCTCTTTGCTCTCCCCGCCGTCATGGCCGCTCTTCTCCTTGTCCCGGCGCACGGCAGCCGGCTTCTTCCCGTTGTTGAGCACGTTTTGTTGCTGCTGGGGAGACGGAGAGGGGGGGGGGAGGAGGCGTGGGGGAGGGTTTTACTCTCACACGTTGGTTCTTTTGGATTCTAAATGTGAATCTCCATCACAGGGTTTGTTTCTGAGGACGGTTTAAACATTCGGAGCATTTCTACGGCTTCTTTTGGCTTTTCTCAATTCCTCAAATTTTAAAGATCAAACTCATCTGGTCGCTGTGACAATAGTGTGGCCGGTTATTCCTCGTCACATGACATCGTTCTAAAAGTTTAATGGTTTGATGACAGAGACGTTTTAGTCTAAATGAATCAGGATCTCCTGAACACGTCCGACAAACACACTCCACTAAATCAAGTTTCAATTGCTTAGTTTTCATCTGTTAGTTCTTAAAAAATGTGAAACCGTTTAGCTTCTAAAATGTTGCATCGCACCACAAAGGTTTGCACGTGCGCGCACACACACATGCACGCGCACACACACACACACACACACGCACCTCTTTGGCCAGCTCCCCGGGTGTGGGCCAGTTTGTGATGTCACTGAAGTCTCCGGACTGTAAAATATTGAGAATAAAAAGTTGACAGACATTAACAGCCAGTAATGATCATCTCCAGGCTGAAGCCCAAACCACTCAGACCCCTCCTCCCCCCCAGAAACCAGCCTGGAGGAAAAAGGAGGTCAGCGCTGCGATAAAACTGCTCTGTGAATGTGGTACATTTGGACAACCTGATAGGAGTTGAAGGTCACACAGGTGGAGCGACTGAAGTCGCCGTTCAAGGTGTTACGACTGTTTAAAACACTCGGTGATGCATGCGGAGCGACTGTTCATATACTGATGTCAACAAAAGTCTCATCTTTACCTCATGGAGGGAGAAACAACTGTAATTACACACACAAAAGTTTGGGGTCACTTTTTTTCCAATGAAGAGAACATTGAACGTATCGAGTGTATTTGATCCATTGTTAATGTGCTGAACTATTCTAGGTGGAAACGTCTGGTTATAAATGAAATGTCTACGTAGAGGCCTCATTTCCAGCCACCGTCACTCCAGCGTCCTAATGGCACATTGTGTTTGCTAATCGCCTTAGAAGACTAATGGATGATGAGCTGAAAACAGTGATGCTGGTGAGAGAAGCTATAAAACGGGCCTCCCTTGAGCTAGTCCAGTATCACATGTGTGGCTTCGATTCCTCTCAAAATGGCCAGAAAAAGAGAACTTCCACATGAAGCTCGCCAGTCTATTCTTCAGCAAGAAGACACGCAGACTAGACGTATTCACTGTATTCTTAGCATTTATATTAATCTTCAAGTTTCAGGGAGCTGCTTTTAAAACCAAACTAGTTGGAGAAGTTAGTTTCACAACACATCTTTATCAAAAATGCATCCATTTTATATTCTGGGGATGTTTACGGCGAACAATGAATAAAGTCACGTTTAAAAGAACTTAAACGGGCCATTAGAGCCCCGGAGCCGACGGCCTCGTATCACAATCAGCAGCATATTACATGTAAATACACGAATCTAAAAAAAATCTAGTTGGAAAAGCCAACAGGAAACTAACAGATGTCCGATTCACATCTGGCGCGTTTCTGCCTGGAAGGAGGAACACCAGCGAACACGCTGGTTCATTTACAGGTGAGGAAGGAAAACGTCACGCGTGACTTGTAATTAGTTTGGACTGAAAGTTTAAATAAAATGAAGACACAAGACGAGACATTAAACCACAGAACAAAATGGCAACACGTGGTGCGATTTGTTGTGGCTTTAGGCTTAAATATGTCAAATGATTGCTGGGATGGAATTTAGAAATAAATACGCAGAAACACGAACGGTAAAGAGATTCCTTCTCACCTTGCTGGATTTTCTCGTTCTGGGTTTGCTGACACGAACGACTTTCAGAGTGTTTTGTTGTTCTGCAGAAACAGAATGAAAAAGTGACATCATCACACTTGAGCAGACAGTTCTTTAACCGCTGCATGCTGGGAGTGGCCGGCTGCAGGCTGGCAGTGCCTATCGCTCTGCAGGGGATGGTTGGGAGTGATAAGCGTCGCCTGTTGGGGGGGTGGGGGGTGGACGATCCCACATGAATGGGTGTGTGAGCCGACATCCTCCCTCAAAGCCGCTTGTACAGCCGCCTGTAAATCGACGCCGGCGCTCTCGTCAGAGTCGAATATAGCCTCTCGCTGCCCGGACACCCAGTCGCGCTCTCTGCACGAATGTCCCGACTCAGCGAAGAGGCCGATTGCATTTAGGAACCAGATGCCTCGTCAATTAATGGGGTTTTTAAAAATGTGTATTATTATTATTTTCACCTTTACAGGTTATATAATAAGTTTATATAATTGTATCTTTCTATCTAAAATACAAAAAGCTTAATGAAAAATGATCGGGGAAGACCAATTTAATGATTCCATTCACTTCCATTTAGAAGGAACACTTCAAGAAAGCGGCTTTGAAGCGGTTAAACCTGAAGAGGGGGCAAATACATCGGGAAAAGACACTGGACCTTAGATCTCCCACAATGCAACAGTGTCTTTCACTACAACCTCCACGCCCAAAAAACAGCCTTAAAACTAAGAAGCCGGCGTTTCTTACAAATGACCGTTCTTGTGTCGAAAACCAACACCGATGACATCACTGTGGCGAGTAGTTCAATAGTTCACTGTCGAAACTTCACTTTGTACAAGTGGGAAAAAAAGCTTCTTAAATGAGAGTATTTTCTGTTTCATATCCGTATGAATATATAATGTTGTCGAACAAACAAATCAATGAAGAAAATGACAACTTTCTTAAAACTGGAACTGAAACCATTAAATTGACATTTGGACGGGACGATTCACAGACAAAGTATTTAGTTTCATCATGAGTCACATGACATTCTCAGAGAAAAATTAACATTTTACAGGCAAAAAAAACAAACTTAATTTACCAGGTTCCAGTTTTTGTTTTATATTAAACTGACGTCACGAACAAGGCGCCTGATGACGTCACGTGGGACTTTTTGTATGTTGTCTTTTTGTGATATTTATACCTAGAAAATAATCCCTTGAGCAAACATGAAACATTTGAAAAAGCAGTAAATGAAAAAAATATTTTGGGACTAAATTATCACTCTTGGGGAACAACTGTGGAACAAACCCCTGATGACGTTACATCGTCGTGCTTGTACATTGTAATGCCCCCCCCGTGGTGATGAAAACAATGTAAATATAACCACTGGCCGGCTGTCTGTCTGTCTGTCTGTCCCGACCCGTGCGCACTGCGCACACACCCGGTGACACTGGAGCGCAGCGGGCGGTGGGAGGACCTGCAGGAGGACAGGCCATTGGACACGCACAACGTGTCTCTACAGCACCAGCTAGCTTAGCTTATTATCATGCATTCTATTCGCGGAGTCAGCACCGACGTGGGGCCGATCCGGGCCCCGGGTCTGTCCTCGCCCCCTCCCCCCCGCTGTGAGGGGGGTGACGGTGGGGGGGGGGGGGGGCACGGCGTGAGAGCCCGGCGGCTGGGAGAACTTCCAGGTAGAACCATGTAGCAGCAGGCAACACGTGGTGGTGCTGCAGGTGGGGGGATGGTGCACGCACGTCCACCAGCAACACACGCTTGACATTCAAGTTAGAAACACGTTCGCTCGACCCCTTAGCAACAAACCAAAGAAATAAATCGGCACTAAAATGAGGAATGACAGCAGATTAAAAGGCGGATTTACGCGCGACGACGCTTCAACAAACCGCAGCGTGCTCGCACCGCAGCCGGCTGTCGAGCTGCTTAGATCCGTTTATAGTAATCACGTTTAAAAAACCCCACCGCTCACCTTTCTCCTGCGGCGCGGGGCTGCCGACACCGCCGCCCGGCACCCTGCCCGTCGTCCGCTTCGTCCACGAGTTCACCTTCGGCGGAGGAGCCTCGACCACTTGCCGCTTCGCCACCTCCGCGGCCGGGGACGCGTCGGCGGCGTTGCCGCTCTGGTCGTTCTCCTTGTCGTTCTCCTTGCGGCTCTTGTGCGTGTCCGCCGGGCTCTTCGCCTCCTCGGAGCCGCGGCGGTGGTGGTGGTGGTGGTGGTGGTGGTCGTCCTGCCTGTCGGAGCCCCTCTGCGGCTTCTCTTCGGGCTCCCGAGGCCCGTCGGACTTGTTTTGGTTCTTCTGCTGCTGCTCCTCCGCTGTCAAACCCGAGCCGAGCTGACTCCGCTCGACCTCCGTGGACATCCTGCTAGTTTCCTAACAGCGAGCGGTGTTAAATCCAGTGTGAATACCTGGTCCCGGCTCTCTTATCCACGGAGAAAAAGTCGCGAGGAGCCCTGGGGGTGGGGGGTATGGAGGGGGTGGGGGGAAGAGACCAAAGCCACAAACTCGGGGTAAACAACTTTTGGGCTGGACCTCGCTAGCCCAGCTAGCCACGTAGCTTCGGAAGCTAACTGTTAGCTAGCTAGCCAGCGACCATGCACGAGATCGGCGAGCTAAAACGCTGTTGTTATCCGCCCGGATCGATCGTTTCACACCGGCAAGTAGTTACCTCAGAGTCCGCAGTCGGTCGCCGTGTACACGACACGCGCACAGCTGGCTCTCCTGCGACTTTTCTGTCACTTTCTGACGAAAAACCAAACTACCGCAGCGACCTCCTCGCTGCCCGTCTCTGGTTCCACTGCACGCTACCAGCTCCGGGATCGCGTAGCCAGCTGCTCGCGTGCCTGTAAACAGTCGCTGGCGCCCCCGGCGGCCACGCGGCGCCACTGCGGCACACATGTTCCACCAGGAGGTTAAATAAGAGCAGCAGCAGCAGCAGCAGCCCAGAGTTACAATCCTGTCACACGTTACCTGTTACACGTGCAAGTCCGCATGTCAAGGAAAAGAACCGCAACAGTTTAGGAGCTTACGGTTCTCGTGAAGCAGGAGATCCTTGTCAGCAGTGGTGGAGGAAGTCGGTCCGCGGCTGTTTGACTGAAGTAACGGTGCCACAAGGCCAACGTGCTGTATTACCCCCCCAAAAAACAATCACCTAAAATATTAGTTATGTAAATCTAATTAAAGTATCAAAAGCAAAAGTACTCATCAAGCAGCTTTGGAAGAATGTTAGGTATTTCTTTACTTTAGCAAAAGTATCAATACCTCAAAATATTACTTATGGTACGTACAGCAACAGAATGTACTATCAAAAGTACGGTATTTATAAAGCAGAGTACCTTGTAAGCTGTGGTGGAGGAAATCGGTACCTGGGTTTCTACTTTAGTAAAAGTAGAAGTACCACAGCTTAAAAACACTCAGTTGCAAGAGAAACTCATGCACTCAAAATATAACTTGAGTACAGAAGTATATAAGCAACGAAATGCACTGGAAGTAATACGTGAAAAAATACGCATGAAGTATTAATGGAAGAGTTACTCAGATGTTTTAGTAAGTATCAACTACAGCTGTTATCAGGTCTGTGATAAAGTCTGTTTATGTATCTGAGTGTACGTGAGTGTGACAATTGGATCCATGAAGTTATTCTCTTAAAGCAAATGTGACAAGTCAACATTTTCCCCCAAACCTCAGCTTTCCAGACGGTGTGAAGAGAAGCAGCAGGATGAAAAGTTTTAATTCAAGTTTTTAGTTTGTCAGCGAGGAATACGTGTTTACTTTATGCTTTACATTGTAAGCATTATACTGTACTTTGGAAAGTTGAGATAGATAATTATCTCTACTTTCTAAAGCACATCCTGCATGAACTGGAAATAAACATATCCATCAGGCCTTTAAGTTATTTATTTTACAAGACATATTATCCATCAATTAATTGCAAGTATCACAATCAATAAATACATCAACCTTAGTTAGTAGTTATTTTACTGTTGACAGCGTATTATAACATCTTGTTTAGTGTAAGTATTTGTAGTAATAGTTAGCAAACCATTTTTAACCGCTCAATAAACATTTTCAAGCTTTTACAACTTTGCACTTGCTGATAACAGATTACTGTTCGGTGGTTAATGAGTACTGGGTAAAGTATCTACAAACCTTATCTAGATAGTTAATACTTTATTCCTGGTGTATGGATGTTTTACAAAAAATGTAGGTTACAAATCAATTTATCATTAAGAGAAGTAAGTAAAATGTGGTAATGAGTTAATAAATACTAATGTATGTATTTATTAATTATAGTAAATTGAGTTTTACCAATGAATCAAATGTAGCTAAAGATTTATTTTGTTTTCTTTCAATTATATATATTATATATATTTAGAGTGGGGACAGATTTGAAAACGCTTAATCACTTAATATAAATAGCTTGAACCAGATTGATCAGATTGGGACTAGAAATGAAAATGTGGAATAGAAAGAAACAAAGAAAACCGTGTTGAAAGTTTGAAACCTGGTTGAATTCTTCTTCTCCTTCCTTTAAAGTTTAGTCTGTAGGAGGAAAGAAACATTATAAAAACAGGTTTGTTTCTGCAGCAAGACCAAATTTAGGAAGTTGAAATCTCCTGTTTCTGCTGTGACTCTTTGCACACGTCGATGACGCTCAGTGTCTGCGTGACGTTTAACGAACACACGCAGAGCGGCAAGCATGTTGTTGAGATGTCGACGTCTTTCCCCCGAAAAGAAACACAGAATAAAAACGAAGAGTTGTCATGTTGGTGTGAAGCTTTATTGGTGTTCAAACAACTTTTCTCTCATATCTTTGTAGTGGAACCACAGCAGTCGTAAACTGAATCCGATCCATTTTTAATGATGACCTTTAACTCTTCAAACCAGTGGATAGCTTAAGTTAAACACAACTTTGTACCAGGATGAAGAAGTGTAAATAAGGAAAAATAACAACTTAAGATTAAATCATGCACATTTTAAAATAACTAGCCTTTTGCTGATTTTTAATTACACTTAAAAACGTTATTTATCAAAAGAAAATGTTTCAAAGTTCTCTTAGTGTTTTTTCCCAGAGCTTTCAACTCAATGTATAATGTATAATGATAATAGATAATAGATCCCGCTAAAAATGATGATTTATCATGAACCAGAAAGGTAAACTGCGGGGGTCGTGACGTCACGAGCGGGGTCACGAGCGGGTTGACCTCAGGTGTGTGTTTCTTCTTCCGTTCTTCAGGTGAGTTCCTGCTGAAGGTAAACAAATGGATTCAGCGGCGCTTCGCAGTAAAAACATGAAAGATGTAAACGGATTGAAGCGAGTAAAATGTCCGGACACAAGAGGAAATATAACGTACGCTTCCCTCCGGTGAGTAGACGCTTTATTTGAGTGTGTTTTCGCGGGTCAAAAGTCAGGAAGTGACTCGAGCTAACGGTTAGCTGCGTGCCCGGAGCGCCTGCTGCGTTCAGGGACCATCGTACATATGGATGATAGTCGTTAACTCTGCGTCTGTCGTTCGTGGTTTTACAAGATGTCCGGCATATGTTCACGTCCCAAGATTTAATTGGCAGTATAAAAATGACACGGTGCACAATAAGAAATGATAACTCAATAACTAAATAGATTGGTTGTATGAATAGCGGAAACGTTCAATTGTAACTATCTGTAACAAACGGTTGTGTTTTGTTCTGTTTTCATTAAGTCCGTCTATGTAGATCTACTACATGTAAACGTAGATGTGGGTGCAGTTATTAATGAATTAATGACACAGTCCCATTTTGTGAAACGACCGTCAAAAGTTCAACAAACATCTATGTTATATTTCTAATCAATTAGAATTGTGTCTTCATAACTAGCGAAGGGTGGTTTTAGAGCGGCATGTGAATGCAACGGTTAAGCTTAACGTTATGGGACGTCTGAGAATGGTGTCATCTTTCTTTTGTTTTTTTTGCTCCCAGAGTCGCATCAAAAAGATCATGCAGAAGGATCCCGAGGTGGGGAGGATCGCCACGGCGGTTCCTGTGATCATCTGTATCCTTTAACTTTTGCATTATTTAACTGTGTGTGTTTTACATTATGCTGCAGATGTGATCAGCTATGTGGAGGTTATTTTGAAGCATGCAGCATGCTGGGAGTTGTAGTCCTGTATGCCCTTGATCCAATTCTTTTTTTGTGTTTTTAGATTATGTGTGTGTATATGTATGTATGTATGTGTGTGTATATATATATATACACACACACACACCCAAACAACAACTCAAAGTATTTAATGTCTCCTTTCACAATCCTCACAATCACTCTATATTATCATCGCCTCTTATTGAAACACAAAACTCATCACTGAAACTCAAGTGCATTCAATTCTAAAATCAGGCATTAATTAACAAAAAAAAGTGCTGCAACAGTAAACAATTCAACCATCAACAAAGAAACCTGCAGGCGACACATTCTGTCCGGTGCTGTGATCCCCGAGGGGAGCGTCACCTTCAGGTGGAGCACAGCTGACGCGTTGAAGTCCTGAACCGCAGAGACCAGCTCGAGCTGTGGAAATGTTCCTGAAGTCTCTGCTCACCGAAGTCTGCGCCATCACCCGGTCGAAGCGCAGCGCCGCCGTGTCCGTCGCTCACATGTGAGTTCTCGTGCAACATGAACTCCTAAACGATCTCGTTGTCGCGAGCCGCGCGTTGGTTGGCTGCAGCCAATTCAACTCAAGAAAACAAACATTCATTCAACACCGTTTGTTTCATATCAAACGGGCTAAGAAAGCGTTTCTCTCTACTGCCCCCGGAGCCCTCCTGCGCCTACTGTGGTGTTAAAGTGTCCCTGTGTTCATCCGAAGGGGAGACGATTGAACGCGTCTACGTTGTATTTCCGCGCAGAAAGCAGTGCGTCGAGTCTGAGAAGCTCTTCCACTTCCTGAAGGAGCTGGTGGAGCGATCTCCGTGTCCAGCGGGCCGCAGGGAGGACGCCGCGATGAGCATGTGGCCGATGTTCAGGTGAAAGAGAAGAGCAGCTTATTCACTGCGTGACGCGTTGGAGATGAGCTCAGTTACAACACGATGCTTGTTCTTGGTGTGATCTTTAGTACATTTATATCAGGGTTTTTTTGTTTGAATTAAAGATTCCACCCCAATCCGTAAAATACATTAAAAATATAAATACAAAACATCACGTCAAAAGCCGCAAAAAGTTCACAGAAATGTTTTTGCACTGAACCAATAGATTTGACATTAATTGACCGTTTCATGTGATCCCCCCCGTGATGTTCTCCTCAGGACCAAACGGCACGAAGTCCCCGCTCAGAAACCCGACGCGGTAGAATCGCTGGACACCGACTCCGACGTACGTGTCTGCTCCTGGAGACGTTCGCTGTTGCTCAGAGGCACTCGGGCAGCCGCTTGCGTGGTTGTGCTAAAACAGTTCGGGTTACAGCAGCGCCCCCACGAGGCTGTGATGCGCAGTACAGCTGTTGGCCCATGTGGGTTTAATGGTTTATTCTTTAGTAAGCGGTCGGTGGTGAAGATTTGTTGTTTGTTTCTTCCAGGAGTCGGAGCTCTTCATCTGCTTATGAGGATCGGACTTCCTTTCATCACTTCCGTTTCAGTGATTATCTTTATTTAAACTTTGACGTTCCCGGGCAACATATTTACTTATTAGAATAAATGAAACATTTAAGTTATTTGATATTTTAGACCTTTGGCTGCTTTGATTTAACTTATGAAAATATTTAGTTTTGAAGCCTATTCCCTTTTTGTTTGTATCAGATTAGTTGATGAAGACATTTCACCGTGTAAGTTTAAATTATGCACTTTAAATAAGTTATTTTCCTTAAAGCTTTGTTAATGAGTTGACTAACATTCTCTTGTCAGATTTAGATTTTCACTTTTTATGCAGCAGCATTTAAAACTAAATTAAGTTCACAACGTTTTATACTCAAAGCACTTGTAAATTAACTTTTTAAAGACGGTAAAACTGCACATGAAATGTAATCGAACTGTAGATAATTTCAACATCTGTGATTTAATGGGAAGAAGTAGAAAGGTCACATGAATTAAAAACAACAACCAAGAGCTTACAGTGACTGGTTTATTCCAAGAAACTAATCTTTTTACATTGTGAGTTGAAATAATGAATAAATAGACTCGTTTCATTCTGAAAACCATTTTTCTGAAAATGCGCAGGATAAAGCCCAATATAGCAAACCGTTGCCACGCTAGCTAGCTGCATAGGGACAGTTCAGCCCGACCTGGTGATGAAAAGAAGAGTGACGACTTCACCAGTGAAGTTCAGACCCAGCGGCTCATGAAATGAAAACATGCATCTTCACTACAGTTACACTTGAAAAGAGTATAAGTAGAAAAAAAACATTTATATATAGATTTTTTTCCCCAGTAAAAGAAAACCCAAACATTTATTTTAACTCTTGCCTAATTACATATTTATAGACGTGGAGGCCAATTAGTGGTTCAAGAGATTCTACTTTGCTTTATTTAATCCAAAGGCTCCACTCACGCTCCTTTTGAACATACTGACCGAATACTGAAGGGGGGGCGGAGTCTAGATTTAAATACGTCGAAAAAATTAAAACATTTACACTTGGCTCTGTGACAGAACATCCTCATCATCTCTTTGAGCTTCACGACGGGACGTCCCGCACCAAAGAGACCCGAGGAGTTTAAAAACATCCAGAACCGAGAAGAGAAACCGACTACAGTGGGAGCCGCTTCTCAAGCGGGAGGAGCTTCTCGAGTAGGAGGGGCTTATTCTCAAGTAGGAGGGGCTTATCCTCAAGTAGGAGCTTCTTCAGTAGCAGATTCTCCTTCAGTAGAAGCTTTTACTATAGGAGCTTTTTTTTTTTTTAGGAGAAGCTTCAGCAGGAGCTTCTTCAGTAGAGTCGCGCCCCAAAGCCAAAAGTCTGTTTGATGGCTTCAAAGTAGTATCTCTTCCAGCCCTCTCTCGTCCGCTCCTCCTCGTTCTCCGGGACGCCGCGACACTCCACCTTCAGCTCCGTCTCGCTGCTGCGGTCCCACAGCGACATGGCGATGGTGGCGTAGTGCTCTGTGGAGCAGAAACACTTCGGATATCAGATCACGGTCACCTTCATTAGTAAATAAACACACCTCCAAAATGTATGTTTGGTTGTTCCTGACTAGTAGAACATGTAACCGCATAACTGCAGTGCGTTGTGTTGATTGAAAGTTGATTAGTATACCAGTCACTTTTCTGATAATTCATATTTTCATACCTAAAAACCTGCATGTTGATCATGTGTTTGAAATGGTTATTTAAATACAACATGTATGCAGGTAAATTAAATGACATACCGCAGGGCCAGTTGTTATACCTCCACTTCATAACTATTTTCTCATCAGGTATCTGGTGGAGAGAAGATATGACAAACACGTAGTAACTATTGGATCTCTTAAAAATAAAGAACATGCAAATCAGAAGCAAATAGAGAGAGAAAGAATTGCTCATGATTTAAATACCAATGATTATAAACCTTATTTATAGAGCACTTTTCAGAAAAGGAAACAAAAAAAGATTTTGGAAAATTGTTTAAAATGCATATAAAAAAATATATAAATGAGCTACAATTGAGGAAAAAAATCTTTCACAGCGATTAAAATCAATTAATGATGAATAGACTCACCAGCTCTGTGAATTCACCAAAAACATTTCCATCTAGCAAACGGAACTTTCCGCCTTTCTCTCCGTCCACCACCGCTGGAGCGTGTGTGAAGGCCGAAGTCATCTGCAGATCAGACAAACAAACAAACATAAAACCCGACCTCTGCATTTAACATTAGTAGGCTTATTCTTTCATGTAAAATGCACCGATACTGGTTTACAACTCCAGCCTGATATTAAACTGGATCCCGTATCGGTGACTTAACACCGGTTAAATACAGTTGTTTTACAAAGTGAGAAGAGACAAAGAGCTTCCACACACACACACAGCTTATTAAACAGTCTTGGGACCGAGCCCGTAGCTTCAGAGAAGTTATGACGGGGCGACGCTCACCTCCTGGTTGAGGAAGACTCGGTAGAGATCAGCCGGGGAGGTGAGGAACTTTTCCCTCATGCTGAATTTGCAGGTGGGGATCTTGACGCCGGTGTTGACGGGAGCAGCTGTGCTGCCTGAGGAGGAAATCTGTTGCACACAAATAGAGCAAGAGTCTGGTGAGGAGAGACCCGTGAGGAAAACACCGCCGGGTTTCTGTGAATAATTTAGGGGCCGGAGGCCTGTCAGAGTGTGTGACGCGTACCCGAGTATTGTCCACCGTGGCTTTGGACTGCGACGTGGACTGGGTCACTCCGTTGGCTGTCGGCAGAATCATTCCCTGCGTGAACTCTGCAGGGAGAAAAGGTCCAGCTCAGAAACTACGTCTTCAGCTTTACTGACTTAAAAGGATTTAGTTTAAGGGGAAAAAAATACTATTTTTACTATATTTAAAAAATGAAATGAGTCAATTCTATCATTAAGAGATTCTCTGTTTCTTAGAGAAATGTTTGAATCTAGTTATTACTACATTTTCCACATGTATGTATCTCACACAGAGTTTGCTCACCTGTTTTTAAGAACCCGACGTAGCTTCCCAGAGCTTCACGGATTTTCTCAGCTCCGTTCTTCTTCATCAGGTTGGTCAGCGGCGTTTCCGGTTCGTCTTTGTTCAACGATACAGAAATCTGCAAGTATATAAAATGGCCGAGCGGTCGTGAGAGCGCCGCTTCTACGCCACTCAGGCAGCGAGACAAAAACCAAGCACAAGATCTCTGGTGAAACTTACATCAAGGTCCTCCATGTCGTTCTCGTCAGAAAGGTTGGGAACTTCTATGGTTCCGGTATACTTGACTCCCGCCTTCGACTCTCCTGGGAGAACGAAGACCGTACAGACGTCAGCAGAGATTCAACGCATCTTTATTTATTTTCTTACTAGTATCATTAGCAGACCTACGACCACTTTTATTCATACTAATTCAACCAAATCCCCCCCAGAACAACACGGGCGCCCCAGTCTCCCCCTCACCGATCCAGGTGGCCTTCAGGTTCCATTCATAGAAGAAAATGAGTTTCCCTTTGCGGTTGTTGATGGAGGCTTCTCCCTCCGCCTTGCTGACCTCCGTCACCTCACAGCTCCCATCGGCGTTCTCCACGCGCAGGCCGAGGAGCAGGGATTTTAATTTGTCCGACGACCAGGACGTGGCGTCTCGCTCAGTCCTGCGAAACGAGCAATTTTTTTTTTACAGAAATGTTAAAACGGCAAATGAAAACACGGCTCCTTTTTCTTGAATATTCCCGAAAATGTCATAATGGTATCAAATATAACGGTACGTCTTTGTCACGGATACATTATTTTGGTTTACGGCCAAAAGTGCAGATTATTGCGGGGAGCATGCACGAATTCTGAATTCAGAAATAGAATACTTGTTGGCATACAAATGATCCATCTTAAGCAAGTTTAACCTTTATTCTTGTCTATATATATTATGATAACCGGGAAAAAACAAAAGGTACTAAGTCCACGGTTATTTAAAGGGTTTTATATAAATCAACGTTAACGTTGAAATGAGTAAAGAACATTATGTCAGAAGTGGCTTTTTAGATTCTAACTGATACTGAACAATGAATTCTGTGGGGCAAAATTAATTCACTCTTGGGAGGTTTGAACTACTTTTTTTCTTCTTTTTTTTTTACATTTTAGCATTACGGGGAGCTTCAATGGTTTTCCAGGAACCACTATCAGCATAATTTACTTAAATTAAAGACCACTCTTAATAAATATAAAAAAATAATATAAATTTAATTGCGACACAATACAACATAGAGTCCTTTTGCGTTGTTAGATTCGACCAGTGAGGAGTTTCTGAACCGATTCGTGTTACCGTGGAGATGAATTATGTTGCCATGGAGAATCCACGGGAACATCCAGTTCAGTGGCGATTTGGTACACCGGATATGTGCAGTGATCCCGATACTTACGGGCATTTGAACGCTTCTACTTCGCTCCCAACGTGATAGAAGCAACTGTCTGATCACCGAAATCTGTCAGCATTTTTTTTTTTTAAATTGCATCGTTTAGCTTCAAACTAATATAATAATATAAAAGTTGAAAGTCGGTACGTGGGGCTAACGGTAAAACGGTATTAATACGTTTTATTACACCGAAACACATGTGTCCACCGTGGACGGCTAACAGCCTCTTTACAGTAGAGGCATAAATAGAAGCTACAGTCGCTAGCAAGCAAAGCTAACTTGAAAAAGGTAACGTTGGCTCGACATAAATCCCTCGAATGTTATAATCCTTTGCTTCATTAAATATTCTACATGTTCCACTCGAAGCTGTTTGGGAATAATTTAATACAGCAGTTATTCTACTTACAGGACTAAAATACAATAAAAATAACAGCAGCAATCTTGACATAAATATGATCTGTGTGTGTGTGTGCTGTTAGCATAAACGGGCTAGCTAGCAGCCAGTGTACTTTCATCATATCTCACCAGTGCCAGTTGTTGACATTAGTCGCGTCGGCTCTCTCCTCCACGATCCAACGAGGGTCTCCTTCGCCCCATTTAGCCATGTTCAGCCCGTCGTGTCGGCCTGTGACGTTGTGTGCGGAGAGCAGGTCGGTTTGCCGGCGACTGTCCCGGTGCACGTTGTTTCTAGAAGCCTCTAGCTGCTGCTGGCTCTATGGCGCGGTGCTCCTGCGTTTGTCGTCCGGGTGCAGAAGTTGCTGGAAACGGAAGTACGTCACGGCCGGCGAGGTGAAAAAAAACACCCCTTTTGTTTTCTTGCGAAACAATGGTTCTGCTTTATGGAGTTCGATTTATGGAAATAAAGAAAACGTTTTGAAACAGAGAAGGGTGGAAGAAGTATTCAGATATTATAAGTGAATTATGTCAAAGTCCTGTACTAAAAACGTTACTTAAGTATTTGGATCAAAATATACTTAAAATACTCAATTTTCTAAGCCCATTTTGGAGTTATGGGTCTTATTGATATGTATATATTATGTTATGTAATATACATATTATGTTATGTGGTTGAATCCTAAGGGCGATTTTAACAACCTAATTTTCTGTAGCTTTGTTTATCATTTTAAATCAATACACGATTAAACTGTCTCAAGTGTTAAATGTATTTGCTGACTTTATTTGGTCTTACTACTCTTGTCTTAACCTGGGAGGTATTTTTAATGTTATCAAATAACTGTATAGCTGAGTATAAAGTACAAAACATCTTTCAAATTTTAGCAGGGTAGAAGTATTAATTTGTAAAAAAAATTAAATACTCAAGTAGGTATCTCAAAGATGATAAAAAAAACTATGTAAGTACATTACTTTGTTACAATTCACTGCTGAAGGACAATATGGATTTTCATATCTTCTAATTTATGTTTTCTAAGAAATTTGGGTATTGGTTAATTGATGTTCACAGTAGTGAATTGGTGCCATACAAAGAAATAAAGAAACAAAGAGATAAAGACAAGCATATCATATATATATATTTATCATTTTATTCTGGGCAGCTAATTCTCATGTACTTAATACGATGAATTGACTGCGTGCAATCGATGATTGTTAAATGGAGCACATATATGATGGATTGAGCAGTTCATATATTGGATGGTAAGAAGGCAAATGAAGGGACTGTTACAGACTTTCCGGTTTCAGACAACCTGCACTTCTTTTAGTGCCGTACGTATTCCTGAATACTGAGAAAACACATTACTGTAACTTATTCACAGGGTTTTCCAACGTGGGAAGTAGTATTCACAATCAGTGGAGTGAATACCAGCCAGCATTGTGCTTGCGCTATCTCAACACAGTAACAGTAACAGTGTTGGGTGGAGTCAAACCCAAGGTGCCACAGTGGTAAGTAACCACTACACCACCGGCCCTCAAAAGCCTCTGCTTGGAATTTCTTACGACTTCATTTTACAAATATTTTTAATGTTTTTTCAAATTTATGTTTTCACACCCCCGCTTCCCCTCAAGAGTTTATAGTATGAATTTCATTTTTTTTTCCCGCAAAATATTTTGTGATTTTTTTTTAATTTGTATTTCAGACACTGAAAATGTACCTTCTCATACTAGAAACATACTTTGCTATTCACAATCACTGGAGTGAATACCAGCCCAGTATATTGATGATTGTTAAATGGAGCACTTATATGATGGATGGAGCAGTTTACATATTAGATGGTAAGAAGGCAAATGAAGTGACTGTTTCAGACAACCTGTACTTCTTTTACTGCCGTACATATTCCTGAAAACTGAGAAAACATATTACTGTAACTTATTCACAGGGTTTTCCAATATGGGAAGTAGTTGAGGGATCGTATCTACTTACTTTCATTAGTGCCATCAATAGACCAACGCCACGGTCGACAAGAAGAAGGCTCAGTTCCACAAAGCCAATCACCAACCTGCTAAAACCAGCTTGATTAAGAATACACCTTTGCTGTGTATAACATATGGTACTATGGAATACTTAAACTCAAATGGACTTGATGGAAAATGGAGGTAAAAATGCAGCTATTCCGCATATTTACTGTCATTACTAATATTGTCAGGTGGTAAACCCATAAACATCGTATCGTGCGACCACGGAAAATAGTAATTAAAAACAATAAATGTTGGTTCAAAGTGAAGAAATAGTTAACAAATATTACATGGGTGACTATTGTGTTAAATGTATTTATTACTTGCCGAGATTGAAAAGTGGCATATTCCTTTTTCAGAACGGCCTAAACTGATCTCAGCACGGCGTGTAGCAGCATGGATAACTTTATTGAGAAATTAGCACAAAACAGGGAGTTGAAAGTAGCACAGCGTCTTAAATAAAATTATGTTGCTTTTTTATCTCTGCCAATTCTTCTTTGGCTTGATGCGAGGCCTTAGAAATTAGGATAAAGGGATGCTGTGTTCGCCTTTACGGACTGAAATTGGTCATTTGGCCAATTTTTTATTTAGCTTACCCCTGTCTGACTAATCAATGGGAACAGACCATGTATATGTTCTCCGACTCATTTCATTAAGCCATCACTCAAAAGTGTGTTCTCGGTGTATCTACTTTAGCATGAGGACACATGTTGATACATATATTCGTCTCTGTTGTTTCAGCCTTGCCATGATGTTCCACTCACATGAACGGCATGTCAGTCTCAGTGATCGAAATAATGCTAAGTTACATTTTCCAACATGGTACAAGTCGTCAGTGGCAAAACACATAGTTGTGAAAGATACTCATTTACATGGGAATCTAGATGAATATCGATGCGGAGGCGGATTCATCCTGCTACATGTCGTTCTGGGATCGGTTCATGCTGTTCTGATAAAAGTACTGAATAAATTGCAATTGTCTTTCATTGTTGTCACTGGAGACACTCTGAGGGTTACGTGCCGTGTTCAGTTAGAATGAATACTAGGAAAATATATTTATTTTTTAAAATATGTATGAACCATATTTTGTTGGGGCGGCGAGTAGTTACAAATATATTTTTAAAAAACTATTAAAACAGAAAGACTAAGTAAGTATAAATGTAAAAAAAAAAAAACATTACACATAAATAATACAAAATGAGGAAATGTACTTTCTGCAAATGTTTTTTATGTAAAAAAAAAAAAAAAAAAAAACTGAATGTAAAATTCGACCAGCCGATCAGATAACCTGAATAACTACATATATATTTAAATGTCTGTCTGCGTTGTTTGTCGAATGAAAGGCAGCTCGCAGGCAGAGGAGAGCGGGAGCCATTAGGGAGGAATCCCGGGCATATGGCTGGCTCTCGCTCCCCTCCCCCTCCCTCACTTCCCCTCCTGCCGTCCGCTCCGCAGCAGCAGCAGCAGCAGCAGCAGGACGGAGGTGGTTCAGTTTTTTGAAGCCGTGGCATGAATGATCTCATCTGAACCTGATCTCCGCTTTCCCTGCCGTCGATCCTATGACCGAGACGGGAGTAAAATAACACAAACAACGAGGTGAGTACGAGCGGCCCGGCGGAGGTCGGTTTAACCGGCTGCCCGGGGGAGCGTTTGTTGTTGTTGTTTTTTACGAACTTAACAGACCGGCCGCGGCGAAAAAACTCTTGTTTTTTTACCAGAAAGGAGGAAGGACCTCGGGAGGATGTGTGGGTGGGCACTTCTGGCTAATTAGCTTTACGCTAGCTAGCATTCATGTCTTGTGTTCATTAACGGTTACTCGTAACCAAAAATCCCAAACTGAGACAAATGCCACGGGCCTTTTTTTTACTACCTTCCACGGATACATCGCCTTTTAAAATCCCCTCTTGTTTCACTGAACGTACCGGCCCAGCTAGCTTAGCGGCAGCTCGTAAAGTCGGATTCGTAGCATAGCTAGCCGGCTAGCCGTTAGCTACTAGCGCAAAATGGCCTCATTGTCGCTCGGTGGCTGTGATGCTGAAAAGACAAAGCATGCGGCAGTCACGGCCCGCGGCCCCGAGCCGCTCTCTCCAGCGGCCCGGCGACGGCTCCCGGCCGGCGGCGGATCGTGTAAACGTGGCGTTATCGACGGGGAAACGTTTTAAAACACACCGCCGCCGCGTTGTAGGCTTCTTTTTTTTTTTTTAAGATAAAAGCGAGCGGGTTGAGCCGTGAGAGTGGCCGGGTGGCGTGCGGTGGGGGATGGGTCATGCTAGCAGCCATTGACGTAAAGCGAGGCTGCATTTTGTTTGGCTTCGGCTCCTAGCATAATACCAGCGCTCCGCTTAAAACAACTACGTGTGAAATACATAAATATATATATATTATTGTCTAATATAAGACGTGTAGTATTTACGTCGCTTCAACGAGTGATTCTTATTTTTTTTCTTCCTTTTCCTCCCGATTACTCATTTCCTGACAGACACGTTTTTGTTCATATGTGTCAGCAGCTTCTTGTACAATCTTGAAACAGTGACTTAATCTCTCAATCTGCTCATGTCCTTTTATTAACAATTTGTGTAGGTTTCTATGATTGATTGTGTTACGTTGGGACATTATGTAAAGCTCAATCACTCCAGTTAAGCATCTGGAGAATACAGCATTTGTCTTTTAAAATCAGTTTATTTTAAAAGACAACCGCTTATCACAAGCACGTTTTATATTAAGTGGATTTGGAAACATTAGTCATTTGCCTTATAGTTTTAGTGCGTGACAAAAATCAAGCAACGCTCAAGTCAATAATTAAGTATAGAGATATCAAATGTACGGTAAAAATGTGTAAAATAAAGTGTTTTTAAAATGAAACATCGGGTCCAGTTATTGTAGAAATGTTCAACGTTACACTGGTTGACGTAGACAGAATATTGTGCAATGTAGAGGGTCAATGATGTGACGGATGTGTAGGTGCTCAATAAAACATGCACAATAAAGTTTATAGTGTTTGAAAACCTCCATGTTCACGTTCAGTCTGTAGTTATTGATGTAAATAGTTTACATTATGTGTCCGTGTTTTGTGAATTTTGTTCAAGGTGGTGTAAATGTTTTGAGTTTAGTGAAAGTTGCTGTGGTGTCACTATTAGTGTCAGAGGTTGTTGTTGTTATTACATCCTTATTATTCATCCCGTTACATCTTACACGCTGTACGGTTTTATGTGTCTGCTACAGGTGCAACGTCAGAGTGATCCAGATTTGCGATTTAAATCAATCTCCCAAGTACAATAATTGACAATTAACCCCAAAATGCTGAACTACACAGTGTTTAAAAACACATTTACCTGTAAAGAAAAAAAGTGTCTTGTCAAACTGTTTTTTCCTTAGTGTGCAGTGTGCTTTCTCCCAGGTTGTAGGTCTTGGTTGTTGGTGGTTGCGTTTCATATTCTTTGACACGTTGTGGTTTTTCCTTAAAAGGAGCCAGTGGCCTCTTGTTTAACAGGAGCCGTTCACAAAGAACACACATGTCAGTCTCTGCTTTCTCACTTTTTTTGTATTTTAGATTCTTTTCATAAATTTCCTTTTCCCATTCTGTCCCATTCTGAAATATTATTGCCAATAACAAGCGAGGACTTGCAGAAAGCGAAGGGTCCCACGCACCTCCGTGTACATTAGATCCACGTCTCTTCTTGGTCTGAGTATATAATTCATCTGATCAATCAGGCGAGTACTTTAATTAATGTGAAAAGGAGCGCAGTGACTCCCCCTATCGAAGGCTTAAGTATAGGTTACAATCAATCAATCTCCAATTAGAAATCACGACCCTTTTGAGTTCTATGTTAATTCAGTGTAAAATGATGTTTCCGTCATCCCAGTTTTTGGCTGTAAAATGCTGCACGGCCGTCCTGAGTGAGATCATGTTATGATGGTGTGTCATTTTCAGATCATAGGGCTCTAGCTTTGCCTGGCAACAAATTCTGCTTCATTTGAGGTGAATTGTGACAATAACAGCACTGTTTCTTGCATTTAGATTTTGGTTTCCACAGGAAAGTGGGCAGTTTTTGTCAAATTGTTAACAACTCTTTGCTGTTTGCTTTCTACTCTGTAAACTCTACTGCTGTGCTTCTACAGTCCAACGTGTGTCCGAACTATTTCCATTGTATCCTTGATTTTACTTTTTGTGATAATCTTTTAAAGAAATGTATCACAAATGGAACGTTTGAACCAAGTGGAGTCATTCACCCAAACGCCCTGCCAACAGGTTTTTATTTTTTATACATAAATACAGAGGAGACGCAGCCGGGCTCTTATTTTTCTATTTACCTCCATCCCGTTTTATTTTGGGGGGGGGGGGGTCGGGGCGCCGTTAATGTTGGCAGGAGGCTTGTTTTGTTCCTGTAAGACATCTGTGTGCCAAACGGTTATATTCAGAAGTTGATTTTTTTTTTCTTCCCCCCCCCCCCCCCCCCCCTCAGTGAAGACAAAGTGAAAATCTCGTTCTACTAGTTTTTTGAGTGCGGCGTGTGTATGTGTGTGTGTGTGTGTATGTTTGTAGACCCGGAAACCTGACATCCATTGTAAATATTAGTGGTTGATGGTGGTATATTGTATTGTGATACTGTAAATGCTTTTATTTGTCATATTCTTATCCCCTTTATCCCTTTTTAAAAGCACCTCATTGATCACAGGTGGCAGTGGGGAAGCGTTGAAGTGCACTGATCATGTAACTTGAGTGCTGTGTTTGTTTTCCTGACAGAGGTCTCTCTGGTCTGTGCTTACTTTGATGCAGCGTTTGCATTCAGCTGGTAACCATGCTATTTTCGGTGGCTCAGTGGTCTGTTAAAAGTGTGGTTGTTCCGCCCAGCAGGAGTCTTGCTTCAGACTGGCCTAAAATGGGCAGAAATGGTGCTGAACAAAAGCTGCTTGTCGCTCGTACAAAAGTACTTGAAGCGCTGCAGCCGGGACCGGGCTGCATTGCTATTGCCTGTGCCTCTCAACAGGAAAGGTATAGCCAACTTTAAGAAAAAACTACAACAAACAATTTACTGTTTACTGTAGTCCATAAAGAGTTTATTTATTCGTAAAGTCACAGCTGCTGATGAGCAGATTGTAGCTCTATCTCCCCCATGTCCACACACAAGTAACACGCCACATAGCCTCACCGCATCTCACCATTAGAGCATTAACTACATGGCACTTATTCTTTTCACTATGATCCCAGCTAGTGAATTCAGAACATTCTTGTGTTTTTGTCAGTGTGGTAAATTAGCTGATGCTCAGAAGTGTCGGTTATCTGACCGTGTGTTCTTTCTCCTCGCCGGCGCCGCAGAGAGACACCATGTTCCCGAAGGGCACCAAGCGCAAGTTCTCAGACTCCGGGGAGGAGCCGGTCTCCAGCGGCGACCAGGTCCCGGCGGCCCCATCCGTGGCGACCCGGTCGCTGACGTCCTCCTACAGCCTGCAGCGCCAGTCGCTGCTCGACATGTCGCTGATCAAGCTGCAGCTCTGCCACATGCTGGTGGAGCCCAACCTGTGCCGCTCGGTGCTCATCGCCAACACGGTGCGGCAGATCCAGGAGGAGATGACCCAGGACGGCACCTGGCAGATAATGACCCAGGCCCTGGCGGCCGCCCAGTGTCCCACGGACCGCCTGGTGGCCACCGAGGTGCTGTGCCGGCAGACGGACGCGGCGGCTCAGGCCGGGCAGAGTCCGAAGCCCTTCTCCGTGGGGGGCCTGGAGGAAGGCTACCACGCCGAGGAGGTGGTGATGGAGGGAGACGTGGAGACCGAGGTCACCATGTCCACTTTGGCGCCCGTCTCCCCCCAGCTGTCCTCTGCCTCCTACCTGGCGGGCCCTTTCGTCATGGGGCCCTGCTGGGATGAGGACGAGGAGGAAGAGGAGGAGGAGGAAGAGGAAGAAGACGGTGAGTGCGAGGAGGACGAAGAGGACGACAGCGAGGACTGTGTGTCTGAGGGAGAGGAGGCGGACCGGGACCACCTGAGCCCAGACTCCAGGACAGGGGAGCAGGTTTTTGGGACTTTTGAGATCAAGCACCCGGCGCCGCCCCCTGACCCGGCGCTGGAGGAACTGTTTTCCGACGTAGACCCGTCCTACTACGACCTCGACACGGTGCTGACGGGCATGCAGAGCGCCCCGAAGATGGGCCCTTACGATCTGCTGGAGAGCCTTTCCTCTCACGGGCCCACGGCCCTCAGCTCCAGCTCCAGCTGCAGGTCAGACCTGAACGAACTGGACCACATCATGGAGATCATAGTGGGATCCTGAAACCCAGAACATTCCGCTGGCCTGTCCCTCAGACTGTTTCCAGACTATGCACAGTACACATGTGCATGTTCTGTATGTGGTATTGTTACACGAGGAGATTGTTTAAGGTTTTGGAGCAAGGTGGGAAATTAACAGCGAGCCGCGTAGATTTTGGGCCGCTGGCGGCGCAGCAGCTCGTCTGCTCTGGCGGCAGCTGCTGTCGGGACCGCCATCTTTTATTAAAGTAGCGAGGTTTAAATGAATGAACTTGTGGATTCTCTAGACACGCTGGCCTTCGGGGCGAAGCCGTTAGTTTCCTACTTTTGTTGATGAAACCCAAAACGATATCGGTGAGGGGGCAAAGATAATTACCTTATACCATGATGCATTCTTATTTACGTACTTTCCATGTTTACGTCTGTCATACATTCTGTCATACTAGCTCCTTCTGGGCGGACTCTGCCATTCGGTCCATTTCTATTTATTGTTACATGGACTGAGGAACAATTCATCACACTACAAGCATCAGAAACCAGAACAAATTGTAAATCCAAATCTATGAATCAATGCATATTTTCCTAAAGATTTGAGCAATTATGAATGGAATATATGTATATGTACGTATGTGTATATAGAAATATATTTTTTGCATTATACAGCTGGGGGGATTTTGCAAGTATCATTTGATATTATTATAATTTTTCCCTCCCAAGCGGTTTTTAAGATTTTAATGTAGCCAGACTCGAGACCGTGTCTTCCCGTGGTTTGGTATAACAAGTCGACTGTAACGGGTGTCAAGACTGACATCGTCACACCTTTTTTTTAAAGGCGCTGTTTCATTTTCTCAAAAGCTTTATGCAGGGCGGGGGCCTTACCACCACACGCTGGTTCCTGGTAAATCAGCAGTATCTAGTAAGTTCCCTGCCCTGCTATTCATACGGATCTAATAACCGCTTTTTCCTGGAAGCATTTGGAGGAACCCCGGGGTGAAAACTGCATCAAGAAGCCATATTTCTTTCTCTCATTTGTTAGAACAACAAGTGAAGAGTTCTGTGTGTTAACACAATCTAATTTATTGTTGTTTTATTTATTGTATTTATTATATCTAGGTACAGACATGCCATATTGACGTATCAAATCAACCATGAGGCCTGATGAAATTATATTTATCCAAATTTTGCCCTCCGTTTCGAATGCAGTACCTATTTATTCCTCACTTTTTATTGTTATTATTATTATTATCCGTAGTAATTATAATAATAATAATAATAATATCCGGGTTACTATTCAAATCACTATGCAGCTCTGTCATACGTGTTTCAAAATGATTGTATACGACTCAAATGTCCTTTAATTCCTTTATGCAAACAGTTGCCTTTCTCCTAAAAGATGTGGAAAATCAAATGCATTTTTCAAAAATTGTTCCTTATCATCGTGATGAAGAGATTTAACTCAGGCAAAACAAAATGTATTGACAAAAATACAGTATTACGACACGCTTAATACCTTACCACCACACTCCTGAAGGATGTCACTCTGGTCTGAATGGGAGCTAGAACTTCAAAGACTAATTACCGTTGTAAAATGTATGCATTTTTTTATATTAAGGAAAAAACATTGTAGCATCTTTGTAAATATTTTTTATAATAAAAGGTGCAACTATTGATTTGTGTTGATTGGCTTTTTGGGGGGGAAACTTTTAACCTTAAAAACGAGTTTCGATCTTATTTTCTTTGGGAGACTTTGACAAATCGATGTTACTTTATTCGTATTGCTGCTCACCAGAAAGAGCAAACCCAGACATCTCATGTGTCTTAAATGTTTATTTCCTGACCCAGCTGGTCGCTGCACTTTACCGAATGCTACGGAAACCGTAGTAAATGGTGCTGCTGTTGTGTTGGTTTTAGCCGCGGACTTAACGGTGCCACTGACACAGAGGCTCATTCATCGGTTTAATAGTTTTTAGCAATGGGCTCTTCGATGCTGCCCGTCAGATCCACGATTAGTTTCTGGTCTTTTCACGGGATTGTTGACAAAGATGATAAAATATATAGATTATCATCAGCCTCATCCTTTTTTTAACATGCTTCTATTGGACACTGAGAATCTATGGAATTCATTTTCCATAAGTAATCATCAAACGCATTAACTGAGCCAGATCGGCTTCAAGCACGATCCGTCCTGGAATTCATCCTTAGAATGTATCTCCTGCTGGGCGGCTCCGGTAAGTGCTGAAGGCCTCTTGTGCCTTGCTCGAGGGCACTCGGTGAGACGCGGCTCCACCTTTTGTCCTCTTAACGCGACCACGTTACACCTTCGTGTGTAAAGATTCCGGCACGGTGGGACTCGAGCCGACCACCAACCGCGAGGATGACTTCAGTGAAGCGTTGACCTGCATGCAGTCAAAGACACTGGTTCATAGCGTGCTGGCTGGCTGCCCGTTGGCCGCCGCGTGGCCTTCGTCGGCCGCAGTTAAAGATTAATGTCCTCCGGGTGACTCAGCGAAAAAAAAGAGGCCCGGGGGGGGAAACGAGTCATTGGAGACACTATTGTGTCCTAATGCAGAAAACTGGTGCAACGTTTCAGAGATTCACACACTGGGTTTTTAATGCGTCCGCCGCCTTTAAAATGTCTGCCGGCTCATATTAGTTAACTGATAACTTCAGGCTCATAAGGTTCAAGAGAACACTGTTATTTACCAACAAACCCTTAATTAAAGAAAACCTGCATGAATAAAGGTTATGCTTTAATTCGAACTAGATTTCTTCTGGATTTCTTTAAAATATTTAGGCAGTGGTGTAAAGACAAATCCCAATTTGTGTATTTTATTTAAAAGCAAATGTGATCTCTGCTCATGGATCCAGTTTCCGTTCATCAAAAGAAGAGGAAAGAAGTTTAGCGGTGAGGCTGGAAACGTGAATGGAGAGTTTCCTTATTTGGTGTTTGCCCTCCCCCATCTTTCCTGTGACGTTTGCCCCCCGCCCCCCTCTCTGTGAGTCATGTCTCTTTAACATGCTGCGTTCAGGTGCTCACCCTTTTTTAAAGTGGTGGAAAATCACTTTTTAGTAACTAAAATATCTAAAATCTAAAATATCACACAGTAAAAACGTGATCAGTTTGTGAACTATTAAGCAAATTTATATTCACACTGTATCACCTGCTATACGAAATGTACCGTTTCATATTCAAAGTCCAAATGTCCCTCGATCGTGCCGACCGCGCTCACCACACACGAATGCCCCGAAGTTATCTCCATTTTTTCCGAGCCGCACGTGAACGCAGCGGCAGCTCGCAGTCGGAACCCCGTGTCGCACATTCGCTGCCCCACGAGGGGCGGGGGCGGAGTTATGATTGGCGGCGAAATGGACCAATCGGCAGTCTCCTTCCTCCCTTTCCCCCCTCCCCCCGTCCTCGCAGCTGTGAGGTAGACCGAGCGTTCCTCATCTTCTCCCCGGGTTCCACAGCGGAGGAACGCGCCGACGAACAAACGAGCCGGAACCGCAGACGGGACGGATTCTCACGCTTCATGACACCCCCCGAGGGCACGTAAGGTAGTCACGTAACCTGTTTTTAAAGTAATTACCCAAAATGTCGACATGTTACATTTGGTTTTCTCGGCGCTGGTGCCCCCCCCCCCCACACTCGAGTCCCTGAAGGGGTCGCGATAAAGTAAGAGGCAGTGACGTTATTCTCCTTTTTTATACTAACGTTACTTTAAAGACAATTAATCGAGGGAATCTGTTATTCAATCGTGTCATAAACGTCGTTTAACGTCGTTCGTTCTTATCGTTGAATAAGAACGAACCGTTTCTTTTAACCCTTCGGATGTTAAACTCATCAAATTAGGCTTCCTGTGAAGACGTTTGTTATCTGGGAAAACTTTAAATAGAGAATAACGTCAAAAGTCAAGGACTCGTGTGTGAGAAAAGTCTCTCCCAGTGAGTCACAGCAGATAAAACACCTCAAACCGCTTAAATAAAAATGAAACCAACGCGTCCTCGTTTTGAGCAGCAGTTTTTTCATATTTATCTATTAAATGGAAAGTGGAGGAGTCGTGTCCATGTTGGCTGTTGGTGTTACATAAACTGCATGTGAGGTTTATTACATTATTATATTGCAATGCAGCCTAAAATAGTCACCTGGTAAAGTCCTTACAATTGGTTTATCTTTTCGGGTAAGCAAACAGATCTGACTTTATGACACAATTAATGTATGTATATATGTATGTAACGTATTATCAATTCATAGTTCAAAAAGACGTCTGGAGCATGAACGGTCTCAAATCTTTTGGTTTACTTTTGAACAATGAGGTCCAGCAGTGCAACATAACACCACACAATGTTGTTCAAAGATATCAGCATCAGTCGAGTGCATCTGTTCACCTGTGTGTGTGTGTGTGTGTGTGTGCACCTGTACCTGCAGGTCCATGTCGGGTCGCGGGGTGAAGAGGAAGCGGAGCTGCCCGGAGGAGCCGCAGGCCGAGACCCTCCCCGCCGCGGGGCAGGAGGGGAGGAACGGGGGAGACGGGCCCCAACACGACCTGAGCCGCCTGCAGCAGCGGCAGCGCGTGCTGGGCCTGTGCATGGAGAAGCTCCAGGGCCAGCAGGCCGGCGCCGAGCCCAGCCTGCGGCGCTGCGTGCTGCTCGCCAACACGCTGCGGCAGATCCAGGTGGACATGCAGAGCGACGGGGGGGCGGCTGCGGCGTTGCTCGCCGACGGCCACCACCCCGGGGGTTTCGCGGCGGTGACGTGCTCCGCGTGCTCTGACCCGCCCCCGGAGGGCCCCTCACAGGACGCCAACGGCCCGCCGGAGCAGCAGAGGTCACCGGCCGCCGCCTTCAGCGCTGTCAGCGACGCGGTGAGCGCCATCGGCTACCTCGGCGACCTCGCCTTGGACATCGACATCTTCGAGGACATCGACACGTCGATGTTTGATACCTCCGAGCTGCCCTCCTGCTGGGCGGCGGCAGCGGCGGGCTCGCCGTGGCCCCTCAGCGTGTCGCTGTGGGCGGACGAGGACGCGAAGACGCGCCCGCCCAGGAGCCTCCAGTCGCGTCTGACGGACCTGAACGAGCTGGACCACATCATGGAGATTCTGGTGAAGTCCTGATCGAAGGACGGTGTGACCTTTGCCCCTAATTCATACGAAACTCAAATTATGTGGACACAAAGTATTGATTGAAGACGGGGAACCTCATGAGAACACGAGGGAACCTTTTAACTGATTTTATACCGTTTCTGGTCACAACTCAGGTGGAGACGCATACAGATATTTTTCTACAAATTTCAGTGAATTTAAATGCTATCAAATATTATTTTAACAGACCAATTTGTGCAGCAGCAGTTCGCGCTTTGAGCCCCGAGTCAATAATCTGTAGCGGAAAGCAGATGAGACGCGTCTGGAATGAGTCTCCCCGGCTCGTGAGGACGGGACCCGAGCAGCAGATCATTGATGGAAATCCCTCCGAACTACTTAGGAGGCATCGAGCTCGGGTCATCCAGGAGGGCAACGGGTCTCCTCGCTTTACTATCAGCGCTACGATCTGGCTCAGCCAAAGAGGGACGAAGTCCACGTTTATGTCTGTTTGTGTCAGAAGAACGTCTAATGTTATTTATGGAAGCAATGAAGGACTCGTTTATGTGTTGAGTGTAACTTATGATCCAGATTCTGTTTACAGTCATCCTTCCACAGAAGTTCATCCTTCGCGGCAGCTCGAATCCACGGTTAAAATGCACAAAACACGTGTTTTAGCCAGCAATGTAATCTCAGTCCGGCTCTCCTTCTGCCACCTCTCACAACTCGACTACGTGACATCGCAGGTGGATTTTTATTGAGTTGTTTTCATGCTACCTGGAGCTCCTCAGCGAGCAGATGCTCCACCTCCTCTACCTGAGGTTCTACCTCCTTCTCGCCGATAGAAACCCTCTCTTTACCCCGACGGCCTCGCGTCCTCGGCGTGCCTTACTGCTGGACCCGCTCCCTCGCTACCGAGAGGTCGCACACAGACTGAAGCCTCCATCCGGGGGTTCTTCCCGCTCTTCTCTCTGAGCTCGGCGAACACCACGAGAGCTTAACGCACCCTGACAGGATGACCGCCAACTAGCTGATGGAGGGAAAGAGGAGAGGATGCAGCTTGCGTCACCTAACCAGTGGGAGGGGCTTACAGCGTGACTCAGACTGCTGGCCAATCCGGAGAGAGCAGCGATGAGCTTCTCCGGCATCTCGATTTTGTTGGGAGATAAAAACCACCTCTCTGTTGTTTGTGCAATCCGTCAGACGGGACTTATTTATAACTGAGCGCTCTGTAAAGCATTAAGCCCTCTGCTGTTATTATGATGCGAGATGATAAATAATAATGTATTGTATTTTTTGTGGAAGATTTTAAAATTTGTATTTAATAATACAGTAAAAGTACCCAAACTGCCTTGTGTGTGTGTCTTTTTTCTTTTGACCGTACTGTAACGGACCGCGAACGTCACATCCAGATTACAATAAACCGAAGACAAATTAGTACATTTCTCATAAAACGTGCTATTACCCCCCCCATGCATTCCCCATGAGACATTAGTGTTACACCACCGCACGTGCTTCATGGACCACCTGACTGCAGCCTCACAGGGAAACCAAACTAATTCACACATGATTTCCTCCCTTTCTGATTCATTCAAACGTGTAGAAACCTCAGCGTCGTGGCGTGTAACCGCCGCCTGGCAGGCTGAGTTCAGGACGAAATCTCCCTCCTGTCTAAAGGAGCCGAAAGGAAGCCGATGCTGCCCCCTGGTGTCACCGGTGTGAGCTGACCGGAAGCATGACGGTGCACGTTTCACACGTGTGTGTGTGCGTGCGTGTGTTTGTTATCACAATATTGACCCCTTAGTGTGGAAGCAGTATTTAGTATTTAGTGCATCGTGTTTGTGTTTGAGAGTTCAAACTCACGTTAAAAAAGATACATTTGAGGAACTTCGCCCGGAGTCGCTGAGAGGACGTGAATTGCGGGTGACGTCATCCCTCCGATGACGTCACGGCGGTGCTGCAGAGGCCCGATGTTCCTCTGCCAGCTTCTGCTGACTCAGCGTAGATTACTTCTGAAGAGCGCAGCTCACAGCAAGGGGAGAAAAGAGCTCATGTAAAATATAGAAATATGACATGAAAGTTGGATCCAGACAAGCAGCGTCTGCCGCGTGTCTCCGTCCTTTGCTTTATCTTTGTAATGACGCGGCACTGACGTCCCAGTAGCTGTTAACACGCAACATCTGAATGATCTTCATGTCCAACCAGCAGCAGCACCCTGGGACGAGTATCAGCTGCGTTTTATTTGTATTGTATGTGCACGTTTGTTCGCTGGTCGCTGGTTTCATGGGCTTCTTCTGGCGCCCCCTCCTGGTCTAAACATGCTACTTCCGCTTCATCGCCTGGCTGTAACCGGTTAGGAAGATAAATACTTAAAATAATAAAAATACATGTGTAAAAATATCCCCCCATTAGTGTATTTAATCCAGCAATGAACTTTTCCTTTATTTTATTTTCTGGCTGCATTTAACAATTATTTGTAATATCGATTAATCTGCAGATTCGAATAAAGTAAAAAAAAACGTTAATGTCCCCAAATAGCTTGTTTTGTCAAATAAACAGTTATTGGTTTAGTACCAGATAAAGTCAGTCAAAGACAAACAACAAATATTCAAAATTAAGAAACTGTACTTTGTAATTTCACCTTTTAAAGAAATAAAGAGTTAACTTTAAACACTTTATAATATATATATATATATATATATATATATATATATATATATATATATATATATATATATATATATATATAGTCAGATGAGAAAGAAGCAACATCAAGTAGAAATAACAACATGAATGAAACCTTTGTGTCGACTTCAGCTCCTCTCCTGATGTGCACAGATGTGGGAATGTGCTCCGACAACATCCGTGACCCCCGAGCGCCCCCCCGGCTCTTATTACACATAAATGATTTACACGCTGCCCCAGACAGACGTGACCCGCAGCAGCAACGCATTTCATTCCGCTAACAACGTGCTGCGTGTTGTTTTTGAGGCCGTGGTGCTTCCTGTTTGACCCGAGGACACGTGGACTCTGGTGGAGACAGACAGTGAAGACGAGCTTCATATCCTTATCATATCATTAGTCCCCGAGAAAAGACTTTAACTCGAGTCACTTGCAGTCATTTAGTGTCACTCACACTCAACTTGAATCTTTTTACTGTGCGGGTCAGGATTCCACTTTCTAACATGAGAAGAGTTTTCAGTAGAAAAATGAATCAACTCAGCATGACGATGATGATGATGGTGACGATGACGATGGTGATGATGATGATGATGGTGACGATGACGATGGTGATGATGGTGATGATGATGATGATGATGACGATGATGGTGACGATGATGATGATGATGATGAGTCTATTAAAGTTCTTGAACTAGACGGAACTTTCAGCACACGGCTGCACTCTTTTATCTAATCATCTCCAAATCAATTATAAATGTGGGTAATTACCGACACGGCAGCAGCTATAACTCATTCACATGCAGATGAGACACACGCGTGTGCCAGATGTGCTCCCCTACAATATGTATGTTCTGCATTGATTACAGATATTAGACCTTTCGTCACTTTAAACATGATAATTTTTAACTATAAAACCTTTTATTTGTCCTCAATCCCTGCTGATCTTAACTTTCATAGTTCCAATTGTTCTTACAGACAAAAGTAGTTTCTCAGGGGAAGTTCTGTGTGGAATAAGACACATATTCCATCATCGCTGGTCACATGTTGTGAAACCTGTGAAGTCTGTCTGTGCGTGTCTCCCCCACGGACACATCTCACGGTATTTCATTTACCCTCTGCAGGAAACGCCCTGTTGCGCAATCCACACCGTGACTCTGCAGCTCTTCGGCTACCTGTCTGAGTGAGGATTTCAACCAGCAACCTCACAGCTGCTGGTCGAACACGAGGGGAACACAGTGACAGTAAAAATGCAGAAGTGACCCACAGATTTACCTTTAACTGAAGGTATTGTGATTGATTTCACGCGCTGTGCTCCCCTCCAGAGGAGAAGCCACGAGCAGCCGACACACAAAGCCAGAGCGTTCCACTGCAGCACTCCGAACATCTCCCATGAAGACATGAGAACATCTGCATTTCACGCTCCTTGGTTGTGTTTTCTTCTAAATGAAGCAAGATGCAGGGAAACGGCCTCATGCTGAACGTCTTCAGCGTGTGAGATGTGACACTGTGGTGTTTTTTAAGTGGAATTGATTACTGAATATGAACATTTGCTCCTCTGTTATTAACCTGCACCAAGAAGATACAACGATACGATGACAGACGGTCGAAGCTTCATTTAGAAAAGCGCTCAACAGTTTAAAGTGGACAGAAACAGTCCCAGTCGGTTTGTTGGGCCTTTCTCTGTTGGGTTGTGTAGCAAAATCTGACCACATCTTCATTTTGTTGTGCAACATTGTTGTCTGATGAGAACCGTGTAACTTTTTAATTGGTGGATTTATCAGAAAACCCGATGAATTGCAGCAATTGTGCAGAAAATTGGTTTCTTTAAAATGACCCATATTGAATTTGGGAGAATCTCAGCAGTCTAACGACGTTTGGCTTGTTGACACAAGTCACCCTCCGTCCTGTTGGTCGGATTGTCCTGCAGTCAACCCTAGTGAGCAGGTGCATGTGCGTGCACGCGTGTGTGTGCATGTGCGTGCACGCGTGTGCGTGTGTGTGTGTGTGCGTGCGCAACGTCCAATCAGCGTGACTCCGGCGCAGCGCATCGATCCCTCGCAGTCCCGCGGACATTCCAGCAGTAACGATGCGCCCCGATCACCGTGCAAACGCGTGGTATGCGCGTGCACATAGCGGCCCGCGTTCCCTCCGTGTTCCCAGTGGAACCCGACGCTTACGTGTTGCAGTTCTGTGGGAACCGAAGTGCTCTCACACTTCTCACGGGGGTCGCGACCCGCAGCCGGAACTCAATCCATCTTCGCCGCTCGCGCGCTGCAGGTTCCTCAACCGGCCGCAGTCGATTGGACGTTAGATGTGAGTGGACGCGATTGGACGTGTCCAAGTGCACGCGATGTCCAAGTGCTGTTCACTGTTCATTAACAGGAACAATAAAACTGTGTTTGATGAAACTCACCTTTATGGGACAATAGAGGGCCGATGTAATCATGAGATGGATGGAGGGAGCGGGGGACGCAGTGGACACTGGGGGACACAGTGGGACACAGGGATTGATAATGGAAAAACATGCTAAATAGGAAGTTTGTGAGCTTTCTGAAGGTCGCGGCGTCGTGTAACCTGAGAGCGATGAACAACAAACCACAGAACAGCAAGTCGGCCGAGATCGATGTGCACGTTGTTCTCACTCGTGTCCTTTTGTCTTCCAGCATTCTCACGTGACACACATTTTAACAAATGCATTATGATACGCAAATGATCGGATATTGATGAACAATTTGTCAAGTTAAAGAAAATAACGCAGTTCAGCTCGTGAATATCTTCCCTGGAGGCAAGAATTGATTTTGGGTTTGTTTGAATGTTTTCTGAACTTGAGCCAGAACAAAATGCTGTGTCACCTCGTGAGCGCGCAGCCAAGAAGAAGATCATCTTGTCCGTTTGTGTTCGTTATCACATTAATGCAGATTCACAAATGAAGCGTTTATAAAATCACAAATGTTGGGTAGAAACGGGAGCTGGAAGAAGTTCAACAGAATGCATAAAGGGGATGAAATGAGTCATTATTGATCTGGGCATAAAGCTTGTTGTCTGTTCTGGCCCACACGATGTGGAGCACTGCAGAGGCAGACACACAAACGCACAACACAAGCCACCTGATACCTGCTCCGCCTTCCTGCGCTATCGATCCCCGAGGGCTCGGCCCGGCTAATGCACCGCTGCACGGCCCAAACATCACTTAGCACGAGCATCCGAGGGACATCGGCCAGAAGAAAGGCCGCCCCTTTCCCGTCAGGGCTTGTGCACAGGCGTCGAGGAAGAGGAGGAGGAGGAGGCCACGGCCACGCCTCCATTGATCACAGAGCTCTTAACCTGCGTCTCAACCTTAAGTCACGTGTGCGTTTCAGGGGAAAAGGCCTCAATAGTCCGACCTTGAGTTAATATTAAGTAAACTAATGAGGCTCCCAAGGGCCTCAAACTAGCTCACGTTTAGCATTTTCACCTGAAATATAAATGAAAACATCACAGCAAAATGCTGAAATGTTGCGAGAAGCAGTGAGTAGCTAACCAATTAACTAATAACATAGTTACTGGTTAAGATGGTCATCATGTATTCATTCAGGATGTCTCTTTTCATCTGGGAAATGCTAGAAAAAGATGCTCATATTTCACCAGGGAATATAAACCGTCAATCAAACTATTCATCGCGTATAGCTGGTGTTCTACATGTGGCCACTGGGCCAACTGGAGGCCGAACCGCAGAGCTCTGAACTGAACTCAACGGGCCGTTAGTTTAACCCCCCTGCTGGGACCAGTCCAGTCGCCATGGCGACAGAGAAGCCCACATCGAGGCCGTCTCTGTCCGGTCAGGCCGATCGGTGAGACGGAGCCGAGGAGAGAGGAGGGAGGGATGAGGGAGGGAGGGAGGGAGGAGGGTGGGGGGGGGGGAGGAGATCTGTGAGTCTCCTCCCATAATTAAGTCCATGTTGGCGGGGGGAAGCGAGGGAGTTTCCTTCAGTCGGTGGAGAAGCAGCCTCGCTCTCTCTCCTCTGGTTATTCCTGCGACTCATCCCTGGCGAGCGACCTGCACACACACACACGCACGCACGCACACACACGCACACACACACACACGCACACGGGCTGATTCAAGACGGGCCCGGGAGGGGAGGCAGCGGCGACAACAGCGGCACCACCTGCTTCACCCACCACCAGCACCCTCCATCCGTCCCTCCGGCCCGGGACGCCGCCTCCGCTGCCACCATGTGCGACTGTTTCCACCTGGCGTTCCCCAACTGGCAGGCGGCCTCGTCAGGGACGGGTGGGCATCTTTCACTCTGCTCTCGCTTCCCTCTGTGACTTTGTGTGTGCCCCCCCCCCCCCCCAGCAGAAAGGTTGCGTCTGTGAGAATGTGCTGGTGCTGATGCTGAGTTGTGTTGCAGGGTGTGTCTGCAGGAGTGTTTGAGGATGTCGTCGTCGACTCCCCCCTCCTCCCCCCCGCTGTGTGTTTGAAGCAGAGGCTGAAAGGCAGAAATAGTGAGAGAGAAGAACTTGAACAAAAGCTCCTGAAATGTGGGAACTGTTTATGTGCAGGAGGGAAGAGGAGCATTTAACGCAGTGAAACAGGAACAAACAGGAGAAGTTTCTCAGCCTCCGTCTTCATACAAACACGTGTTTAGTCAACATGTTTTCTACCTTTCTGGTGTCATCGCGTGGATGTTTTGAGGATGTAAAGAAACGACATGGGAGCATCGCTGCGGCTCGTAGACGTGATTCCAATGTGAGACGTATTCATGCTTGTGATCTGAGAAAGAAAGGGAAATGTTTTGATCAATTGTGACAAACGTTTAAACGGCAAATCTGTGAAAAAATAGGTGCTCTAGTTTTATTACATTCCCCTGGAAATAGTTCCTGTAGGTGTATTTTACACATTTGTGACGGATTTATTCTCTCGTATATTTTCCTCCCGACGCAATTACAGAGACTGTCGGTAAGAATCCCTCTGAGGAGCTTCTAGAGAGCAGCATCAATCTCACAATGTGCTGCATCACTGAGAGGATCACAACCCATCCCTCTGGAATTCATCACGCCATAAGTTCACTACTTTAACCCTGCGTTATTAGCGGTTATCACAGTACAATAATAATAATAATAATATTGTTCTTGTGCATTACGTCGAGCTCGTGTTGATGTTGGCTGATGTTTGATAAAGCCGGCTGGTTTCTACGTTGCTTCTATCCACAATTCTCATTCGCCTGCTGCTTATATTCATACGAGAGGTTTGTGTTGCCGTGAGAAGCTTCAGGTGGCTCAAGGTCAGAGAGCGAGAGAGAGAGGGGGGGGGGACAGAGAGGCGATGGGCTCAGCAGTGGAGCAAACCCTCCTCTTGAATCAATATCCCGTCTCTCGGATGGTTTCAATGTGACGCTGCTGTCACTCAAGTCTGAGGATTTGCTTGAAACGGCTCGACGCAGCAGGTTGTGTGTTTCTGGGTGTTTTCATTCGCCAGAAACCTCTTTAAAGCGTTAAACTCTCAGAAACAACAAGTGCGTCAAGAGAAGCCCCAACTTTTACACATCAGACCCTTTTGAATGACTCAACTGCAGGAAGTCAAGTAGTTCTGATGCTGCAGGCCTGCGGGTCGTTGCTCCCCCCCAAATAATAACGTGTACAGGAGCGTTCGTTGGACGGAAAGCATGCGGTCTCATGTTCGTCTAATCCGTGCAGAAAATCTAATTTTTTGCTTCGTTCACTTAAATGTGATTACCATCTGGATGCAAACAAACAGACTTCCAGTGAAAAGAAGCTTGTGTTCAGCTCGCAGAAGAAGAAAATTCACAGAAAATGAGCAAAATTCAAATCCAGGAGCACAAACAACAAGCCGGGGGGGGGGCTTCCAGGTGTTTTTCAACAGGAAACACAAAGTGGAGCAGAAGGTTACGTAAGAGGTGAGCTGAGGACAAGCTGCTGCCACGATGCAGTCTGGGGTTTTAGGTGCTTTCGGGGGGGTGGATGGTTGCTGCATGTGGGATGTTGGGGTCGATGCCAGCCTCTGTGTGAGAGGTTCAATGTCTCTGCAAAGTGTCCGGTCACACCGGTCGCGGTGCCACACCCAGAATCCAAAGCTGCAGCGACACCCAGATATGAATCATGCAGGATGTGCAGCACAAAAGGCTCTTAACCCGCCGCGGCTGCTGGATTCGCATCTGCAGAACACGACCATCAGAGGCCGATCGGAACATCGGGGCAGCGAGATGCACTGAGCGTAATCTATGACTAGTCAGACAGGTGAATACGTCTACTATTCAATAGCATTTTGACATTTTCTGCGAGCGGTGAGAGCCGTTATCTTTTCCCTCTGCAGCACCCACATGACAAATATTTGAGAAAGGAGCGTTGGGAACACTGGACGTCCGGCTGAATTAAGTGGTGAATAACTCAAGAAACGCAGCGTCCAGTCAGCAGAGCCGTGAATCCTTCACAAAGCTCCACACAGAGCTAACACCAGCTTGCTAACATGCTAATATTGGCAATGATGCAGTGGTTTTAGGGTGTTTCATGCATGTTGTTTCGGTGGTTGAGGCGGATGTGAAATGTCTCAATCAACTCCACCAAATTCCATCAAACGCCTCTCGATTCATTACCTTAAATTATACTTAAATAAAAGTGTTTTGTTTCATTGAATTATTAAAATAAAGTCATAACATATCCGGGTTATAGCTTTGGTTATATTACAAACTAAATGAATCAAGATGTTCTTCCTCTTTAAGTAGGGCTGGTATTGATGAAGGAGAAATGAATGTAAATTGAAGGTGTTTTCTAGTTGGTGCAAAGTCAACATCAGGTTGATTAAGTTAAGTCAATTCGGTTTGGGAGGGAACACAAGTTCAGGCGAGGGACGTCCGACTGCGAGTGTCCCGCCTCTTCTGTGCGTCCGAGACCCGACGAGTCACTTCTGACACTCGGTGCGTCGCGCTCCGCTCGGGAATGTTTAAAGCCGCTCTGCGTGACGCCGACGCCTCGGTCTCTCTCTCCAGGAGCTAAACGAGCAGCGGACGCAGGTAGGCGAGTTCTTTGATTCCACACACTGGGAGCTGAACGCCAGGGAGGCTTTTCTTGTTGTTGTTGTTGTTGTTGAAGGAGAAGAGTGACAAAGGCAGCTGTGAAGACGTAAAACCATCGTCGACAGGTGTGAATCTACGTCCCGTGACGTCACAGAGCGCCGCGCGTCTACGCAGCCTCGGGATCATTTTGAGTGTCGCTCGATAAGCTGCTTGAACCTTCTGGGTTTATCAAACCTGGAGACGGAAACTCACTCTGAAACTGTAGGAGTCTTAAATGTCTTCTAATGCACTTACTCAGCAGCTCTGCACATGACACACATTACAGCAGCGGGTGGAGCTGCAGCACTTACCTCCAACGCTGTGATGGAAGGTTGCTGAATATTAATGGAAAATGTTTTTTAGGGTTTCTAAAATAATACGAAACACAAGAATCCTCCAAGTTAGTTTTCCAGAAACGAGCCATAAACGTAGACGGACCAAACACATGTATGTGCTTGTAAATGATTGAATTCTGCGTGTGGAGTCCGGTCTCTGGAGGCCTGTGAGTCCAACCACAGTTATTTGATACCAATTAATAAGAAAACATAATTAATGGCTCCTTGATGATATGAATTTATGAGACAACGAGGAGCTAAAACCAGACAAGGCAACGTCTTTTGGTCTTAGTTTTATTTGCTGTTTTCTTAATCCCAAATATTTGAGTTATGTTTATACATATAATATATAATGTGACATAATGAAGCTCAACTTAAACTGGTTCAACTGGATTAAAATCAAGCAGAGGTCAAGTATCAGAGCGGGTTACAATAATAACAATGATAATAATCTGACCGCATTCGTTTGGAGGCTCATCCGGGGATCGATACAGCGGATCACTTAGCAGAGAAAAGGAGGCAGCGGGTTCTCGGGGGAATCGCTGCCAGGAAGAACTCTAAATAGTCACATCGTCGGCTCCGGTGTCTCTCCGAGCCGCCAGGCGACTGCAGGAGTCCGAGTGGCAGGAAGTCTTCAGGCTCGCTGCTTGAAACAGAAACAGAAATGCAGAATAAAACACTTAACTTCTGTTTTTCATTCATTCATGTAACAAAACTCTGAGATAACTGAACAACACAACGTACAGCGATACAAGTACTACCGTAGTTACCGTACTTCTACTCTACTATAGCTCTACTGAAATGTTACCATAGTAAGCAGTTGTCATGACTGCAGTTATTTGGGTATTTATGTCTATTTTTCCCGTCAACAGGTCGAAGGCTTAGAGCACCAGAGCCGGGTACAGAGGACGACTCGGTGAGTGACTTGTTGATCGTGTCCTGCAGCTACAAACAGGACTTGTTGACCTGTTGATTAAATATGTGACGCGTCGAGGGAACAGCTTACTATTCACCAGCTGCTTGACCTAAAGGCCAACTAAGTCGATAAGCTTAATTTACTGATATGATATGAATGGAAGTCGGCTTGGTGCTGATTAGCTGCTGAAAAAAAGGTGTGTCAAATCATTCTAAAAGCAATAATAGGTATAAAGGGCAAAGACTAAAGTAATGTCCATATGATTTAGGATGCTTATGAAGTGGGCCACATATTACATGTCAGCATTCTAATACTTTCACGTTAGCGTGCTGTTTTAGCATTAATCACAACGTATGACTGAGGCTGGCTGGACTTTTCTGGTCTGGAGATGGTGAAAATTCAGAGATCCCTAAAGTCATTGAGAGTAATCTGTATATTTGTACCAAATTATCAGAGAATAAAAGCAAATAATTAAACATTGTTTTGTTGTTAGACTGAAGGACCAGCCAACACACTACTAATGTGACAATTATTAAATGCCACACAGCAAATCGGCCGCCAGTGCTTCCGTTGGCATGACGAGCCGTTTTCACACTATTTCTCAGTTCACAGTTCTCTCCACAAGCTGCAGGTGCAGCGGTGGGATTTTTACCGATAAAACAGTTCAGATAGCTGAAAAAAGGAGACGCTGCTCTCACTTGAGATGACTTGATGTGTTGAGTTGACGCAGTTCGATGTGATCAACAAAGCGTACCTCGGACTTATGTTGGGATCAGGAGGAAACGTCCTGCGGAGTGAAGAAGATGCTTCATTTCTTATAACCTGCATTCTTTTTTATATCCACCAGGGGGCGACTCATCTGGTCCCATAGAAGTCTATGAGAAAACGACTTATTTATTATTTATATTTATCAGTAAACATTGTAAACATGAGTTCATGTTCTCAATCTGTAGTTTCAAGTCTTCTTCAATACAAAATGATGTTCATTTAGTAAACTATGGTCCATTAAGAGTCAAACAGACCATAAACCACGCTTTAGGGCGGGGCTTACTGTGATTGACAAGTCGCCGTCTCTACATCACTCCTCCGCATTACAGATACGGTCACTTATGGTTATCTGTAGCTAAAAGACAGCAATGTGGAGACGGAAGTAATATAATTAGACCGCAACGCCTAAATCTGCAAAATCCAAACATGAGCAACATCGCCATGACTACGCCCACTTCAGTCTATCTATCGGGATAGAATATTTCAGCCATATTGACCCATATTGAAACCAAATAACCGTGATTGTTAACATTGTTAATTCCCTGCAGACATGTGACGAGCCATCTCAGTTCACGGAGAGACCGCGGCCTCAAGGATCGTCCCCCGTCGAGGAGTACCCCGAAACCGAAAAATACACCGACAGTGACAAAGAGGTACGCAGCTCCAATACAACAACAAAAACAACAACCAGGCCAAGACTGTAAATCAGACAACCTGTTTACATGCATTTAAATAACCAAATATTTAGTTCACAGATCACTGGATTTCATTTGTCAACACACGGTCGGAAAAATAAGCTTAAGATCAAGAGAAGCTGGCCTGTGTATTTGGGTTATTTATGCTCACATGGAGCTTTTCATATGCCAAATCTAAATATGGAGGAGAGTATTTATTGAGTAAAACAGTAACTTGTGAAAGTGAAGTAGATTCTGTTTGGACTGCATGAGTGTTGGTCCAAGATAAGAATGTATTCTGTGTTTAATTAGATGTTCTATTTAGTTACTTTGTTATAGGCCTCACCCATCGGAGACAATCAAATCACACGTCGCGTTCCCAGTGAAGTCTGAATCACGATGTTTACACATGGTGGTGTTAAAAGCACAAGCTCTCACCCAACGCGCTACAATCCAAGTCTCGTTCATGCAGTCGCACGCTCACTACTTTCCCAACACAGGCACTGCGATCACGTGCACGAAACTATTGTACCGCTTTCACCGTGGATCCGAATTCCAAGAATTCCAGGTAAAACGCGGTGAGAAAAGTGAGACTCAAATGGTTCTGATGAGGGTGAAGTATTCCTTTAAGGAGTTTTAAACATGGTCACCGTCCTGTGTTTTTGTATTCTCCTCTACGCTCTCAATGAGGAGAACTTTTATCTAATGCTAACGTATCTTGACCTTTGCACGAGGAGTGCGGAGAGCCTTTTTTCTCATTTGTCCCATAACACAACACGTCACGTGAATGAAATGAAACTCTTTTAAGTGCACAAAACGATAATTGACCATCTTATCATTGACTCTATCAGACGTATCAGGCTCTGTATTTGTGTCCAGTCAACAACGTAAGGTGTAAGATCGGCTTCCTGTTTTGTTTGCTGCTGCATATTGAAATATTGATCCACACTCAGCTACTCTCATGTAAGAACGTGTGCGTATTAGCTTCCCCCTCAGTGGAAACGCTTTTCACAGCTCGTCTGTCTCGTCTCCAGTTAGAATTCAATTTCCTTCCATCTTTCTTTCAGTGTGAAGCAGAGCATGACCCGCACCACAAGAGAGGGAGTGGAAAGAAGACTAAGAAGTCTGGGCTCGGGTCCATGTTTGAAAAGCGTTCAACTCCAAAGATGAGCAAACTGAAGGTGAGATATTCTCTCTCCGTGCGGCCTCCAGGCTGCGGGGAAAAGGATTTCAACCAGGCCTACTTTGATTTGTGTTCGTGCAGGAAGATCACAGTCCTGAATCTGGAGTGATAGTGAAAACGGCCAAAGGCGGATGTGCGGAAGGTCTGGTCTATGGCGGAGGGGGCGAAGAGGGAATCTTCATCAAGGAGGTGGTACCGGAGTCACCTGCCTCAAAAAGTCTGGAACTGAAAGAAGGTAAACTAGCATTTGGAAATGAGAAACAAATATATTTTCTTTTCTCTTGTTTTGAATGTCCAAAGATCTACTGCAGATATTGTTGTTAATAGACATTTCTATGGAAACCAAGTATCACTTTGAGTAGATATAATTCCCCTGTAGCACACAGACCCTGGCAGCTCTCCCCTATCTGTGCTTCTGGAGTTTTCCTCTTGTTTACCCAGGCGATCAGCTCCTGAGCGCCACGGTGTACTTTGACAACGTGTCGTACGAGGACGCCATTCAGATTCTGGAGCACGCTCAGGCATACAAAGTGAAGCTCTGCCTGAAGCGCAAACCAGACGTCACGGAGAGTGAATCAGCCATCGAATCCGACGCCATCCCTGTGACTATTTTCATTTTGTCAAGACTCTCTGTGAGATACAAAAAAACAACGTTTGGGGGGGCATAAAGATGACATTTTCCCTTTTCTGTTGCTCATCAGGAGGAAGACGTCTACGCTCCAGAAATGAGGGAGCAAGGGAAAACCAAAAGGCGCGCCGAAGCCCGCATTTCATGGCCTAAGTTTCCCTCCTTTGGAAAAGGACGCAAGTCCCGTTTCACACGGTCGCACAGCTCCTCCGAGGCCGACGAGCAGAGGAAGCTTGAGCTCAGTCCCACTACAAGTGACACAGAGTCCCCTATCAAATCACAGGACGCTCTGAAAGGCAAGAAGAAGCATAAAATAAAGCTTTCTGGTCTAAAAAAGAGAGGCAGAGTCAGTTCATCGGAAGACCAGGACACTGACGCACCGGCATCTGCTCAGATGGCTTCGCCTGAGTGCCTTGAAAGCCCCTCAGGAGAAACACCTCAAGTATACGTGACAGAGGATCCAAAAGTAGTGGAGGACGTGAGACTTGATCAAGAAATGACAGAAGCTCAAAGTGTTTCACACAAGGTGGAACTCGTCACTATAGCTAGCACTTGGAAAACAGAAGATCTTACCGTGGCTCTGGCAGGTCAAGAAGATCCCTCTGGTATCAAGTCCTCCGATGGGAAGAAAAAGAAGAGCGAACTCTCTCAATTGAAAATGAAGATTTTGGGGAAGGATAAGTCGCACAAGAAAGATACAAAAGCAAAATCCTCTCCAAAAAGATTGAAGACGCTGGGGGCAAGTATTGAAAATGCAGACAAACCTGAAAATGGAAAATCTGAACCAGACACAAAACTACCAGGAGATCAACTCGATGCCGACAACCAAGTAATCAAAACGAGCGTATCAAAGGGGGAACTTGAGATACCTGACATTGCATTAATACAAAAATCTCCGCAGAAAGGTGCAGAGAAAACAAAGAAAGGTAAGGACATTAAACCGAAACAGGAAATAAAGAAGGATCCAACATTCAAACTGCCTAAGGTAGGCTTCAGTGACATCGCCAGCGAGGAAAGCATCAAAAAAATGAATGCAAATGCTGAGGAATTCACAACTAAAATTGAGAAACACAGAGCTGAGGTTCCAGAAGTGAAAGAAGATCCTTATCAGCGACTGTCAAAAAGCCTTCCCAAACGTGAAGACATTGAGATTCCAGGCATGGAGGACATGTCCAAGAGGACCAGAGCCAAAAGAATTAAAGAGCCTAAAACAGCTTTTACCGGACATTATGAGGACATTCAAGCTGAAACTGTACAAATGTCAATTGATGTCGACCGAGTGAAAGAGGCAGTTTCAAAATTGCCTGGATTTAAGCTGCCAAAGGTTGACACCAGTGGAATGCCTATTCCAGAAGAAATCACTGTCATCGACGCGAATGCACAAAGAATATCTGTGAAAACACCCACTAAAACAAAACATGACACACACTTAAGTAAGTTCGACGTTACTGCATCTCCAGACATCTCCAAGACTACAATCAAACTACCAAAGATCACACCTGCTGATTTAGCTTCGGAGGAGATTTTAATCGTGTCCCAGGAGGATTCAAAGAACCCTGAAAAGGAATACAAAGCCGAGCCAAACAAAAAAAGTGACAAAGAGGTTTATAAAAGAGAACATATCATAATAGCTGGAAAAGAAAGCCCTCAAGAAGAAGCCATCCTTCAGACACAAGAAACACAAGGCCAAGAGGGAATCAAATCTCAATACACATCAGCGACAACATTCAAAACAAAGAGGGTAAAGGTAACAATGCCCGGCTTTGGGATTGGAAAACCAGACATAAAGATCCCTGACGTTGGAATTTACTTGCCAAAACAAAATATCTCTGAGCAAAAAGTTGACAACATAAAAGGAGAAAGGACTATATTCCTCCAAGGGGAAGACACTCCAAATACAGAAACAATAAACAAGATTGAAGGAGTCCCATTGGATGTCAAAGTACCTGAAATGGAAGGCATTGAATACATTGATTCAGTCGACGGTTCACCAGCCGCAAAGGATGGCGGGATTAAACTCTCAGGTTTCGGTGTTAATCTTAATGCTGACATCCCAAAGGCTCACATCCCCTGTCCAGATGTCAGAGGAGAAGTAAACGTTGATGAAGCCAGAAAGGAGACATTCCAACTGCCCAAGATTGGAGAAGGAACTCCGGACATCAGCATAAATGTGCCACATGCAAATGAGGACATAAACATTGACAGGGCTGAGTTAAAAACACTTAAAATGGGGGGAAAGGGTGTTGAATTCCATCTTCCAAATCTCTGCATCTCCATGCCAGAGGTGAAGGAACCTAAAATTGACTCAAGCCTATCAAAAAAAGATGTTGATTTCACAATACCAGAGGCTAAAGCTGAAGTCACACTCCCAGAAGCCCTTTACAGTGACACTACCCTTGTAACCATAGATGTTTCCCATCCAGAGCAAAAGATGGAAGTTCAAAAACCTGAATTCAAAATCAGACCCCTGAGGACCGAAGGGGAACTTGATGGGAATGAAGGCAAGTTTAAAATGTCAGGATTTGGTGTAAAAATACCCAAAATACCAGAGGCAGAATATGACTTAAGCTTATCAAAGAAAGAGGTAGATGTAATTTTGCCTCATGTTAAAGCAGAAGTCAAGCTTCCTCATTTTGAAAATACAGAATCTGGTATTAAAGTTGAGGGCAAAGCTCCAGAGATTGCAGTTTACGAACAGGAGACTGAACGATCAACATCAAAATTTAAGATGCCAACTTTTAAACTACCAACAGTTGGAGTTGGTACTCCAAACATGTTGGTGGAAGTATCTGATACGGACAAAGATCTGAAGATTGACGGAGCTGACATTAACAGGCTAGTTAACATTGAAGCACCCAGTGTTGAGATTGAGGATCAATCAATTGATATAAAAGCAATAGGAGCAGATCAGGAGGGTAAGGGAAGCAAGTTTAAAATGCCACATCTCGGGTTCTCTTTGCCTAAAGACAAAGAGCCTCAAATTAATTTAAGTTCAACAAAGAAAGACGTAGATGTCACACTGCCAGAAATCAGTGCTGAAATCCAACTCCCAAGAGCCCCTCAAATTGATGCAAGTCTTGGAAAGGAAGTTTTGATTCCGGAGATGAAAATGCAAGTTAAAAAGTCTGATTTAGAAATGAAACCGTTGCAAAGTGATGTTCAAATTGACAGTCAAGGAAGCAAGTTTAAAATGCCGAAGTTGGGAATGTCAATACCAAAAGTCAAAGGGCCTGAAATTACCTTTGGCTTATCAAAGAAAGATTTAGATGTTACGCCGGCAGAAGCCAAAACTGAAGTACAAGTCCCTGAAGTTGAACTGAAAGAACCCTCTGCTAAGGTAGAAATTAAAGCTCCTCAAAAAACTAAGGAAGTATCACCAGCAAAATTTAAGATGCCGACGTTCAAGCTACCAAAAATTGGAGTTGGAACTCCAAACTTTTCTGTAGAAGTACCTGAAATGAACAAAGATGTACAAATGGATGGAGCTGCTATGAATATCCCTGACGAAGGGTTTGCAGTTGACATTGCAACACCCAGCATTGACATTGAGGGCCCTTCAATGGATATGAAGACTACAGGAGTTGAACAAGAGGAGATGGGAAGCAAATACAAAATGCCACATCTTGGTTTCTCTATGTCAAAAGTGAGGGACCAAAATGATTCAAGCCTACCAGAGAAAGACATAGATGTAAATTACCAGAGACAAAGCTGATGTCAAACTTCCTGAAGTGATCTTGGAAAAGTAGATGTTTAATTCCAGAGGCTAAGATGGCGATTATGAGGCCTGAAATGGAAATGCACTTTGTGCAGACTGAAGATGAACTTGATGGACGAGAAGAAAAGATTAAAAATACCAAAGTTTGGAATCAAAATGCCAAAAGTAAAAGGGACAGAATTTGACTGGAGTTCATCAAAGAAAGACATTAATGTCCCTCAACAACAGATAACAGTTGAAGACAAACATTCAGAAGCCCCTAAAATTCATGCGAGTCTTGGAAAAGCAGAAGTCTTGATACCAGGGGCTAAGATGGAGGTTAAATATCCCGAAATGGAAATCAGTCCTTTGCAGACCGGCAGTGAACTTAAAGGACACAGAGGCAAGTTCCAAATGCCAAAGTTTGGAATCACAACACCAAAAGTAAAAGGACCTGAAATTGATTTAAGCTTCTCAAAGAAGGACGTAGATGTGACACTACCACGGGCTGAAGCTGAGGTTAAACTCCCGGAAGCTCCTAAAATTGCTGTGGATATGAAACCAGCAGAGTGTGAAGCAGAAATAGACGGACAAGGAGGCAAGTTTAAAATGCCAAAGTTTGGAATCTCAATGCCAAAAATAAAAGGACCTGAAATTGATTTAAGCTCATCAAAAAAAGATGTAGACATCTCATTACCAGAAGCCAAGGGTGAAGTCAATCGCCCTCACGTGGAACTCCAAGAAACGCCTACTGAAGTGGAAATCAAAGCTCCTGAGACTGAAGCTCAAACAAAGAGTGTGAAGGAATCAACATCAAAATTTAAATTGCCAACATTCAAATTTCCCAAATTTGGAGCCGCCACTCAAAATATAAGCACTGAAGTACCTGATATAGACAAAGAAATCACAATTGATGGAGCTCACCTGGACTTATCCGCGCCACGCAGAGATGTTGATGAACCAGGAGTTAAGGCAGAGGTCCATCTGCCAGAGGTTCACGTCGAAATTCCCTCAGCTGGCGTTGTGATACAACAACAGCCAGGTGTTGAGGTAGATGCAAAACTGAAGAAACCAAGGTTTTCACTAGGCAGATTTTCTTTTTCAAAAACAAGTGGTAAAGCCCCAGAAGTTGACGCCAATCTTCAGGATTTCAATGCTCCGATCCCAGAGGCAAAGGTGGAAGTGAACAGAGAGGAATTGGAACTACCAGAGTGTGAAGCGGAAGTTAAACAAAGTGAGTTTAGCATCTCAATGCCCCCAGTCACAGGACCTGAAATTGACTTAAGTTCATTAAAAAAAGATATAGATTTCGCATTAACAGAAGCCAAAACTAAAATTAAACTCCCAAATGTTGAAGTCAAAGACCCTCAAGTGGAAGTTAAAGCTCCCGAGATCAAGATGGAAACAAAGGCTACAGAAGGTTCACCGTCGAAATATAAGATGCCGACATTCAAATTACCAAAATTTGGATTTGGTTCCTCAATTGCCACCGTTGATGTGACCAACAAAGAGGTCAATATTGATGGAGCCGAAATTGGCATTCCTGAAGAGGTTCTTGCAGTTGATATTGCAGCACCCAGTATTGACGGTAAAGACCCTTCAATATATTTTAAAACTACCGGAACTGAACTTGACGGAAAAGAAAGCAAGTTTAAACTTCCAAGTCTCGGTTTTTCTGGGCCTCAAATAAAACAGCCTGACATTGATTTAAGCTTATCAAAGAATGATGCAGATGTCAAACTCCCTCATTTTGAGCTAAAAGAAACTTCTGCTAGAGGCGAAATTGAACCTCCTGAGATCAAGGTTGGGACAGATGGATCACCATCAAAATTTAAGATGCCGACATTCAAATTACCAAAATTTGGAGTTGGAATTCCGAGTGCCACCATAGAAGTGCCTGACAAAGAAGCCATAATTGATGGAGCTGTCATTAAAATTCCTGAAAAGGCTCCATCAGTTGACCTTACAGCACGCAGCATTGAGATTGAAGACCCATCAATTGAACTTGAACGAAAAGGCACCAAGTTTAAACTTCCAGGTTTGGGTTTTTCTGGGCCTCAAATCAAACAGTTGACATTGATTTAAGTTTATCAATGAAAGATGCAGATGTGACTCTACCAGAAGCCAAAGCTGATGTCAAACTTCCCGATGTTGAACTAAAAGAAACGTCTGCTGAAGTGGAAATTAAAGCTCCACAGATCAAGATTAGGACAAAAGCAGATGGATCACCATCAAAATTTAAGATGCCGACAGTCAAATTACCAAAATTTGGAGTTGAAACTCCAAGGGCCACCATAGAAGCTCTTGATCTGGATGGAGACATCAATATTGATGGAGCTGACATAAAAAGTCCTGAAAATGTTCTTGCAGTTGATGTCGCAGCACCCAGTATTGACATTGAAGACCCATCAATTGAACTTGGAGGAAAAGGAAGCAAGTTCAAACTCCCGAGTCTTACTTTTTCTGGGCCTCAAATCAAACGGCCTGAAACTGATTTAAGTTTATCAAAAAAAAATGTAGATGTGACTCTACCGCACCCCCATACTGATGTCAGATTACCTGACGTTGGCCTGAAAGAAACATCTGCTGATGTAGAAATGAATGCCACTGAGATCCAGATTGGGACAAGGGGTACAGATGGATCACCATCGAAATATAAGATGCCAACGTTCAAACTGCCTAAATTTGGATTTGGTACTCCAAGTGCCACCATTGGAGTGCCTGACAAAGATGTAAAAATTGAAGGAGCTGACATAAACATTTCCAAACAGGTTCCTGAAATTGACATTGCAGGACCCAGTATTGACATTAAAGACCCATCAATTGAACTTGAAGCAAAAGGCAGCAAGTTTAATCTTCCAGGTTTTGGTTTTTCCGGGCCTCAAATCAAACAGCCTGGCATTGATTTAAGTTTATCAAAGAAAGATGTAGATGTGACTCTACCAGAAGCCAAAGCTGATGTCAAACTCCCTGATGTTGAGCTGAAAGAAACTTCTGCTGAAGTGGAAATTAAAGCTCCTGAGATCAAGATTGGGAAAAAGGGTGGCTCACCTTCAAAATTTAAGATGCCGACATTCAAATTACCAAAATTTGGAGTTGGAACTCCACATGCCACCATAGAAGCGCCTGATCTGGATGAAGACATCAAAATTCCTGAAGAGGTTCTTGTAGTTGGCGTTGCAGCACCCAGTGTTGAAATTGAAGACCCATCAATTGAACTTGACGGAAAAGGCAGCAAGTTCAAACTCCCAAGTCTCAGTTTTTCTGGGCCTCAAATCAAACGGCCTGAAATTGATTTAAGCTTATCAAAGAAAAATGTAGATGTGACTCTACCGGACCCCCATACTGATGCCAAACTACCTGATGTTGAACTGAAAGAAACGTCTGCTGAAGTAGAAATGAATGCTCCTGGGATCAAGATTGGGACAAGGGGCACGGATGAATCACCATCGAAATATAAGATGCCAACATTCAAATTACCAAAATTTGGATTTGGTTCTCCAAGTGCTGACATAGAAGTGCCCGAGAAAGACATAAAAATTGATGGAGCTGACTTTCAAGTTCCTGAAGAGGTTCTTGCAGTTGACATTGCAGCACCCAGCATTGACATTAAAGAGCCATCAATAGATATTAAAACTACAGGAACTGAACCTGAAGGAAAAGGACGCAAGTTTAAGCTGCCAAGTCTCACCTTTTCTGGCCCTCAAATCAAACGGTCTGACATTAATACAAGCTTATCAAGGAAAGATGTGGATATGACTCAACCTTCAGCTGAAATAAAACTCACTGGTTTTAAACTAAAAGAATCTTCTCCCGAAGTGGAAATCAAAGCTCCTGGAATTGATGTTCAAACAAGTAATGTTCAAGGATCGCCAGCAAAACTTAAAATGCCAATATTCACGTTACCCAAATTTGGAGCTCCCTGTGTCAGTGTGGAAGTACCTGATGTGGACAAGGACATCAAAGTGGATGGCGGTAATTTAAAATTACCAGAAGTAAAAGCTGAAGTAATACCCCATGATGTTGAAAATAAAGAGCCCGTAGGTTCAATTTCAGTATTAGAGGCAGGAATGATCGAGGGTGATGCCCAGTCAAAAAAGACAAGCTGGACAATGCCAAAGTTTTCTTTTTCAAAGACAAGCGTGAAAGCCCCTGAAGCTGATGTCAACCTCGATGCCCCAAAAGTTGATGTTACACTACCAGCGGCCAAAATGGAGGTCCATCTTCCAGATATTGATATCAAAGAATCCTCTGGTATTTCAGTAGAGGGGGGACCTGCTACTGAACTTGATTCAAAATTGAGGTCCAAGTTTACGTTGCCCAAATTTTCGTTTTCAAAGCAAAGTGCAAAAGAGTCTAAATTTGATGTCAGTCTCCCAGTTACTGATGTGGAAGTCAAACAAACTGAGGTGGAGCTTTCGCCACCTGAAGGTGATGTAGAATTAGAGAGGCAGGAAAGCAAGTTTAAAATGCCAAAGTTTGGCATCTCAATGCCAAAAGTAAAAGGGCCTGTAATTGATTTGAGTTTATTAAAGAAAGATGTAGATGTTACATTACCCGAAGCCAAAGCTGAAGCTCAACTTCCAGATGCCAGAATAAAACATGCATCTGCTACAATGGAAATTAAAACGCCTGAGATTGAAGCTCCAACTGGCAAAGTGGAAGGATCCCCGTCAAAACTTAAAATGCCAACATTCACAATGCCCAGATTTGGGGCTGCTACTCCAAAGGTCAGTGTGGATGTACCAGATGTGGACGAGACGATTAAAATTGATCAAGCTGCAGTGGAGGTTGCTGCACCCAGCATTGACACTGAAGGCCTTTCTTTAGATTTGAAAGCTAAAGGGAGTGAACTGGGAGGGTCAGGAAGCAAGTTCAAAATGCCCAAGTTTGGTATCTCAATGCCAAAAGTAAAAGGACCTGAAATTGATTTGAACTTATTAAAGAAAGACGTAGATCTTAAATTACCAGAGGCCGAAGCTGAAGTTCAACTTCCAGACGTCAAAATAAAACAACCGTCTGCTACAGTGGAAATTAAAGCTCCGGAAAGTGAAGCTCCAACTGGTAATGTGGAAGGCTCCCCATCAAAGCTTAAAATGCCAACATTCACATTGCCCAAATTCAGAGGTTCTACTTCAAAGGTCAGTGTGGACGTACCAGATGCGGACAAAAAGATTAAAATTGGCGGAGCTACAGTGGAGACCACTGCGCCCGGCATTGATGGCCTGTCTGTAGATGTGAAAGCTGAAGGAAGTGAAGTGGGAGGGTCAGGAAGCAAGTTCAAAATGCCAAAGTTTGGTATGTCAATGACAAAAGTAAAAGGGCCTGAAATTGATTTGAGCTTATTAAAAAAAGATGTAGATGTCACATTACCAGAAGAAAAAGCTGAGGTCAAACTACCCAGTGTTGGCGTCAAAGAACCCGAAGCCTTCATTTCTGAGATTCCAGATTCCCCAACAGTTGAGGTAGAAACCAAGATGAAACGATCAAATTGGACATTCCCAACATTTTCCTTTTCAAAGACAGGTGGTAAAATCACAGATGAAGATGTTGACCTTGAAAAACCCAAAGTTGATGTTACATCAACAGGGGCCGAAGCAGACGTCCCACAACCTTCAGGGGAGATCTTAATGGAAGAGCCATCTGTTGCAGAACCTGATTCAAACTTAAAAAAAACTAAATTTTCTCTACCCAGATTCTCTTTTTCAAAGTCAAGTGTTAAAGCACCCGAGGTCAGTGCAGAGCTTCCACGTGTGGACATTTCTCTTCCAGAGGGACAAGTGATAGTAAAGCAACCTGAAATGCAAATCAAAGCTCCCGAGATTGAAGCCGAACTTGAAGGGCAAGAAAGGAAGTTTAAATTTCCAAAGTTTGGCATTGCACTACCAAAAGCAAAAGGACCCGGAGAAGAGTTGAAGACCTCACAGGAAGATGCAGTGATCTCGCTGCCAGAAATTAAAGCAGAGGTCAAATTTCCTCAAACTGAAGTCAAAGAACCTTCAGCTGCTGGGGAAATCAAAGCCTCTGAGACTGAAGTTAAGTCAAAAGATGTTGGAGGATCACCAATGAAATTTAAATTGCCAGCTTTTAAGATGCCGAAATTTGGAGCGGCTCCATACGATGTCAACGTGGAAGCACCTGATGCAGACAAAGTGGCTGAAACCGATGTAGCTAAACTTAAGGAGGATGTTACTGTTGACATCAAAGGTCTGAGCGCTGATATTAAATCAGATCAAATACATCCAGCAGCAATAACAGATTCTGAAACACCAAAGACTGAGACTGATGCCGTGGGTCTCGGCTCTCCAAGTAAATTCAAATTACCATCATTCAAAATGACAAAGCTGAGTTTCTCAAGAACCAACCCTGAAGATGAGCCTATCCCTGTTCACATTGAAAACAAAGATCAACAAGAAATGAAAGTTGAGCCAAAAGAAGAGCGTAAATCACCGAAAGTGACTTTTTCATTGAGTGAGATCCTCAAGAACATGGACGTTGAATTTGATGTTCTGAAAACATCAGAAGATCTTGAGACCTCCAAGGAAGTTCATGAAATTGATGAGTCCAGTGGAAAGCAGGAAGAGGCCAAGGGAAAGGAAGCCAAGCAAGACACTGCTAAAAGTCCGGAGAAAACCGGCTGGTTTAAATTCCCCAAGTTTGGCCTTTCCTCCCCATCAGAACCTGCCAAGACTTCTATAGGAGACAAGTTTACGGATAAAATGAGCCCAGAAGGGGAAACATTGGATGAGGAAATAAGCCCCACCAGTTCCGTGCAGTCATCAGACGCCTTCGCTGATATCAGCTCGGCGATGACGAGCGAGCGCGTCGGCCTATCCTCATCTTCTCCGACCAAAGTCACCGTCAAGTACTCGGACCCCAACACTGCCGCAGGGCTAAGAGAGACGTACGGTAACATCATCACTTCCACCGCCAGGGCTGAGCTGATCTCGGTTGAGCCCAACTTGCCTGAGAAAATCACCATTCTGTCATCTGGAGTTTCGTCCTCGTCGGAAGACACGCTCAGGCTGGAAACGAGAAACATTCACGTCATTACGTCAAATACTCAAGCCACACCGGAGGCTCAGCACGCCAAACTGCTGACTGCAGTTCAAATCCAATCGGCGGGAGGCCTTCCCCGAGGACCAGGGGCCGACGAAGCTGCACCGCGAGCCATCGAGGCGTCACACAGTGGCAAGAAAACAGTCTTCGAGAGGCATTTCGTCACGGAAACATCAAGTGAAAGAAGCGAAAGCAACGAAACAATTGTCATTACAAAACAAATCACACGTAGGTTCGACTCCTCTGAGCCCATCTCAGGCGAGACGGCTTCGTCCATTCAGCGACTGAGAGACTCGGTGCACTCTGACAAAATGAGGTTCTTCGACGGTGCCGACGAGTGAAATAAGTTTTTGCGTAAATCACGTGTGAAGATACAATCCATTATCCATTATTATCCAGCCTTAGTGCCGATGTGACAGAAAGGTGAGATTATAAACAGGAAAAGGTCTTAGGGTCTAACTTAGCAATCACAGGAGAGAATCAGTCGGGGGTTAACTTCATGTGACTCACTGACAAGACGCGGATAAGTGGTGTGACTGGTTCCCTTACAGCAAATTACAACAGGACTTCACACAATATCCTCGCTCATGATGGTACAGAACTACAGTAAGCCATGTCTTCTGTTCATCAAAACTTATATTATACTTGTTCCATAATTTAATGTGGAACAATGATCCAACTTACTACTTATTCATCAGATGATAATCAACAGTGCATTTGATTTTTTTTTAAATGGTTTATCTGAACATGACTGTCTCCAAAAGCGTTAAATGTTACTGACATTCCGAAATATGTTTACAATGATTTCACTGTAAAGTTGACAGTAAAGAAAACCTAAAATACAATAGTTCAGTATGTGACGGATAAATGAATGTGTACATGTATCACTGATATATTCTTGTTGCTGTTGCTAAAATGTAAAGAAACAATAACAATGTTGAAATGAAAATGCTTGGGATCAAATACAGCAAGTGTGCTGCAACTATATATTTTGTATTAACGTTTTGCTTAAAACCTAATTTGCTACAAGAAACATATATTAACAGTTTGTTCTCTTATAATATATCACTGTACAAGGTGGGATAATTAAACTGGCTGTGTAAATAGCTTTTAATGACCTCTGAAGTTACATTTTGATTACTGCTCTGATGCATCGTGTTTGCAAAGCAAAATAAATAATATATGTAAACTTGTGGCTGGAGCTGATGACAAAATAATAATTTTTTTCTTGTTTCTTCTGTTTCATTTGATTTAATATAATTGTTCAAATTTAGCTACCAAGAAAAGATAATTATAATGATGATTTGCCTCAAATACCCTTTACAAAATTAAAGTAATATACACATTAATACATTAATAATTATGAATCAACACAGTTTAGAAATAGGCTGTTCTGCATAATTGCATTAGGAACGTGTGTGATATTTAGGGTGAGTTTGGGAATTTATTATATATAATAGTGTTTCTACACACTTAAAAGATCTGCTTACCTGTTTCACCGGTGGTATTCCTGATATATTTATAATTCCTGATTGAGTCGATCGATAATTAACGTGCCGTTACTCAACGTGAGGGTATGACGTCATTACTTCAAAAGCACTGTAATTGGAAGTATTGATTCATATATTTGCACACTAGAGGGAGTCATAGCTCACAAACATATATTTACTATCAGTGTGTTCTCGTGATAAAATGAAAGGTACTATTATGTATTATTAACAATCAGTGGAACCTCTTAGCTTTAGCTAACTTAACGTTAGCTTCAATATTGCATTGCTAACGGTAAGCTACATGTACAAATATGTATATTACAGAGCCTTCACTGGGTTTACGTCATCGTTATTACATAAAACAGGCTCATGAATAAACAATACCTCGGTGTACCTTAGAATTCAAGTTTTAGCGTATAAAATGCGGCTATTTAACACACATTAAGCTAACGTCACATTTTTTAATCATCAACAGCTGCTCGTTTCTTCGCCTCTAACACGTGCTGCCTTAAAGTGTTCCTCGTAAATCACAATACGGTTAACGGCCTCATGAGCCGCACTTCCAAGCTGCAACACGTGGATCGATGGTGTTTAATCAAGGAAATAGATCGGTGTTGGAAATACGCTAAACAAAGTTGGATTCTGACCATATCGTCACTTGATAAATATATTTTTTTAATTTGTAGAAAGTAAACAGTGCTAGTACCATATTTGCTCAATTAAAAAATAAACGTAAATAATTACTTCCACTTTAGCATTTAAAACTATCTTCCAAACCAGGACATGGGTTTTTCTTCCCTTTTGTATGGCTAGTTTTATTCAAAATAGAGCATATGACTGCAACCGCTCGCTTCGTCCCCTCGTAATCCCGACGTTTCCGATAGCACGTGAACGCGGCACCGGTCTCGCTCCACTGCGCAGCTGCCGAACACATCGACATGAGCGGCAACTTCACCGGGAGCTTAATGCGCCCCGCCGCCTGTCGCCCACAACAGTCAGCATCATCCTCATCGTCCTCATCTTCATCATCATCATCATCATCATCCTCACCTCCACTACCACCATCAGCAGCAGCAGCAGCAGCATCAGTGCGATGAAGCAGCGGAGGACGGAGACCTTCCTGCTCTGAGACACTGGATCAGCCCGCAGACAGGTATGGAGCTTTTTATTGTTTATTATTATGACCACTCTGCAGACAACCACTAATGTCCAGCACTCAACCAAAATCTGCCTTTACTCATTTTCATTCAAACTAACAGAATAACCGTTGAGTTTCACCATTTAAAGTGTAAATTACAGGTTAAGAACAAATTTCACAATAACCTGCTTCACCTTGTGGGTTTTTGTGCCCAGTAGGTGGGATTACATGTGTAGGTGTTACAGAAGCTGGCTTTTAAATACTGCTATTTACATTTATTGATAGAACCTGTTACCTGCAGCTCACTACCTGTTGTGTGTGTGTCGTGCAGTCACAATCATTCAGTCAGTTAACATTTTTTAATGTGTTGACTGCATTTAAGTTTATGTGCCATTTGTGTGAGAACCCCCCCAGTATGTGAGCAAATCAGGCAAAACCCGAGCTGTGCGACATTTCACACAGCATATGGTACGAATAGTAGCGCTACATTTGGACATGGATTTCATTTTTATTTCATGCCTTACTGGATAATTCACAGAGAAAACTGCACGCCAGCTCGAGGAGGTCGTGCTGCCGCTGGCTCTGATTTAGCAGCAGAAATGGTCAAATAAACATGCTTTTGAAGTTCAGGGTGAGAGATCTGTACCCTACATCTGCAGATTGGAAATAGAATTTGAATGATCGCTGGTCCTTTAACTGGACCGTCTCCACCGTGATGAATCTCATGACGGACCCAAGAAGAGGAGGTCACACCAGATGCACGTCGTTCATGTGTGGAGCGAGCAGTGAGAAAAGAGACTGCACGAGGAAATATTGTCTGGAGATTTGGGTTGTGTGTGATGAGAAAATCAGAATAGTTTTATCTTATCACGAGTATCTCTATTTTACTCCAGTCCGTGCTGCTGCAGTCGATCAGGGGGCTCCGGTTATTTTTGTCTTCAGTTGTAGTTTTTTGGCTCTGACTCACAATTGTTTTCACCATTAATTCTTCTCCCAGTTTTCATATCAGAGAGTCTGAAAACCGCGAAGAATGCATGTTGAAATTACCTAAAAAGCCCAACAAGATTTCTTTAAATGTTGATCTAAACTAATTTCCGATTAATATAATCTTCATTTACTAATCAATTAACAAACGTATGGTTACAGCTGTAGTTAATTTAGATTTTATTTTTACTAGATCAATTAAGTGCTTTTGCATAATAATCAAACAATTGTTGGATCAAATGATTATTTAATCAACACTATAACTGATATTTAGTTTTTAGTATTATTGTCAAATAATCTGCCACTTACAGTTGCTTGAGTGATAACAATATACGGATAAGGTACTAATACAGCATTCTAATGACTATTCTGCACCATCATGAGTACCTTACAATGACAATTTGCGTGTTTTTCTATTTCTTTCTTTACTAGATTAAATGATTTGAATATTTCTTCCAAAAATAACCAAAGTAGTTGTTAGTTGTAGTCTAAAGGCGTCGTGTGGAGGTTGTGACCACTGGGGGCGCTGTGGAGCAATGATGGTTAACATGAACCAAGTTAATATTTCATCTCTTGCAAACGAAAAAACAGTTTAATATTTTTAGATCACAACTACGAAATCAGATTTTATGTGTAATCTTAGAATCAATTTCAGTTGTCATGTTGGAAACAATGATTCACTGTTTAAACCGAGCAACATCTTTACAACTCAAGGACTCTTGTTTCAGGTGGCGTAACTTTTTTTCCACAGACTTCTAAAACACATCAATTGCGAACTTTAAAATAGAAGACGGCGTCATTTGAAGCACCAACATTTAGCCGCTGAAGCAGAAGGGAAGCAGCTCCACGCACCGCGTAACGCACCTGGACAACCTTCCGCTCACCTGAGGGGTCAACGGCCGCCTTTTGATGGAGGGATGAAAGCCGTGTTGTCTCGATGGTGGTGGTGGGGGGGTTACGAAAGCAAAGGAGGTCTCACAAACAACAACAACCCCCTCGCTCGTGACGGCGGTAAAATGCTGCGTTACCGCACACTTGAATACAAACACACACAAACACACGCACAAACACACAACCGGCCGGCGGACTCGCTCGTGCGCTCAGGCGAAGTCAGAGGGATGCGATCTCCGTGGCATCGTCTCCATGGCAACAGCAACTGTGAGTGTATGTGGTGTTTCTGATAACTTGTCAGAAAGGAAAAGGGAAAAGTCTGGTGACCTGACTGACGCTGTGGGCTGTTTAAAAAACAGAGTTTCTCCTCTGCAGACACTCGGGTCAAAAACAATTATTAAAATTTGAATTTGTATGTGGTCTTTCTGTGGGATGAAGCGTCTAGCAAACGTAAACAAGAGTTTATGGTCTCAATCTCTGGTTGCAAGTCTCAACACAGCATGATGTTTATTTAGTAAATGATGGTCCATTTATGGTTAAACAGACCATGAAGCAGGGGATGCTTCAGGGCGGAGCTTACTGTGATTGACAGGTCGTTGTCCGGACTTTTGGCTTCAAATGTAACACGTGTAAATATTGTCGCGCAACAATATTGATCCGTGATCATGAAGCTTTGAGGAATAATTCCCAGCAGTGCTGCATACTTCATCATCCTCATCAGCACCATGTGTTTCCTTCCAGGATGACCGAGGTGATGAACTCTCTGGAGCCCAGTACGGAGGACTTCAGCGGGGGTGGAGCCCCAGCAGATCAGGGCGCAGTATCCTTCCACCTGTGTGTGTGTGTGTGTGTGTGTGTGTGTTTAAATCATTCTGGTGGGATTGGAGGAGGAAACCCAGCGGTGGGTCACAGGTCGCCAGTTGGACTCGGACATTAATTCCTTCTGACTCTTATCAAATGGAATTGACTTAATTTGGTGGAAACAGATGAAGAAAACTACAAATAAGCGGACTGAAGGAATTTGTTAGCACTGATCTGATGACTTGGAAGTCCGAATATTTAGAATCAAATGGTTGTTTTTTAAGATTTAGGTCAGAATGAAACCAAATTCTGATTGATTTCTTGGACACACAGAAACAAAAAGGCCGAGAGGAACAAAGGGGGTGATCACATCCTGTTTTACCAACGATGATTTCTGATACAAATTGAATTGGAAAGTATAAAGGAGAACATCACAGGCGTACAGCTCTGTTCAGATAATCTCTAAATTCCAGTTGAAGCCTTACATGAGCGTCTCACAGATCTTCCCAGATGCCCATGAGAGGAACCCGAAGCTGTCCAAGAGGCTTCCCTCCATCGTGGTGGAGCCGACGGACGGAGCCGAGGTGGAGAGCGGCGAGCTCCGCTGGCCGCCGGACGAGCCGAGCTCTCCGGACGCCCGAACCGAGAGGCCGAGTCCGGAGGAAGGAGCAGCAGGTGAGGAGGAGAGCCACTGGAGGGGGGGGGGGGTGTCTTGACATATATATCTACATACATGGCCCACAACGGAAAACTCAGAATGGATGGATATTGAAGAAGACCTGAAACTAGAGATTGAGACCATAAACTCATGTTTACAATGTTTACCGAGGAAATAAATCCAGAGAGAAGAAGAGTCATTTCCTCATAGACGTCTATGGGAGCAGAGGAGTCGCCCCCTGCTGGTCACTACAGAGAAGTAGAGTCATTTCCTCATAGACGTCTATGGGAGCAGAGGAGTCGCCCCCTGCTGGTCACTACAGAGAAGTAGAGTCATTTCCTCATAGACGTCTATGGGAGCAGAGGAGTCGCCCCCTGCTGGTCACTACAGAGAAGTAGAGTCATTTCCTCATAGACGTCTATGGGAGCAGAGGAGTCGCCCCCTGCTGGTCACTACACAGAAGTAGAGTCATTTCCTCATAGACGTCTATGGGAGCAGAGGAGTCGCCCCCTGCTGGTCAGAAACATGAGAAGAAGCCTCAAGGTTATGTATTTTAATTCTTAAACTCATGACATGTTTCTTCTTTATTTCATCTGAAACGTAATTAGTAACTCCAGCCGTCATGTATTGTGTAAAGTGTAAAGTACCTCATGATGCAGATGAAGCACCTAGTTGACACGTTAGGTGTTTGTGTCTCCAAACACCAGGAGCCTCCAAAAATGAAGACCTTTGAACCCGTAATAAGCCGTTTCCTGTTGAGACTTCCTGTAGTTCTTTTAATGCCATCGACGCGCTGACATTCTCACCTGAACCAGAAGGACGAAAACTAAAGCCACAGGAATCTGAAGATGTGCGTCACTGAGTGGAAAAATAAAATTATTTTATCTATTCAGTCGTCCAACTCCTCTCCGGATGAATCATTGGAGCAAACTCCATTTCCACCTCAGTCAATGGCGTCCGGCGAGGATCTGCATCGGACTCAACGGTCTGAAGTGCAGCTGTTTAGGATCTATTGATCCAATGTTATCTAATTCAAGATACGGGATGTGTGATTGGGAGATAATTTCCCCTCCTATTGTTACATAATCAACTAACCTGAACACACTCCATATTTGTCGTGCGCACGCTGGAGGGTTGCATGACTCAGAAATCTATAAAAATGTCTTTGTTGCTGCTGTGCGCAATCGGCGGATATCGAATGGATGCGGAAATCGATGGATTGTCGTGACATTTTGTAGACATAATTCATGCTCCCCGGAGGAGGGTCCTCTTACTGATCTGCTCATCATCAAATACCTGCAAAACTAATGAAGCTCCCGTCACCTTTAGCCTTTAGCTTCACCCACGCTAGCATGCTAACACGCTAATCTAAGAGCCGGGCTAGCATGTTCACCATCTTATCTTTTTACCCGCAGCACATATTATCATTCCAGTGTTGATTAAGCAGCACTACACGTGCTGCTAAAGGACCTGAGGTGGAACCCGGAGAATTGTTGCTTCATATCCCGCTGAAAGATTTTGGAGTGTTTATTTTATTTTTTGATTCTAGTTGAGGCGCCGTGGAACGTCGGCGTGGGCGAAGAGGCTGCAGGGGAGGAGATGCAGGACTCCAACTGAACAAACCCCCCCCCTCCCCTGATCCACGGCCACTGTGAGTGCGTCCAGACGGGAAGGGAAAGGAGTCCGATGGAAGAGCACGTTGCACCCGCAGAGATCCCAGAGAGCAGAGCGCCACTACAACAGATTCCCAAAGCCCGGCTCCACCCGAGCCACAGTCGTGATGGAGACTTTTTGTTTTTTTTGTGTACGCTCCCTCTCCTTCTTCTTCTTTTTCTGATGATGAGGAGGAGTAGGAGGAGGAGGAAGGAGATTGTCCCGTCTGCTTATACAGATCTTCTTGAACCTTTTCCAGGTTGCCTTTTGGCCGTTTTCTTTTCACGAGAAGCTGGAAATGAACAAAATACACTTTAACTTTTGGCAGTAGATGTGTTTTCGATATCAGAGTTTTAACACCCAAATTTAGCTTTTCCTCATCTAATATGACTATTGTCAGACTTCCAGCTTTGTGGTTTTGATATTTTTAATTTGATGAATGAAATGTTCTGTCTCTGGCTCCAAGCCGTCGCCGTCCAGATGCTCACGTAACCATCTGGAAGCTTCTAAAGGCTGTTTAGCTCATGTGTGCCATACTACTACTACTACTACTACTACTACTACTACTACTACTACCACCACTACTAAAGGTAGCTGCTGTACTCTGTGCACAGTTTTTAAGTCATCTCTAGATGTAAATGACTGTATGTGGAGTGCTGTAGTTTCGGTGATGCCTGGTCTCACTTTTCACTCTGTGATAATAGCTGCGGTGTTTTAATGAACAGTATTTGAGTAACGATGATCTTATTACCACACGTTCTTTAATATATATAATGATGTGTTGTCTTTGGTGTTTGCTGTTCATTTAAAGGCCGTCCTTTTTGTTACCCGAGTAAAGGAATAACCAGTTTATTTTAGACGTGTGTCGTTTGTCAGACATGATATTTTTAAAAGTACTGGAAGCCTAAACTGTTGCACAATTAATAAACATTTTCAAAATTCTTAAACCGCTCTTTGATTTAATTGTGTTTAATTGTGTGGTTTGTGACGTTGTACGTCATGCTTACACATGAGCGTCTTCACAGCGTCTTCACAGCGTCATATTGAAATATTACATTATTTCATCATGACATCCTGGTACGAAACACTATTAATAAGTCTGACGTTAAAAGCAGAATACTTAGAAGAAGAAAGCATTAATACATATCTACCCACAAACCTTGGTAAAAAGGAGGAGACAGAACAGGAGGACAAGGACGGCTGACGGAGGACAGGAGGAGGAAGACAGCTGATGGAAGACAGGAGGAGGTAGACAGACGATGGAGGACAGGAGGAGGAAGGTGGTTGACGGAGGACAGGAGGAGGAAGGCGGAGGAGGAAGGCGGCTGACGGAGGACAGGAGGAGGAAGACGGCTGACGGAGGACAGGAGGAGGAAGGCGGCTGACGGAGGACAGGAGGAGAAAGACTGCTGATGCAGGACACGAGGAGGAAGACGGCTGACGGAAGGACAGGAGAAGAAAGACCGCTGATGGAGGACAGTAGGAGGACAGTTGTCTGATGATGCACAGCTTGAAGCATGAAGCTCCCAGCATGTAAACGCTGAGTGTTTGTAAAGTCTTCGTGTCTCGGTGTCCCCTCCTTTCGTCTGTCCTGTACAAAGACGCTGGGGCCAACAGGCCACATGCGCTCCCACGTGCACTTTGTCTTCCTTGGTGTCTCGCTGCCTCTCTCTGGCTCTGACCTTTTTCCGATGACAACCTTGTGAAGAGCACTTCGCCGGAGCAAGCGGGGTCGCTCCTGGGAAAATGAAGGGCTGCGGGGAGCGAGGGGGGAGGGGGGGGGAGGGGGGGGGGTGTCAATTATCTCTCAAATGTCACAAGCTGTTCTTCACAGGAAGGGAGGACTCAACTGTCCTCTTGAGGACGTCTTTTTCTCTTCAGGTGGAAGCTTTTAACGTTTCGCTGATACATATATATACATTTATATATATATATATTTCTTTATTTCTTCCTTGTTCCTATTTCCTTCCTCGTCTCCTTCTTTCCTCATTCCTTTCATTCCTACATGCCACTATTTCCTCCCTCCTTCCTCCTCTCTTTACTTCTCTCCTTTCTTTCAAAAATAAACTGTTGTCCCTCTGTTCTCCTTCCGTCCTTCCTGTTTTATCTTCGCTCCACCGATGAAGGGTCCATTCACGCTCCGCTCAGAACAAAGAGCCCGTATTTAACAGAACCTTTTAACACGGCCGCCGAGTGTCGTGAGTTGTGTTTGGATGACGTCAAAGTGACTTTCATCTCGTTCTCCTGCCGGCTTCAAAAGGCTCCTTCAAAATGCCGGCGAGGGGGAATCACCAGATGGCCTCGGCGTGGACCACAAGCAGAACAAGTATTCAGTCCTTTTATCTACTGATGGTCACATTACTCAGACGACGTGAGAAGTGTTTGAGCGCACACGAGGAGCAGCTCCGTTTCCCCTCATTTGTTTTCATGAAGCAAAAATCCAATTCGATAACTTCGCACAAAAGTACAATATCGGAAGCGGTAGAAAACCAAAGAGCGAGAACTTGAGCTGCGCTTCATTGCTCTGCGGTGCTGTGTTTCTTTTTTCTGGTTACGTAGGAGAGAAACACGGACTGTTGCCGCGGTTACCTGCATGTCAATCTCGCCTCTTAAGGTCCCGATGAGGCGCATCGGTTAACCTGTCGGCCAGGTGAGCCAGGTGAGCGTACAGTTGCATTATAACACAGCTCAGCGACATGATAAGCTGATAGTGGAGTGAAGTGGTTTTGAACACTCCACAAAGTTGTGATGCCCCAAAAACTGAAGAAAGAAATATAAAAAGAGCTCCATCAAAATAACACAATATTGCTTTTACAGTAATACCTGAAACTACGTTGTCTCCTCTGTCTTTCATGCTGATGCTGAAGAGATGCATGTTAATCGTAATTATACAACCGGCTCGTCATTCCGCTCCGCTGCACAGTCCAGTGAAGAGGGCCTCTTCATTTGTTTGGGAATAATGTTCCACTCAAACACGCGGCACAGCCCAGGGTTACTCTAGTAACCTTTTCTATGAATAGTAAATGTCAGCGTAATCAATTTTAGATGGGGCGGCTCTGCAGGTGGAGAAGAGGGAGGATGTGAGCTTCGCGAGGCCTAAAGAGCACATGTTCACGTCCGACAGCGGCAATACGACCGTCTTTGCAATCACACAAGTTTGGCTCGAAAAAAAATAAAATTCTTTTGGATAAATGTCTGTCACGCGGCGAGCTAGCTAAAGCCACGTGCGACCAAACAGCGTTTTATTTATTCCCCTCTGTGGTAGAAACTGTTGGAGTTCAGTTTGCAGAGGAAATATATGTTGTCTAGTTTGATGTGGTGTGGAGGAGGCGCATTTGCATTATTGTAATTTTGTTCAGCGTCCCGTGATTCTCGCTCTGTGAGCTCATGAATTCAAACAGAAGCGTGCATGCAGGGCCTGCTGGCTGTGGTGAGGAGGGAAAATGCCGCTCACAGAAAACGTTCGCTCCTTCCATTTGATTTCATTCTGTGTCTGCTGCATTTTGCAGGACTAATAAAGCAGCAACATACCGAGCAGCTCAGCCGAACAGGCAACAACGCGCCGGGAGGGGGATCAACAAGCAGACCGGGTCGTTTTTTTCCTCTTTTGGGAGTCGCAGCGAGCTCACGAAGACAAAACAAACTCCTTCTTACAGTGAAGACGTCTCAGAGGACGAGCAGGGTCGTAAAAGCGGCTGAACCTCGCCGCCGCGTCATTCTGCGTCTGAGTAATGCCACCCGATCGAACTGTCCCTCTGGTTCTGCTCGCCCCGAACCCGCACCGAGCCCTCCGAGATCCGGGCCGGGGTCACGGAGAGCCTTCGGGGGGGGGGGGGGCTCTCGGGCCTCTGCTGCTCTCCGACACGGAGCCGATGACTCGCCATGCATTATTTAAAGCCCGTCCAGCTCCCCGAGTCAGTGCACTTTACTCTGCAGCCTCCGGTTACGGCCCGCTGAGGACGGGGAGGCTCCACCCAGAAGATCCCTCCGGGTGAAAAAGAGCTCAAACCCCCAAAAACACCCTCGTTGAGTTGAGTTTGTCTGATAACTGAATGGGACATTTGGCGGCGACGCAACTCCTTAATACGTACCGAGTTAAATATTCACTCAGTTTCCTCCTCGTCCCCTTTTTGACAACATGGGGGTGGGGGGGTTTGGAGGCATGGGGGGCGATGTAGGATGAGGGTGGACACTAATGTGGCTGCAGCTGGTACCGCCGGCCCGCAGGTGACTCAGTTTTGGATGTCAGATCGAAGCGCTCGTTTTTCCACCAGCCGTAAAGTGATAGCAGTTTACTCTTTCAGTAACCCGAACACGTAATCAACTGAGTGAAGAAGCATCTCCCGACTCCATTAAATTCTCAGACGACAGCCGGCTTGGATCCACCGCTGAAGGAAAGCGATATTTCAGGCCGCGGTTGCCGCTCCGGAGGAGGAGCTCACCTTTGATCGGGTCGCCTTCTGAGAGCCTAATCGGTGACCTCTGACCTCTGTCCTGTGCAGCTGAAACGGCTCCGAACCGGGAGAAAAGAAGAGGAGATTTCGGGTGTGAAACAGCGGACGTGCTAGAAGACGATCGACGGCGTGGTGAGTGCGGCGAGGAAGGTTTGAGAGCACCACTTGTTGCTTTAATAGGTCTAAAAACTCTTATATCCCGACTTCAATCAATAATTTAAACTGAAGCAGATCATACACCATGAAACTGAGATGGAAACCAACAGAGCATCATTCCTTACTTATTTATTGATGATTGGCCATTTTCCACTGGCCTTTTATAGGCTTTAGCATCAGCATGTGTTTGATGCTTTTAGTTACCTGGTTTCTTTTTGTGAGGTTACAGTTTGCGAGTTTAAGTCGATTTCGGATCTTGGAGGTGAAAAAGTAGATCCTAAGTGGTTTACACCACGACGAACATCGAAAACGCATCGATGCCGATGCCGATCGACATCAGGTAGCATCACCGTGAGCCTGTAGATGGGTGAAGCTGGTACTCCTCAAAAAGAAGAAGTGGAGGAAGAGTCTGCAGCATCATTGTTCTTCTCCGCGTTGAAGCTCATTTGCAATCTTCTGCTCATTGATGGAGCGGCTCGATCACGAGCAACCTGAAAAAATAAGCTCTTGTCGGCTTCACCTGAAGCAGCAGGTGGAGCGCGACCTCCCCCCTGCTGCCACTCACACAGCTTTCGCTCACGAGACGTTATGTTTTATTCATCTCTGACTCTTTGGTTCACCTTCACTCTCTTCTAATCCAGCTGCACCTTCACACGAGTCGCCCTCAGCTTCAGGTGCCTTCTGGGTTCAGCTCAACATCTTCTACCGGAGCAACTCCTCTGGCCAACCTGGGTTTGACTCCAGCTGCCAAATCTCCTCCAGACGAAAAAAGCAACTCGTCCGCATTCCTCCCGCGCGTTGTGGAGACCGAACAAAGAGGAACTGTGGACGCCGTCATGCCGTCACGCCGTCACGCCGTCACGCCGCCATTTTCCTCTCAACCACACTTTAATTCCCAAACAAACTTCAGCCCAACAAGGTGAAAATTAGGGGTGGAAGTATAAATAAAGGTCTGTGGGTTGGAAGTGTTTTGCTGCACAGTGTGAGTGATTGGCTTGTTTATTTATGTTTTTTATTAAAATGTGCGTGTTGGAGTCACACACGATCAAACCCAATATACATATATATCCAGTATATATATAAATATATATATGTTATTTGTTGCAATGTATTTTTTTTCGGGGGGGGGGGGTAAAGTCGGGTAAAAGGTTCTGAGGTGGATGTTATTTTAAGCCTGATGGTAAGTCTCCTTAAAAATGAATGTACGTCAATGTCAGTGTCACTCCCCCAAAGTGGTGAAGAGACGACTGTGTGTGTGTGTGTGTGTGTGTGTGTGTCACAGAGAGAGAGAGTGACTCTGACAGCCCGTCTCACAGCCGGGACACCCGGCCCTCAGG